TTCGAATAACTTGGGGGTCTTGATTTTTTTTTCTCCTCCTTAATGTACTTCTGTCTTATTTGTACTGTGTAGGAACACTTGTCTCTATGCACACGTATACACATATATGCATGCTCTATATATGTGTAATACAGTTGAGTGACTTGAATGAAGAGTTGACTGCTGATAAACCTTATAATGGAATATAAATTCATTTCATCTTTGTATCTGTTAAAATACAAATGTATATATCTGTTAAAGGACTAAGCCACCCACAGAATTGGTGTTTATATACATGATTACTGTTCTTTTGAAAAACAGACACCTATTGAATAAAATTGTATGGTCAATGTTGTAGATCAAATTCCTTAAAATATTTTTTTTTATTGGAAAAAAAAATCACCAAAGTATAATCTATTTTAGGTGTTTTATGAAAAACTATCTGTTAAAATTAAACTAAAGCTGCTCTAAATAATTGAAAAATCTGTCAGGATTGGAAAAATCATTTACTTAACTCGAGAAACACCAAGATGTATCAGGTTGATTTTTAGGAAATGGTTTCTAATTTGCACTGTAAATATTGTATGCAATAGAATCACAAGGATACCAATAGTTGTGATAATGAACAAAATGAAAAATAAGATCAGCTTCTTAGATGATACAGAAGATAAACACTGGGAGGAAATGAAACCTCAAATGCTAAAAATGGTGGATGGACAGGCAATGGTCACACGATCTCTGACTGCCTGAAGTAGCAGAAAGCAGATAACACAACCATGCTTCTGGGACAGGCAGCAGCTTTTAACCTTGAAGAAACGTTGTGCTAGTTTCTGATACCCTAGCAATCTATTCTGGAATAAAGACTCAAGTGCTGCTGTAGCAAGATGAAATAGGGGAAGATAATAAGGGATTCAGTGGGAAAAATTCAAGGCAAATGTCTCTCTAGACAGAGTCTGTGAAACAACCCGGCTGTGTTTGTAAGGATAGTCTTGTGGATTTTAGAAGGATGCCTGAACTTGGATTGCTATCACCTGTGCTGCAGATATTAATTCAAGTATGTGTCTTTATCTTTCAGCAATGTTATATGATATGATGCTTTTTGTTAGGAGAGTACTTATTACTCTTTTTTTTTTTTTTTTTTTTACATATGTATATAACATAGCTGCTAACTTTTATAAAGAGCTTTATGTCTAGAAGTAGGGACAGGACAATAAGTGAAAAGCATGGATGAGATGTAGCATTTTCTGTATTGAAAAAGTATTGGATGGGAAATGTCTGAGTGGAGACTGATAGCATTTCCTTTGGTGTCATAATTATTTTTATCTCTGAAGAACAATAACATAGTGTCATTTGTAATGATGCTGTATTGTTTTCTTACTTACCATACTCTCTTTCTTTTTATATCTGCTCAAAACACTTCCTTGATGTTCATTGCGATACAGGAAGAGAGAGCTATGCAAATAAACATTTTACACTAAGTAAAATATTTTATTCATGCATGACTGAACTTTCCCCTTCAGATTTTCTTATGAGTACTCTACAGACTAAGAAAGATGTATACTACATACACGTTTTATATTTCAAAGATATTTTTTTTTTTTAATGTGTAATATGCTAGGATTGAATTTTTGTGATTAGCTCTGGTAATTACATAGCATTTTGTATTTTGAAATCCATTATTTAATGTGTGTTGATGGGAACTCTCCCATCCGTGCCTGCTGTTTATACTAGCTCTACAAATCCTTAATACCACTCCCAAAACCCTGGGAAAGAACTTGATCAGATTTCAGTAAAAATGTGTAATATTGTGGTACTGGCATTGCATCTGGCATTGCTGATGAAACAAGCTGAGTACATACCCTTCAGTGTATATACTGCAGTGACTGCTGCAGTCAGTCATTGAGCAGAAGCTTTTGAAACTAAGATAGTTAAGTTCGCTTTGGCTGTAGGACTGAGCTTGTGGAGTTTTACATGTGAAGTCTGGAGCCCAGCACATGCAGCTTTACAGAGTGCTAGCATGTGTAGAAATATAAGATCTTGTGGCCTTTGAAGAGTTCAAGAATCTTTCATTTCACAGTATCAAAAGAACATGTGCTCATTGATCCGGTTTCTAGTGCTTGAAATACTTTTTCAACTTCTTTATACGTTTTCTCCACAGTCTGCCTATCCTTGTTCAGAAATAGCATGTCAGAAAGTTATATATTATATCAATGCAGTTAAGTGTATGATATATATATATATATGTTAAGTACTAAACATTGTTTTATGCCATTGCATTTTCTTGTATGTTTCTTTTGCAAGAATGAGAGGCCTGCTTTGTAAGGAAGCTAAAAGTCTCAAGATGTATCTACATTAGCATTTTAGTTAGCCAAATTCTGTGAGGACTAAGGGTTTTCATCTCCTTGGGGAAAAAAAAAACAACAAAACCACCAGTTCTACATGATGAGGCTCAGGATCTTCTCTCTTTGGTGCATCACATGTATTATTTCACATGCTGTATTTGTGCTATTTCACTTGGCATTGAGTATACTTCTGTGGGATTATGTGGCACCTGCACGTTGGTATTACTGATCTCTTGTTGTCATTGTCACAAACAAATGCTAACCTTGAGCTTACCAGAAGAACCTCACAATGGGTTTACTGTTCATGTGCTTTAAGCTGCAGAAAAGTCAGAGTGAAAATGCTTTTCTATGAGTTTACATTGGCACTGTGTGAGCTGCAGTCCCTAAAGATATCTTCAGCTTTCTTACAGCAATAGGCAAAGGCAATTTAGATCAAATTACCTTATGTCCTCAACTTTAGCTGTTTGTTCTGTAGAAGCAGAATTATTTAAGAGCAAAAAAGGTTAGCACTTAGATGGCTATACACCTGATCTTGCAGATACAGCAAGTAATTAAACACTGGGCTTCCAGTTGTCTGGTGAGAGTATGCAAACACAAGCATGCCTATGGGTGTACAAAAATTTCCTATGAACCCTTACTATGAAACAAGTCATCCATATATCCACAACTATTAAAAATAAATGATTAAAATCCTTCCCATTTTCCTCAAAATGACTAGCACATAACCCACATAGAACTGAGCATTTGGAAAATCTCCCAATGGGCATTTTCACAATCCAATATTAAGCATTAAAGATTTTGGCTTCTAAGGGCAGCTTCTGGCTGAAGGTGCCCCGCAGGGCCTTCAAGCAAGTAGAGGAAGAATGAAGTGCTGACAGACAGGAAGAGGAAACCGTGTGCTCTGCATGTGTGGGGTGGTGGTGCCTGGTCAGTGCCTATTGATTTTCTGTGTGGTTCCTTTTACTTCAAGAGAAAAGAAGGGGAGCAATGAGTTCTCATGCTTCTTGTAAACCAGTATCACAGTTCACTAGATCCCTGTTGAAATTATACGGACAGCCAAAATTTGTTGACAATGGGTAACATAATTTGCAGAATTGGAGGGGACAGCAAATGCCTTCCTCTTATTTTTAGAAGAAAGCACTCAGCCCACGAACAGGACAGTGCATCTGTCATTATATGGTGCTTCCTCAACAGCAGGAGGGGAGATCGAAATGAAGGTGATGTGGGAAGGTGCCACGTGGGAGTGCTGCATCTGGGCTTTGTTTTATTATAGCAATGTCAGTTAGTGTCATGACTATTGCCAGTATTGTTACAAAAGTACAAGTCTTAATATAGACCCAGACCAATACAGCTAATTCTGCCTACAGGGATAGGGTGCTTAAGGTGCCATTCTGCTGAAACAGTCTACAAGTAGGCACCTCTACTATAACTGTTAGCTGTGATAACCTTTTCTTCACAATGATGGAGGTAAAAGTGAGATGTGTAGGGCATAGCAATCTGCTTTAGCTTCTCCAGGTGTGTTTCATTTACTGCTGGTTTGCTTGAGCCTGCATATGCACTGAGCCCTTTTTTAAGTTTTACATTGTTCTTCAAAGTACTGGCTTTAAAGATTAATTAGGGCAGGGGGAGTGAGAGTGTGTGCCTGCAAGAGAAAATATGTCTGTAAACCTAGCATTAGAGCACTGACCTGAAAGGAGGGAGAGACGAAGGAAAAAGAGGTTTGTAAAGCATTCATAGTGGATTCTTTCAAGAGTAAGTATAATTACTATCCTCTGAGGGAGGAGCGTGGAGATAACATTGTATATGTGCTTGCTGAAGTACAGTGTAATTACGTCATGGGATTAGCAGTCAGGTTCCAGTCGTGTACATGCTAGCAGCTGTATCTCATCTGATTTAGCATGGATGCACAGCCTGAGAGGAGGATTATTCTTCTAAATTATATTGGAGGATAAATATTTGTGTGGTGGTTTATCATCACCGACACACCTATGGTCAATTTCAGACCTTTGTAACAGGCTCATCTGAACAAGGAAATTCACTGCTGAAAGGCACAGCAGCAGCATATCTGCCAGGGAGCTGGGACTGCACAAATCATCCGTGCTCACCTGAGATTTGAATCACACTGAGCTCCCTGTTAGACTGGCATACACAAAATAAAGTGGGGAGATACAGGAACTGCTAACTTCAGGTGTGGTTCTCATCATTTGGAGTGGATTTTTTTTATTTAATATTTTTCCTGAAGATCTGCTACACTAGAGACTCTGCAATATTTCCTACATTTTACGAAGCATCCTTCTCTCTAAAACACTGAAACAAGTTTTCACTACAGTAATTACATTTGCTCTTACATTTATTTGGAAGTTCACAGAAGAATCAGAAAAACTGAAAGGGTTTGGGGGGTGTTTGAGGAGAAAATATGATAAATTTAAAAGTGTTAGAATGGGAAATGAATATTTTGATATATTTACTTCAGCTGTGGACTGAGACAAGAAATCATTTATTTCCTTTGCATCAGAAATAAAACTTTCAGCATGTGTTCCTAACATTAAGTTGTTCTCCCAGTAAACTGTTGTGTATGGAAAGGAAGTAAATTTTTGCTACATAAACCAGGTGACTGGATGGGAAACTGCTTGGCTTATGGCATAATGTTTTTGTTTAATACATTTTTTATTCCAACAGGAAATATGGGATGTATAAAATCAAAAAGGAAAGACAATCTGCATGGAGATGGGCTAGATTTGAAGAATCAACCAGTACGTAAAACTGAACGAACTATTTATGTGAGGGATCCAACGTCCAATAAACAGCAAAGGCCAGTAAGTAGATAGTCTCAGGGGAGAATTCCAGTAGCAAGATCAAAGCATGACTGGCATAGCTTAAATTTCAATCCAAAACATATGCATGAAGAGATCCAAATTGATCATTAGTCTACAATTTGGCTTTGTGCAGTTCACCCTCAAAGAATTAACACTTTAAAAAAAATTGATTAATTACTTCGTCACATATCATAATTTCTGCATGAAAACATTAATCCTTGGAGACCTTTGATCTAGATACAGCTGTGTCTGTAGCGTAATGCTAGGTAACTTTAGAAACGTTTTTTTTTAGTTGTGTTTTATCAGTGTTGTATATTAATAGTTGTGGGATCCAGAAATTGTTTATTTCTCTACCTCTACCATTCCTAGTCAACTTTCCTTTTATTCACTGAAGGCCAGTATTTTACCTTGCACAAGCTGTGTATGTAAGAACTGAGGGGGAGCAAAATGGATGCAGTTCTAAAGTGTGCAGAACTGTGGTGTAAGAGGAACTAGCTAAAGGAAGGGTGCTGGGAAGGGGAATCCCATTGGGTGTTAAGGGGGTTTGATGTTTCTCAGATTTGCTAGTTCCTCTTTCCCCCACCCTCTCTACTGTGCTGAGGAAATGGTATTTCCTAATTGTCCTTATTCAGGGACCTAATTCTCTGTGAGTGTGACTAACACCCTTCTTGTGCATGTCACCAGCTGGCACAGTGGACTCTGGATCAATGTGCATGAATCACAATTGCCATTTGCATTTATTCTTAATTACAATTTTCGTCCTGCAGAACCTAAGAAGTGTAGATGTGCTTGTAGTTCTTTAGCATGACAGCTCCTCATACTGGCAACGTGATACTGTCCTGTTAAGTTCCCTTGCATTAAGCCTGTTTAGCAGAAGTCACAAAATGTGAACTTCCCCACAGCTTAGTTTTGCACTTTCATGAGGTCTGAGCAGTTCAATTCTGAATCTAGTTGGGACTTGCTATATTTTTCCACACTAATTTGCTTTTGAAGAATGGTCAGAAATGATTGCAAAATGCTTCCTTTTAATCTAAGACATAGAGGATAATACTAAAGTAACTGAATAATGTATGATTGTAATGTAGACTTGTCACAAAAATGTAAAACTGCTTAATTAAAGGCATATTTCATTGTAGGCACATACAGAGGCACACCTTTTACCAGGACAGATATTTGCCAATGAAGGTATGTTTTCCTACAAATGTTACTGCCTGTGTGCTATGCTTTGTCAGCCTGTGAGATAATGAGACCATTCCTTTGGCCTTCTACCTTTGTAGATACGGAAGAGCATGGAGTCATTGTTGTAGCTCTTTATCCTTATGATGGCCTTCATGAAGATGACTTGTCGTTCAAAAAAGGAGAAAAACTAAAAGTTATTGAGGAGTAAGTATGACAGTACTGGTTATATGGTAGTTTTTCTTTGGACTTATCTAAATCCCTTTTAAATTTTTTTATATCCTGCTTATAACATGAGATTATGAATCTTAAGGAAGATCCCTTATAAGTCAAAATATAAAAGTATGTGTAGTTTTGATAGGACCTGACAGCTGTCCTTGGTGACAATGACCAAACTTTGATCTGATGGAACCAATGGCTTCTAAGAGGAGCTTGAGTATAGAGAAATGGTGATTTTGTGCTTTCTGGCACAGGCAAAGCTCTCAGCACAGTGGAACCTTAACAACCCTTTATGACTCTGCTTTCCTTTGAGTACTATCTTTTTTGTTTGTTTTCTAGGCTGGGAGAATGGTGGAAAGCTAAATCTCTCATAACAAAAAAAGAAGGTTTCATTCCCAGCAACTATGTAGCAAAAGTAAACACCTTGGAAACAGAAGAGTAAGTTCTCTATCCTCTCAGTAGGGGCAAATTTATTTTTCACCCTAGTGTTGCATCCTTGGTGGGTGAGGGGAAAAGGTTCTAACTCTTTGACATACTTTCCAGGTGGTTCTTCAAGGACATAACCCGAAAAGATGCTGAAAGGCAACTCCTGGCTCCTGGAAATGCTCCTGGAGCATTCCTTATCAGAGAAAGTGAAACATTAAAAGGTAGGCTTTGGGATGGGTGATTTTGGAATTGATAGAAGAGTTAAAAACACAGTGATCTGGCTTCACAAAAAATTGCATCAAGTGGCACTTGGTAATGAGTTACTCCAGTGTGTCTTGTTTGAATTTACTGTAGTTACTTAGGAATGAGAAGGATGAGAAAATCACCAGAGAAAGATAGGAGAGTTACAAATTACTGAGTTGAGATGGGGCATGGTGGCAGTGGTGGTTTTGTATATATATGGCTTATTACACTGAGAAAAAGCAGGAGTGAATGAAAAGATCCTTTTCCTTCCTAATGTTTGTGATTCTTTTATTAAAGGACAATTTTAGTTGTAAATATCCTAAGCTGCATTTTACAATAAAGTCTTTCATTATTGGGTCTGTATCCATTACTCCAAGTTTTAAAATATAGTTAGTGCATAATGAGACTCTTCTGCCTTGTAGTATGTTTTAAAATAAATAAGCAAAAAACCTTTTTGATAAATATTTCTATACAGCTCTTTGTACTGAAATGCTTAATAAAAGCTCCAGACTTTTCAGCTGAGACAGAGAACATAAGATGGTTCTCCTCCAATATCTTGATTCTAACAGTGTCCTAGTTGGATGCCTCAGTTGGATACTCTAACATTGGACCCTCCAGAGGAAGACACTGCTAATCCCTTCAATTGGTCATATGTCTTTCCTCTCCACATGGGTAGTTTTTTGGCCCTAACATTGCAGATCAAGCACTGGAATGGGCTGCCCAAGGAAGTAGAACAGTCCCCCACTCCTGGAGGTAAATAAGAGGTGTTAGGACATGGCATTAATGGACTTGGTTTAGTGATGGGACTCTGTAAGTCAGGTTAACAGCTGGACTTTATGATCTGAAAAGTCTTTTCCAACATAATTCAATAATTCTTGACTAGGTAGCTCTTTGTAATGGGCCCACATCACTCTTTCTTTAGTCTCAAATGAAGAGAGAGGTCTAAATTCAGCAGAGACTGATGGGAGTAATGCAAAGTACCCATAAAATATTTCTTTCTGGCTTCTTCTGTCACTGGATCTGCATGTGGAGAAAGAGAAGGAACTGAGGTAGTTTCTTGTCCTTTCAAAATGGATGACAAGAATTGTATAAGTGGAAGAAATCAAGAATTTTGTAGTTTAGGACAGATATTATGCTGCTCCATCTTAAATCCTAGCTGAGGTTAGGATCCCAAGTATTAAGAGGTCTTCTTTCTCTCCTCAGTGCCTCAAGCCATTTCTAAACAATCCTTTTGCTACTTGGCCCATGGCCCCCAGTGTGTTCCTTTTCCAAGATGCTGATCTCCAAATTTTAGCTCCTGTCTCATTAGTGTGACAACTGTGGAGTTCCTTTCCCAGGTGGTTCCACTCAAAAAGTGGGACTTTATGCAGAAGTGTGTGTTAATCATGGAGCTGTCTGAATTATGGAACTCTAAAGTTTACTGAATAAGATTGAAAAAGAAAGTCTGACTGTAAGCATTTTGGTAACTTGTTCAGAACCAGCTATTGGCTAACTTCCTCATGTTGATTGCAAAATGTTATTTGAGGAAATAGAAGAGTGGGAAAAAAAAAGTAGACAAGGTAACTTTGTTGAGCTCAGCTGTGCGTGCGGACAGTACAGACTTGTTATCTGTTAATATTCTTTCTTTCTTTATCCACAGGCAGCTATTCCTTGTCCATAAGAGACTATGATCCGCAACATGGTGATGTCATTAAGCACTACAAAATTAGGAGTCTAGACAATGGAGGGTTTTATATCTCTCCAAGAATAACTTTTCCGAGCATCAATGATATGATCAAACATTATCAAAGTAAGTTAAATCCATTAGTGGATTACTTAATAGAATACAGTCGTTATTTCCTGTGAAGGAAAATAAATGCTTTCTTGTTTTGTTTCAGACCTTTTCATCTTTTTTTTCTAAATAACTCAGACGTGCATGTTATTGAAGATAAAGTAAAACTTGTTGGAACCCAAGTAAGGTTGTTATATAATCAGACCTAATACTCCTTGCTCTGTTGCATACCATTGTAAAATAAAGAATAGTTTTCTGAAACATCTCACCATAGTGATGATGATGTGAAACTATAGTAAGAATTGACTGCATTGGAAACAAATTCTGTATTTGAGATTAAATTTGTAATCACGATTAGCAGAAATAGGTATAGACTTCTAACTGTCTTCTTATATTTGATGTTGAGAGTTGAAGGTTTTTTTCCCTACAGATTTATTTATTTATTTCATCAATGGAGTTTTGAAGGCTGTAAAAGAAAATTACACCTACAGAGAATGTACGCATTTATTATTAACAAAAGGAGGGGGATAGGAACAAGTTTCCACCTATATTTTAGCTATAAAAGTGACCTTTTGTTCTGTATAACCTCATGGTGGGTAACTCCAAAATACATATTTTTTGTCTTGTCACTGGGAAGACATAGAATAAGAAAGATGTGAGACAGGAAATCACACTCATTTTTCAAAGCCACGCCAAAGACTTGGCCATGACATTTCTCTGAGTTGTTAGATATGCGTGGTAATTCTATTGCACAGTTTATAAACCTGGGAATTATTTTACATTTGTATTAAAGTTATAGGTGGTAAGTGACTGGAGAAGAAATAATCGTGACCTACTTATGCTTGCATTCTTATGTGTGCACACAGCTAAAACAACACAGCATAAGAAAACTTAAGGACAGATTCAGAATAAGATTTCAAGCCTGACACCAATGTGCATCTTCGTACTTTCTGTTAGCAATCAGATCTTATAGTTATTTGGTACAAACTGTACTAAAACAAAATAACCTGATGGTAACCAGATGTGTGTGGCACTTCTCTATTAAATCTGTCCCTGAATTTCAAACTGTAGAAGCGCTTAAAGTTGTGTGAAAGCACTACAAAGATTACATTTTCATAGGCACTGACTTGTTTGAAAATTATTTTGAGCTGGTTAATGCACACCTAAATCAAATGGTCTTTGACTCAATGGTTTGCATGGATTTTATATTTTGTTTTTCCTTCGAAAAAACAGAGCAATCAGATGGCTTGTGTAGAAGGTTGGAAAAAGCTTGTATTTGTCCTAAGCCACAAAAACCATGGGATAAAGATGCATGGGAAATTCCACGGGAATCAATTAAATTAGTGAAGAAACTTGGAGCTGGTCAGTTTGGAGAAGTCTGGATGGGTAAGTTTATTTCTTTGAAAATAATATTAAAATCTGCTGAAAGAAGTACAGTTTAAGAATCACTCAGAATAATGGTGGACACAAGCCTTGTCTGATATACTTGTAAAAACAGAACAGTCAGGCTCAGAATACACCTTCTCATGAGGAAAAATAATAGGAGAGAGGATCTGTGAAAGATAAGGCACCTGACACAGACAATGGAACAAATTGCCTTATAGCAAATTATGTGTAAAGTTTTTAACATCTGTTGGAAAAGAAGAGACTGAAATATAATGGATGGGACTACCATAACCTGGTTAAAAAAGGAGATATTTAATACAAGATTATTGTTGGAGCTTGCTACTCAGGAAGCAGGTGGCTGATGTAGGTAGAAGATAAGAGACTGATCACCCCCAGCCTTGAACTATCATGCAGGTCCCCAATAATGAAAGCAGTTGTAAGACTTACAAGTAGTAAATTTTAATATATAACCAGCTAAAACTGATAGTGTTAATTATTATAATCATAATTAACCTTGCTTGTTTAAAAACATTTTTATTTTCTCAACCTCAATGGCTTCCCCTGGCTATGACCACTGTCTAATCGTGTTCTGCAAAAATGTTTTAATTCTCTTGCTTTTGAAGTGCTGCCTATTCAGGGGTCTGAGTATTCTTTTGGGAAGCATATTATGTGTTCTGTGTGTAATTCATTGGTTACGCACATGTTAACAGTTACCATCTTACTTGACTTAATTGAGATAAACTATATCTTCCTTCCAAAGTCTTCACGATGATGTTTCTTCAGGTCAAATCATTGTCTAACCCTTCCCTGAGTCTCCTTTTTGGAGGTTATATTTAGATAGCAATAAAATCTTTTTAATACTATTACAACATTTTTTTATTATTGGTATTATTATGATTCTACAAGCGGGGCATTTTTAAGAAACTTAGAAGCATATCCCTAAGCTTATTAACAGATGCAAAGGGTACTCTAATGACCCATAGGAGTGCAGCAGTCTAACAGGAACACACTTGATATTTCGTTGTTTTGAAGAGATGTTTTCTAATAGGTACAATCTGCTGATACAAATTATGCAAAAATGTCAGCGACACATCTCCATGATGCAACATAAGACAAATTCAGCCTTTCATCTACCTTCACAACAAAAGGCTTAAGAAAGCCTTTGGCTGTGTTATACGTAAATGACAATTTACTTGCCAGTTGAGACAGGTGTCAGCCATTGTACAGTTTTTCTCTTCCTGATAAACCAGGCCAAGAAATAATTAACTGACATTGAAACGCTGTGGAAGACTTCATGGCAGAATGTTATCACCTGCTTGAAAATGTAGATCATTATGGGAAGTGACTACTTCTGCATACACACACAAAGGCGTAAAACTTTAAAAGGGTGTTTCTGGTTCAAGATGCTTCCTCTTATTTGTGTCGTTATTTTGACATCTAAATTGGGCCTAACCCTTTTATCTGAATTGTCGCACTGTGAGAAAAATTAATGTACTGTGAAGTGATCACTGTGTTTCCTCTTCTCTGCTTCATTTCTGAAGCGAGAGAAGCTGATTTGCTCAGTACAGATCTTTTCAAATCAGGAGCGTGGTTAATATTAAAGCCAAGGAGGTTCAGGCTGAAAAACACTTATCAGGTCACCTGTGCAGGATATAAACAAACAGTGTTGATTGTAGTGATGACTAACCAGAGGCATCAGGAGTTAAACAGAGATACTGAGAAATAAGCTACTTGTTAGACTCGACTGATTACTTACCTCATCTGGAGTAAAATTATGTTTAGGTCACAGTACGAATGAGACATACTATTCCATAGCTTCAATACCAAATACACTTCTGCTTGCTGAAGGATTTTGATTTCAGAGGGAACAGTGTTTGGTTCAGAAGAACTTTGTCCAGTTCTGGGCTTCCCAGAACAAGACAGATACGGAGAGAGACCAACAAAGGGCCCTGAAGAAGTTGAAGGGACCTGAACATCTCTTCCTCTGAGGAAGAGCCGAGAGGACTGGGACCCTTTCACCCAGAAAAGAGAAGGCACGGGTTCAGTCTTATCAGCATCTAGAAATACCTGAAGGGAAGGTAGAAAGAGAATAGAGCAAGTCTCATTTCAGTGGTGCCCAGTGCCAGGACAAGAAGCAGTGGGCACAGAATGAAATACAAGAGGTTCCATGTGAACATCAGGAAGTAATTCTTTACTATGATAGTTGACCAAGCACGGGATGTCCAGAGAGGCTGTGAAGTCTCCTCCTTGGAGATCTTCAGAAGCCACCTGGGCGTGGTGCTGGGCAGCCTGCTCTGGGTGCCCCTGCTTGAGCAGGGGGTTCGGCAGATGGTCTCCAGAGGTCCTTCCCAACCTTAACCACTCTGTAGTATATGGGAAGATAGAGACAATATTGTTACTGCAATGTGAAGATTTGCCAGAATTCTCTTATAGTCTTTTTAGTTCAACAATAAGTATTTTTTGAGCTTCCAAGCTGACATCCTGCTCCTGCACGTGTACTTTTGGGTTTTGGAGAAAGCTAGCATATGTTAGAGAAGATTGTCTTGGTTTCAGCTGGAATAGAGATAACTTTCTTCCTAGTAGCTGGTGTGGAGCTGTGTTTTGGATTTAGGATGAGAATAATGCTGATAACACATGTATGTTTTAGACCACTCAGTCTATTGCCCCCGGGGGGGATGCAGGAAAGATTCAGAAAGGTAAACGTGTGAGAACTCATGGTCTGAGATATGGGTAGTTTACAAGGTAAAGCAAAAGCTGCTGCACAAGCAAAGACAAATAAGGAATTTATTTGCCACTTCCCAATGTCAGGCGGTTGTTCAGACATCTTCACATGTGACAGTTTCTTGGGAAGACAAATGCCATCACTCAGAACATCTGCATGCCTACTCCTTTGTGCCTACTCAAGTCCTGCACACAGTTCTGGGGTCCCCAGCACGAGAAGGACATGGATCTGTTAGAGCAGGTCCATAAGAGGGTCCTGCAAATGCCTGGCACACCTTTCCTGTGAAGACCGACTGAGAGAATTGGTATTGTTTAGCCTGGAGAAGGCCCAAGGAAGGCTTTATTGTGGCCTTCCAATACTTAGAGGGGGCTTATAAGAAAGATGGAGAAAGACTTCCTACCAGGGCCTGTAGTGATAGGACAAGGGGTAATAGTTTTAAACTAAAAGAGGGGAGATTTATACTAGACATAACTAATTGTTTACTCAGAGGGTGGTGAGGCACTGGCACATGCTCCCCAGAGAAGCTGTGGATGCTCCATCCGTGGAGGTGTTCAATACCAGGCTGGATGGGGCTTTGGCAACCTGGTCTGGTGGGTGGGAACCCATGGCAGGGGTTGGAACTGGGTGATCTTTAAGGGCCCTTCCAACCCAAACTGTTCTATGGTGTAGATGGTGAAGGAAGAGTGATGTGCTGATGTGCCATAGGATGCAGAGAAGCTGCCATCATTCTGACTCTTTCCAGACAGCATCCTGGAAATACTGTACCTCCTGCAGCTGCAATAGCCTGAGACATTGTCTGACTTCTAACAGTATCACACTTCATTAGCTCAGGTTGTTTCCAGTATAACCTTATAGGGAATTAGTGTGAAGGAGAAAGCTGCCTCTTGTAGACTCGTTCACAAAGCCGTCCATCTTCAGTCCTGGAGATCTGTTCAGAAATGCTTTTGGTAGGCTCAACTTATTGCCTATTATGAGTTTGTATCACAGCTTGGCCTGAATAAGCCCATGTGAAAATCTGGCAACCTGCCTGTGAAAATACCATATTTAACTCCAAAAGAAATGGGCAAAACACAATTTTTGAGGGGTTCTATTCATACATGTAAGAAGAGCATAGCTCTCTGTAAACAATTGTCAGATTCCTCAGATTTGCCTATTATTCCTCGCATCATATCTAATTTTTAACAAAAGCCTAAACTGCTGAGGGACTTGCTTCCTGCCATGGTATGAAAGGGTTTTCGTCTATGGAGTTTAGTTTATTTGGGCATCTTCTTTAGTAAACTGATGAACCAGGGTAGCACTGTAAGAGTAGGGTCTATGTTTTATGCATTTTTGTTCCTAGTGTGCATTGATATGATGTGAACCATAATGCTCTGTGACATTAATAATCCATGAATAGAATTCTCAAGTAGGGACAAGAGAAAAGTTAACAAGCCAAATGGAGCCATTACGGTGTATTTTATTAATGAGACTCATTTTGCTTGCATCTCAGGTGTAAAAGATTCTCTCATTTTGTAAACCCCAATTTAGAATATAAGTGATAAACATTTTGGGGTGTATTTTCTTATGCAGCTGTTATTAAAATCAGAGTAAACCATACCTCAGAAATACTATTATTTTCATGAAGACATCTAAAATGAACCAAGAAAACTGGTTAGTACATCTCATCAGCATCACAGATGTATTTTTACAGTACATACAGGAGCTGAATATTAGTTGCAAAGAATCTGAATTTTATGTCAGATGACCTAGATGTAAGCAAGAATTTCATTGCTTATCTATCTGTCCTTTTGAGTTCATGTTTAGGTGGCAAAGTGAGCATCAGTTCATTCATATCATATGCCAAGGAATACCATGACAAACCAAGTGTGGGGTCCTCTTAGTAATCATAAGTGACGTGACCTGAGGACTAAGACATTAAGCTTTGGTAGTACAGATGCATACTGAAAAGATGTTGCCTGCTCCGTGTCTGTCTAGCTCGATATTCTAACATAATGCTCCTCTTCATGTGTTATTTGTACTCTGACACTTCTGGCTCACAGATGATGGGAGTTTTCTTTCAGGTGGCTAGGTGACACCGGCTTAGCTGAAGAGGTAGGGCCTCATGATCTGTGAAGGACTTTACGTGTAATGGTTGGGGGAAAGAGGTAAAACAAATTCCAGTTTTTCTGAGCTGTCAAGGGTCCATTTTTTATAGACATCATAACATTTGCTGAAGAATCCCTAGAGTTCACAACCACCTTTCCTCACTGGTGGTATATTGTTGTTCCCGCCACCTCCCCCAAAACCTGATGAAATAAATGAGTGAGAGACAGATCAGGATCAAATGTCTTTAATGCTCTCATGCTACTTTGTTTTGTATGTTACCACCAGAGGATGAGGATAGACTGTTTTCCTGCAGAAAACATCAGTATTGGGTGAGGTTTTTGTTGTTCGTAATGCAAATTTTCTGTAAGCAGAAACCTAGTCTGATGAATCTCTAGTGAATGTAAGATACTGTTATATAGTCAATGTTAAGAGTGTAGATAGAATTGTCCCACAGAAGTTAAGGTATTAATTAGTATGTTTAACAGAGTATTCAACAAATGGGGAGTGGAACTGGTGCTCTCATTCAGGGTATGGTGTAGAATATTACAAACTACAGATATGAGCCTTCTTCTTAAAAAGAAAGATGTATTTAATACATGTTTTTTTTCATGGATAGAAATTGTATACCTGAGTTTTAATAGTAGAATTTGACTTGTTATTGTCATTTCTTCTTATTAGACCATCTAGAGGCATATCTGTGTTATGCTCTGATCATACTGTGCTTGGAAAAAATATATTTAGTAATCATGCAATTGAATATTTGCTCACAGTTATTGTGGCTTTTCTCAGATTATGATCTTTCTTTTAATAAAGGTGATAAAATGTGCAATGATTAGAGCAATTACTTAGGACCTGGAAATTATTTCCCTGCTTTGCCACTGAACTTCTGTATTAAGGCAATAAGTAATATACAGAAATTGCAGGCTCCAATTTAGAGGTACATCCACTTGTGGTAATACTGTCTGGATTGTTGCTGAATGTGTAACCGAGGTTATTTCTCTTGAATCACAAAAGCTTTACCTCTCCAAGAAGTGTTTTTGCAGTGTTGAAATGTATAGTAAGGGGGACAAAAGGCTGCAGTTTGATATCACTGGAGCTATCTGTAAATCTGGAGTGAAGATGTTGCATTTATATCCCTCTCTTTTTCTATTTATTTTCTATTTCTTTTCTTTCCTATTTCATTTCCTTTTCAAATTAAAAAACAAACAAACAACAAAAAAAAACTTTACAAGATAAACTTTAGGATCAGTTCTTGCTATTCTCTTGATTTTATCTAATGCCATCTTAACCTTTATATACTGATAATTGCATTTTATATAGTCAGAGTATTACATTACAAGGTTTGATAAACAGAGAAATGAAACAGCCATGATTCGTTCTACTCTTGGCATGTGCTATGTGGAAAGGAATTAATGTGTTTTAAATCTTGCTCTGAACACTGCAGGATTGCAGTCCTGCCAGCATATCTCTGATGGTCACGAGAATGCTCATTTGGTTGCACTTTTCTGAAGAGTTCCATTTTGAGTACTGAGGATTAAAGAAAAGATTATAAGCATGAGACTGGCATGCATAAAATGGTTCTAACCATTGCATTTAAAGATGTTCTGCAATCCATTGGCTCTCTTAGATTTTGAGACAGTTTATGTGGATGTTTGTTAAAACATCTCTTGACTGTTTTAGTATTTTCTCATGGCCTACTTATAAATGAAAGCTTGCTTTCTTTATTTTTTCAGATAAACCATTCATAAAAAGTAGAAAATTGATTATAATTGACTGCAGTGTATCACTGGCAAAATATATAAAGGAATTTTAGCGTAAATATTTGTGCTACATGTGATTGCTTGTTGTCAGGGTCCTAGCTGTTAATGGAATCTAACCTCACCGGCTTTATGGGTTCCTGCTAGTCAGGGTGCTGTGTGGTGCAGGGTGACTGCAAGTGCACTGAACGTATTTCCTCCTTTTAGGTTATTATCATAACAGTACAAAAGTGGCCTGTGAAGACTCTGAAGCCGGGAACAATGTCTGTGCAAGCCTTTCTGGAGGAAGCCAACCTCATGAAAACACTTCAGCATGACAAGCTAGTTAGGCTTTATGCTGTAGTGACCAAAGAAGAACCTATTTATATTATAACAGAATTCATGGCAAAAGGTGAGAATGACAGAGGATCTGCAAGCAGAGTTTTAATAAACACTTCTGTTTATTAATCATTCATTAGTCAGTACCCATCCTTTAAAAAGGAAGCAACAGAAAAGGAAAACTAGGGATTTTAACATTTTTCTTTTGTATGCTCTTATATAATGTGAGGGAGCTTAGAGGAGGCATAAGGGTTTGATTTTCTGATTCATTATTGCATTTTTGAAATAACCTTTTCTTTTTTTTTTTTTTAAACAGATTTCTTAAATGTAACTTTTAAAAATTATTCAAGTTGCAGAGCACAACACTCAAAATAGCTCTGGTTCCTTTGGGTTCTAATACTTAACTTTGGTGTCATAATAAGACAATAATTAAAACCTTAGAAATTGTCTTATATAGCTCTTGAATTGATAAATACTTGTTTAATAAGGGGAGTGATGAGTGTTCCTGAAAAGATTGCTGCACTACTAGAAAGGAAAAAACTGTATTAGATTATCACTACACAAAATAAGTGAGGTTTCCTTCTCAGATTGTCTTAGTAGGGTTTTTGTTTGTTTTGTTCTGTTTTCAAGCAGTTCTGCTGATGACTTCATAAATGCTAGCTACCATTCAGCAATTTATTCTTTACCACCTTGAAAGAATTAATGAGTGAGATTCTCCTAGAGAACTTTCCCACTAGCCTGTAGATTAGGGTAATTATCCAATTCAGCACCACTGAACTAAGGTATGCTCTGATGTGAGTTTTCTACACCCAGGGAAATTTCAAAACTTGGATACCTGCCATGCTGACTCAAATGTTACTCTTATTAGGTCGTGTAAAGAGATGGGCTTACTGTAGTTGGCTTGAAAATACATGAAAACCATTCACTGCAAAACTTCCGTGACTCAGAAAATCGGGGACCTATTGGGAACTTTATTCTGAAAATAAGCTACACTGACTTAATCTTTCTCTGTTGTAACAGGAAGTTTGCTGGATTTTCTGAAGAGTGATGAAGGAAGTAAATTGTTGCTTCCAAAGCTAATTGACTTCTCTGCTCAGGTAAGTTATAAGAAATATGCTCAAAATTAAGGGGTTCTATTTCTCTCCAGGTCTGAAACTCAGAATGGGAAACTATCCTAAACTTTGTCACATTAAAGGAGAATTTAGTTTTCAGATGTTTTTGTCTGAGTAAATATGGTTACTTGAAAGGAAGGAATAGAGGAACAAAGTGTTTCAAAGGGAACTTGTGAAGTTAGGCCTCCCTCTTCGATACTGCTGGTGATCTACTTAGATGGCAGTGGTACACAGTCACTTTCCTTTGTGGAAAGGCTGTTTTCATTTCCAACAGAAGTGAAGTGTACAAGTTCTGTAGAGTGAGTGCTTATGAGATGCCTCCAAGTATCATTCATTGGTGGTATCGTCTTAATTTCCTAGGTTAGATCAATTAGTCAAACTTCTATGTTAACTTCCACAGAGTAATGTTAGTTTCAAATTCATATGTAAATTCCTGTGAAGTAAATAAAATCTAATCAATATTTCTTGTGAAATATAATTTGGTATTTCTTATGAAATGTCATTGGTTGTGAAACCATGGAGATAGTCTCAAAATATACAAGTTATTCCACATCATAAGAAAAAATTTAGAGAGAAACCCCAAACGGATTTGCGTGTCAAGGTCTGTATCAAAGGTGCCTATAGTGCGGTGTTCTGCCTCTGACAGTTATACACTATAAATGTCCAGGGAGAAAACTCACGGTGAACTAAAATAAGATCAGGAATATTTTTTTTGGCCTTGGTTGATGCACTGTTGAGCTCTGCATTTCTCTTTAATCACACTGTTCTGGTAAGGCAGTTTACCTGCCTATCCAAGCTTCTCAGGAAGACTGAAAATGCAACGAGTGGTAGCTGAGGATTGTCTTCTTTTTTCCCCTTGTATGCCTGTGATGTTTCCCAAGGCTGAGCTGCTCACAGCCACGCTGCACAGCTGGCGTGCCTGCACACATGTGTCCACACAATAATTGTGTTGCAACAAAAAGTTCTGAAACTTTACCCATTGCGGAACAATACATTAGCAATGGACTTGTGATTCAGCGTCATTAAAGTGGTCAGGAAGTGTTTCCACTTAATACATTGCCTTTTTATGTAGAGAATTGGCCTTTGTCACCTTTGGCCTTGTCTGATAGGGAAGGACTGGGAGTGAGAGAAAGGGAGGGGAGGCTGTGGCTGTGTGACTAACAGATAGCTGAAAAATGTAATGCCCTTAAACATGAACCCGCTTATGGAGTTGATTTTTTCACTATTAAATACTGCTGTGAGCTGGTGTTTGCATTGCCAGATGGCTACTCAGTGCTTCACTCTCTGAATTCATGAAGTCTTTGCCTTGAACAGTCTTGAAAGAAATCTGTATTTACAAGGGATAAAATATTCTGCTTTTGGAAAAAAAAAAAAAGTTAGGAGTGCTCCCATGGGTGAAATAAACATCTTGTAAAAAGATAGCATTTTTTAGCAAGTAATTGAATATACTACTACTCTGCGGTACTGATTCTGCTGTTTTGTTGTCTGAGCATCTGCACGCATCAATTGCTGTTGTTAACAGCAATGGAGGAGGATTTAGGTGGACCTAAGTCTGCTGGTGACTTCAGTGTATAGCTGTGGACTCCGTTTTTTTTTGTTTGTTTGTTTGTTTTTAATTTCTGTATTTTGCTGTACTAGCAGTCCCAATTTGTGAAATTAGGTCTTTGGAAAACATGACAAGAAAATGCTTGCTAGGAAGGCAATCCAGCTCTGTTTCTCAAACAATCTGCCCTCTGGAAGAGCTGAGGTTTCTCTTTTGTGTTTTAATTAGTGTGTATGAGTAGGGGCTAGGGAAATCTAGGGTTGGTTATGCCCTGGCAAAGATAATTTTGGCCACTAGAGATGAATGCTAGCAGTCTCTGTAATGAGAGTGTTTTAAAAGAAGCTGAGTTTTGCAAACATATCTTCAGCACGTACTGCCTGCTTTAATACAAAATAGACTGGAGGCATCCCCTGTAGAATTCAGCAGAATTGTGAATTTTTAATATATGCCAGGAACAAAGTCAGATACACGGAGCAACCAACATCTGAGCCTGATTCCCTGTACGTAGAGCCTATGAGACCACTGCTTGGTAAGTGTTAAGTAGCCCAGCACCCTCACCGTCTGGTCCTGTAACTTCCTTGGTCTGGCAGTCACAAGCTGACACAACTTACGAGCAGTTCCTGGTACTTCTGCTTCTCAGCTCAGCAAGCAGGCTGAGGAAATGCAAAGGTGCTGTTGGCTGTCGGTTCCCAGTTACAGGCTTGGGCGTGAGCGAATTTCATTGCTTTGTCCACAACCTCTGCTGCCAGATCTTGCTAAGGCAGCAGACCAAAACACTCAGCGTGCAGGCTGCTCGTATTCCCCTCTGTCATTTACAGGCAGTAGCCTGGCTGTTGCATCACCAGGGTGACTGGCAAACTGGATCTTAGTAGTTGTTTCCTGTCTTGCCCCACAGCTAATTTACCCAAAGAGCTTCCAATTCTTTGTTTCCAGTTATTGAACTCAGGCTTTTATGAGGTCAGCTAAGAATGTATGATGCAAATTCAGTGAACTTTTTGCATGTATAAACTCTTCCTACTTCTTCTGCGAATCTGTTATCTGCTGCTTAGCATACACGTGCATAATGGCTGTGTTTAGGAAAATTATATCAATTATTAATGAACATACTCATGTCATACTTTTCAAACTGGTCAGTTGTATCACAAAAACAGTCTTTTCCATGCAGCACTGATACTTCCATTAATCCTTCCATGACCTACAACTTTGTTAGCAACTCTTATCCTCTTCTTTCTGCCTTTTAAGGCTACAATGCCATTAGACTAATAATAATATTGAAATAATAATAATTATTCCCTCTAGTATTCCAGTACATAATTACTCTTTTTTTTTCCACGTGGGTCTGCTTTACCTACTTAGCTGTTTGACTGGAGAAAGTGGAGTACATTTTTGCAGCCTTTCCTGACCCACCTTTAGGATAAGCTCTGCTGCAAATGGAAAATAGGTATTACATTAATTATCATTTGAAGAATTAAAATGTTTCTGTTTCTCAACAGCTTTCATATTCAGAGGGTCTATACCCTCTTCATAGGCACGTACCCTAATGATGTGAGGATGAATTCTTTTTTCAAATTCTTCAAGTGTGTTTTATTTTATTACATGTCTGGCTATCATTGAAAGGAATCTGGTTTTGGTTAACCCTAGACCAAATAAAGTCTTATCCAGGTCAATAGCATGTGTTTGCTTAAACCTTCCAAAACCGCAGGCTGTTTTTTCTGACACTCTTCCCTAAGAACTGGGAATTACCAAATTTAAAGCAGCGTGAACCTCAGCAGATGCTACATTACTTCCTCTTCTTAAACCTCATCAGGATAGTCCCTCACATTGTAGCTGCTTTTCACTGATTTCCTATGTACCCTGGCTTACATAGGCTGCTTCACCTGCTTTAGCAGGAGATTCCCACAGGGCCACGGGCCTAGGCTGGGTTGCAGTGAGATCAGCTCTGCGGCCACCCTCCGCCCAGCCCAGCAAAGGAAAAGGGATGTGGCCAGGATGTCCTGCTCACTGCTGAGCCCTCAGATGCAGCCTCAGTGGTAGAGCAGCCCCGGGGAGTGAGAATCACTTGTGTAGCAGGTGGCAACAGCAATTCAGAGGGATCATTGAAGACGCCTTTATTCACAAATCCCTGGCATCTATGGGGTGCATTTTCACCTGTAGCTTTCACATGTACAGACCCTGAACGCACAAAAAAAGCCCCATCTGTCCATGCAAAGGAAAGCCTTTTAAAAGAACCTAAATGATCCCCAAAGTAACTGTTTCTAGATGATTTTGGTTTAAAAATTATAGATGAAATAGGTCTGGAGAGCGGGGATGATTTAGCATGGTGTTTCTTAGTCCTTTGGACATCATAACATCATAGAGCATATCTATTTTTTTTTCCTTCTTCTTCTTTTTCTTTTTCCCCCCAGAATTGATTTAATTTGTAACCAAATACAAACTAGGTGCAAACTTGAATACTGATTCATCACTTCAATTTATTTATTCTTTTTCCGTATTTTACTTCCCTGTTTTACAGCTGAGTAGAGGCTCTGTGACTTTGGATTTACTGACAGTGTTCAGGTGTTTCATAAACACTCATATCCTTCAAAACTGTTCTAGCCCAGTTTCCTTTTTACACCCTGAGTTCTTACCCCTTTGTTATTCATGTCAGCCATGCGTGCATCCTTGATGCTTTTAGTGAAGACTGAAGCAAAAGCAGGCATTTAAAAACTTCTCTGTGTCATTTGCATGTAGCCTTCCCCATCTGTTTAATGTAAATATTTTTGTTGCACATCTTGTTACAAATGCACCTCTAGAATGTTTCCCTGCTTACACTTTCTATTTGCAGAATGTTTTGTGGGTGAGTTCTTCTGATTTTTGTCACATTTGGGTATTCTTTTACAATTTATAATTTGACTGTATCATTTTCAGGGGTTTCAGGCCATGTAAAACTCGGCCAACCTTTTCTTGTTGAGCACTTCCTTTACAATGTGTGGTTTGCCCTTGCACTTGTAATTGTTGTTTCCTTGCTGGCATGGTTGTTCCTGAGACTGTTTTCCCATAAGGTTGCACCTGTCAACTCTCCAAGTTGTTTAAAGTTTGCTTTCCTAGGATAAACAGAAGTCTTCATATTGCCATTCTTTCATTATGTTTCATTTTCATTCCCATCTGTTTCATGATCCCCATCACCCAGTTTTCGTTCTCAACTTGATATCATATATTCTCAGCATGATATAAAAACATCCTATCAGGTTAACCCCGAACAAGCCCATCTGGCCTTTTTAGTATTCCACATTTTTACACACGGCTTACAAATGCACAAGTGGAATCTGTTACAGATGTTACTGCAATCCTCTCTCTGCATTAATAAACAGCATTGCAAACAATATGTAAAACATGTCTCATTTGAAATAACTCTTGCAAAAATGAATCACAGGCCTTGGAATGAAAGTTGAAATGAAACATGTCTTTCAATTGAAAAGCTGAGCTGTGAAGCAATCCAGAAGTTCTTCAGTTTTGTAGGGAAAAAATTAAAATAAAATAATTGGCAGAGCTTCACACTTTGGGAAAAAAAAAAAAAAAAGAGAGAACATAACTGCCCATCTCTGTATGTGCTGTTTAGCTTCAGCTGTGGCACTTCATCAATGCAGCCTCGGAGTTGTGACCAAGTGGTTTTCATTTTCAGAAAGTGTAGCTTTGCTGTGAGAGCAGAGTCTCCTCTCCTGAGATGGTGGTTTATTAGGTTCTCCCCTCTCCCTTCAGAAGATGTGAAGGACTGGGCAGAACACATGTAATGCTTCTTTTAGCATCATTGTTTGCTCCCTGCTTTTCCTACCATTTTCTTCAAATATTTTGAAAGAGTTTTAGTGTTGTTTGTGAGATGAGCCACAAGCATTCTGGAAAGATAAGTAATCACCATGCTTTACAGGCAGAAAGAACAGAAACTGAGAGAGAAAAGCACAGCTAGCTGAAATCACCACGTCAGTGACAGAGCCATATGCAAAACGTTGGCTCCGAGTCATTTATTTATCGTCTGACTTTCAGCTAAAGATTTACAGTCTGGAGGCTGTCTTACGGGCTGATTTATTCCTTCCAGGAGTTAGTTGGTTACTTGTCATTCTTACATTGTGTACATAATTCCTACTATTTAGTGATTGCTTTCTATTATTGTTATTGTTAAATAATTTAGCTTAGGTAATTCTAGAAGCATGCCAGTAGTTCATTACAGGTTATGAGAAAACCGGTTTCTTTTTGAGTAGCAGCAGTGCAGTGTAGGCAGGATCCTCTCTTAAAGGCCATGAAAACTATCCTGTGAGCCCAAATAATCTTTCCTTTCCTGCTCCTCACTAGCATTTCACCGAACAGCCTTGACAGGTACAAATGATCATTAAAAGAGAGGGAAAGAGTGCTTTCTTTTGCTTTTGTTCCCGTGGATTTCTCTACATCTAACATACCATTTGGCAATGAAAACCCAACAATTATCAGAAAGAGTTATCGCATGGGCTCTGGCACACATTTCCTTCATCAAAAAATCCTTTTGTGTGGGTTGTTTTGTTGTGGGTTTTTTTGGGGTGTGTTTTTTTTTTTTTCTTTCCTTTTTTTTTTTTTTTGTTTGTTTGTTTGTTGATCACAAGGGCTTAACATGAACTGGATATATGAATTCGGTTGTTGATTTTCTGTGTTTCCCCTCCTGTTAATCAGAATTCCTTGCCCACTCATTTTTGGGATTTTTTTTGCATGCCCAAACGTTTGTACATACATGGCTTCTTTGAATTTCTCTGATTCAATTCGGTCAAAACCATTGCCCTGGAATTGCATGGAAACGTAATTTGTATTTGCTGAAAACATAGTGAATTGTTTGCTGTCACATTCTTAGTTTGTGACTAACAGATGATAAGTTCAGTGGATCTGGCACAAAGAACAGGAAATAGAAAGGTCTTTCCAATGGCTTTGCTTGGCTGGGCTTGGAAACTGAGAATCACAGCCACAAACTTCTCTTCCATGAAATGGTTTGTCATTCACCAGCCAGCAGTTAGTCCAACTGTTGGATCTGTGCAGGGAAGTAAGAGGAAAGTTGATTCCTTCTTGATTGTTGCTGCGTTTTCACAGTGGCATTAGTGCACCTGTCTGCGTTTCAGTCGCATCTGCCAAGCTGGCCAGTCCCATTTCAGCACTGATCTTAGAGCAAAGCTTTCGCTTTCAGTTCTCCTTCTTCCCCAAACCCAAATCATCACATGTGGAGGAGAGATTTAAATGCTACCCTTCTATTTTGTGACTAGCCTTTAAGCCTCTAGTAAGACTCTCTGTGGTGACTATTCACTAGTAGCTTCTTCCTTCATTATTTAAAATACCTTTTACTTATTTCTAGAAAATATGAAATGCAGAAGTTCTTCACTTTCTTCATCATCACAGATTTTCTTTCTCATTTAGTGTGAGAACCCCCTCGTGTTGTGTAAGTGAAATTTAAGACTGCCCTGAAGAAGTGGCAATATATTGGTTTGTAAGAAGAGTTTTTTAGTGGCAGGAGGTGGGAGGGAAAGTGGCTGTGTGTTCCACTGCCTGAACAACAAAAGAGGAACGAAGGTAACGGGGTTTCACTGCTGTAAGGGGCAGTGCTGCGTGCGTGTGGTGTATCCCTCAGGGACTTTTTGAAAACGGATAAGCAGAAGTGGTGTGAATGTTTTCTTAAAGTTTTGTCAGGTGCTCGTGTCTGCTTTACTGCACAGCTGAAATGTGCAGCTCTGGCATGGGGAAGGTGTCCGTGTGCTCGTCTTCTCCTGAGACGTAGGGGAAAGAGCTTGTGTATGAGCGTGGTAGGAACTGGGGTGAAAAGGGCCCTTACGTTTCACTGCTGCTTCATGGACAAATCTGGGAGCTTGTGTTCCCCAAATAATGTGCATGGCAAAGACATGTCACCTGCAGAAATTCTGGAGTAGTGTCTCTGGCACAGTTATCCTGTGGGACTTAAATGGGAATGGCACCAGCAATCTCACAGGGAAAAGAAATACTGACAGCTCCCAAGCACTGGTCTGGTGTTATTTTTTTCCTAGCTCCTATTAAAATTTTGGATAGCATACTAATGACACAAAATTTTTACTGCTCTGAGTTGAGAAACTATTTAACTATTTTTTTTTTTTTGAAAAGTAGTATGTTTTTCTTTGGGTGGGAAATAGGGCAGTCTGGACAAATGCTGAGGTAATCATCCCCAGTGTGTATTTTGAGAGCATTAATCACCTTCAATTTGATTTGGAAATTAATTTTGGTTGCTGAAATGCGAGTTAAATTTACTTGTGATAGTATCTGACTACTTGCTGTTGCCAAATGCTCCTCATGTATGAGCAGGTAGATGTTGTCGGAGGTGAAAACGTACATAAAGTTATTTGACCTGTCTTAGTAATTTCCCAGGCAATTTCAGGTAATTAGAAAGCTGGTGGGTTTTTTGTTTGTTTGCTTGTTTGCTTTTGTTTTGTCTCCTTTTCTTTTAAAAAACTTTCTGCATTGTTGCTTAATGAAACTTAAAAGAACATGTCTCTCATTTAACTTACTAATTTCTTCCATTTTCTTATTATTTTAAAAATAAACTGGTTAGTAAATTAGGAAAGAGAATATTGTAGTAGAAATCTTATGAACATTTCCTTTAAATTTTTGATTTGGGTATCTTATCCTACCGGCTGTTATTCATCCAAACTATTCTTTTGAAGCTGCCACTGTAAGTACCGTTTTGCAGGACTGGATCTACACGTAAATTTTGCATGGCAGTCAACCTCTCCTAATTTCCACGTACAAAATGCTCCAAAGTTGCTGTTAATGAATCAGTGAACATGACTTTGCTGGTACACTGAAAGAACAGAGAGGCCTGGCCTGCCGATGGCATTGTATTGTGCTGAAATACCAAAACAGTTGTTTCGTTTGTTACAGATTGCAGAAGGAATGGCATACATAGAAAGGAAAAATTACATCCATCGAGACTTGAGAGCAGCTAATGTTCTGGTTTCGGACTTACTGATGTGCAAAATTGCTGATTTTGGACTAGCTAGAGTTATTGAAGACAATGAATATACAGCAAGAGAAGGTATGTTCTTTTGTTGTTTTGTTTTGTTTTGTCTTTAAAAATTCAGTCTCTGGGAGGCATTGAGGCTGTATTTAAAATTAATATGATCACCAAGGACAGAAAATGCCATAAAAACTAACTAGTGTTCTAATGCCAACAACTTTTAAAATGACCCACAGCTTCCATCCCACTGAATTAAATGCTGAGAAATTATGAAAATTATTTTCTGTTCACATCCTAAGTGCCATGTGCACCTTCCTTCCCTTACAGAAAGGAAGCAGCCCTGGTAGTTGTAGTTGTTGGGGGAAACTTTTGCAAAACTGGTTATCTTTTGAAGCTGCTTTAGGAGCTGCAGCATTGATTTGTGTGTTCAGCACCATCACTCCTGTGCATAGGGACGCTCAAAGGCTGCCTCCTTTTTTGCCCCCTGTTCAGCACACGGCCAGGAGGTAATGCTGCAGCAGGGGCAGGACTGGTGAGAGAGGAAAGCATGCTATTAAAGATTTGTCTGTATTTTGCCATATGTGTTTTGCTAATATTGTCACAGAATGTTTTAAGAAGGGCGTAGTCTATTAGCTGTAGTGAAAAGTTTCGTGTTTTTTTTTAATGTTCCCATGCACAAACCGCATTAGAGTAAATGCCCTAAAGCTTCTCTGAGCGTGCCTGTTGGCTGGCTGTCCTGCTCTCGTTTTAAGGACACTACCTCGTGTTTTCACACTGGCTGGGTGGAAACTGTGGTAATGTAGGATGAGAGTTTAAGAACCAAGGTATGCGGAAGAAAGAGAACAATGCGTTACAGTTGAGATTAAAGGGAGACGATTAAAGGGCTACTCAGAAGTCACTAGGTAACCAGTGACTAATTCAATGGGAGCTCAGAGGGAAGGACATGATTAAGCAGCTTTCAGAGGAACAGAACCCATACCTGTGTTTTTTTAGCCAGCTCTGGACATTGTATATTGATTAAACGATCCTTTCATGTTATAAATTCCTTTTGCTGGGTTTCTTTGATCAGTTTCCTGGCATTCAGTAGTTATCTAGCTTACCTGGTATTTTGTGCCAGCATGACAGAGCAGGGTAGAAAGGGCATAACCAGGATCTGTTTGCATTACTCTTCTTTGCCTGAAGAGCTAAAGTAATATTCCCCAGCAATGGCTGCTTAAGGGTTTCTTTTCTAACTAGATTGAGTCTGCATTTATATGGGATTTTTTGGAATCAGTTATTTAGACACAAAAGACATATATTAATATATGACTTGCTACTCGTTTTGCATCTATGGCTGTTTAGAAATAACTGAGTGTGGCGTATGTTAAAGTGCATGTTGAAGTTAGATGGACTTTCTTTAAAATGGTAGAAGTTAGCTAAGTCTTGTGAAGTTCCAGCTGATGGCTTCCTGGTTTCAGCTGGAATAGAGATAATTTTCTTCCTGGTAGCTGGCGTGGTGCTGTGTTTTGGATTTAGGATGAGAATAATGCTGATAACACACTGATGTCTTAGCTGTTTCAGAGTTCTGCTTACACAGAACCAAGGTCTTTCCAGCTCCTGGTGCTGCCCTTGCCAGCGAGGAGGCTGGGGGTGCACCATGAGCTGGGAGGGAACACAGCCAGGGCAGCTGGACCAGGCTGGCAAAAGGGATGTCCCATTCCATGGGGCATCATAAGGAATGATAAAAAGGGGGGAGTTGTGCTGCTCATGGTCTGGCTGGGAATTTTTTTTTAATTTCACCCCGATTCTCTCCCCCATCCTGCTCGGGGTTGGGGGGAGTGAATGTGGTGCTGAGCTCCTGCCAGGTTAAAGCCCAACAAACAGGATTTGTAGGATTTTTCCCTGACCACTGGTAGAAGGTAAAATGTTTACTGCCATTTTAGCAAAAGTTCACAATACCGAGAGGCTATGGTGCTATGTAACTTTCAGCATTTCATTTTCACCTTTAATGCAGGACATGCAGCATGGCAACATGTGTCTTCCAGCACTTCTCTTCTGGTAATTCCTGGATAGAAGGAGTTGCTGGTAACTTTGCTGTTCTAGGAGTAGCATAGACAAGTCTCTTAAATCCTTCCAGTGGCCTGATATAGTGTTTAAATTTGCCTTTGACTGACTGAGACTGTTTTGTCTTTTAGGTGCAAAATTCCCTATTAAATGGACAGCACCGGAGGCAATTAACTATGGATCTTTCACTATTAAGTCTGATGTGTGGTCATTTGGGATTCTCCTGTATGAAATCGTCACATATGGAAAGATTCCTTATCCAGGTATGGACACATGATTATACCATTGCTCTGTATTTATGCTTCAGTGTTAAAAGGCAAAGAAATTACCCAGGGAAAGAGCTGGCATCTGACAGTAGCAACACCGGTGATTTGGGAAAGGTCTTGCAGGTAATGGTAGTGTTTGAAAAGCTACCATCACCATATGCGTAAGCCATGTGCCTTGTGGGGATAAATTTTAGTAAATGGACTAACAGCACCATGAATGAGGACTCATTTTTATATATTTAAAAGAATTTACAGCTGAATAGTGGTAATTGCCTGAGATCTCCACTTCACAGGCTAAAGCATTGTCACGAGGAGGACACAGTACAAGTTTTAATGGTACTGTGTAAGCCACTGGCTTCTTTTTTTAATACCATAATATGTGAAAGTACTAAAGTGTGTTTTCACAAGCAAGCAGGCACTAATACTTTGTCATCATGAGCTAATCTGAACAAACAAGAAACAGAGCCTAAAGCAGTGCTGCTGTACCACTTGGCATAGTTTCTCTTTGTTCCCATGGTTCAGATCTGAGACCGCAGGGGAGTACATCAATAGTGGCTATAAAGGTAGCTGTGAAATGGTGATGTGCTTCATGTTTCCTTTTTCTTTTGTTAGACAAAATACATAGTGATGTTTTCAATGCATAGAAATAGCTCGTATAAAAGATATTTGTGTGTATGAAACTGTCACATCTCGGGCATAGCTGATTAACTCAGGGCAGCAGGGTGCATTCACGTAAGCGTGCTGAGGTTGTGGAAAATTAACCTAAATTCTCTTATCTTGTGGGTGAATGGAGAAAGTGCAGCTGTATTCACCTGGCCTGCTCACCTCCATTTAACAGACGGAGTAACTCCTGAGATAAAGCCTTCGGATCCGGCAGTTTACAGGCAGGAAAGGGAGAGCAGATGTTATATATTCAAGCAATGCTTTCCCAGCACTTCCAGTGCAGCAGCTCTTGCTGTTTAAATGGTGAAACCATTTTCACCACCACTTCACGAGCAGCTGAAACTGCATCCTGAAACACCTGGGGATGTCGAAGCGACAGAACTGGGTGACCTGAGTCCCAAACCCTGCCGTGACAATAGGCTTAACACCTGTGGGAACAGGAGACTGGACTTCCAATGGGGCTCAAGCAGCCGGGGAAAGGTTGATGGCAGCCAGCTTGATGTTATATGAGGGAAGAACACATCACCTTTCTGTGCAGGAGGCAGAGCCAAAGCAGACGTTCTTATCTCTCCTCAAGGCTCCAGTCCAGGGAAGCACTAAAGCTCAAGAGCAGCCCCCTTAAACTTCAGGAGGTGATAGGGCTGCTTGCATAGCTAAATGTTTAAACATTTTTTAGGTAAGGGCTATAAAATATGTGACTGAGCAGCTGGTCCTCCCAGTCTTAGTCTAAAAAAGCTGCTCAGGTCCCCAAGGAAAGATCAGATGGAAGCTGTCAGCAGCAGGGTAATTCATGGCTCTTCCCACAGTTGCAAGACTTTATTTCCCATTAGCACATGCCCGTGCATCCAGACACTAGCCCATGCTGAAGTGGCCCCACAAGGTTATTTCTGGATGCCTCAAAAATTGTTGTTCCCCAAGCAGACCTACAAGCTCACCTGGAAACCAGCACTACAAAAATACAAAACCCCAACCAATACTTAATTCTGCAGCTAAGTCTGCTGTCTCTTTACCTCCATAAAACACATCATATTTTTATTTTAAGAACAAAATCAGTCGGTGCAGCAAACACTGTACTACTGTGGGAAAACAACTCTTCTAGGGGAAGCCTGGGCAATAGTATTTTTTTTTAATGTGGAAGCGTTTTTTTTATGAGTATCATAAGTAAGCCATACACCGTGAATTAATTTGTCATGCCAACGATTAGAAGGGGAAGCCTCTTCACTGCATACTGCTTCTAATAGTTTGCATTCAACTGCAAGAGGGATGTATGTCTATTTTAAATAAAAGTCTAAACTGAAGTAGCCTAATAGGCAGAAAGTTGATACTGGAGAACCAGCAGGACAGCAAAATAAGTGGATGACCAATTTACTTCACATGAAGAAATGTGACAGGTTTGGGCAAATTACCCCAGCATGGCAAGAATAGCCCGGTGATAGGTTGTGAGTAGCAGCCGCTGGAGTAGAAACAGTGAATTGATTTTTCGGTTCTAATGGGAACACTTCAAAATATTATTTTCAGGTATTAACCAGCTTCAGCATCTAGTAAGCTTTCAGCATAAAGCTGCATACAAAATGGTTTGAGTTGTAGCTGACAAGTAGTTAAATGCTAGCAAAGAAAATCTAGGCAGGCAGCTTGGTAGGAAGCATTTCCAGCCAAGAAACTTGGAACTTCTGTGATCTTTGTTCCTAAATTCCAACAGCTGTTTCTCTTCCTGAGAAATTCAAAGCAATTAGTGGGACTACAGTTTCAGGAACTACCTCTGAAATACGAAACAAGTGTCTGATTCTGTAGGCAAGTAGGTCGAATTGGTTGTAAAAACCTAATTTCCAGGTGATTACACAATATGTAATTTATTGGAACGAGCCATGTTTGCATTCCAGTTATATCAGCTGTTCTTCACAACATGTGTCACTTTCGGTACACTGGGATTTTTCCTTCACATTGCTGTGCTTACATCATTTCCCGGGCTGTAACATAAGGAAATCTTTTATCTGTGAACCTTCACAGGTACCACAGTGTAAGTTAACACACGTACCAAATCTTTAGAGTTAGCCCTTTGCTAGCATATAAGGTGTAACAAATATGTATGCAGGATGTCTTTTACTGATTAGGACATAGTTTTGGTGAAACAGGTGACTCTCTAGCTGAAAGAAAAAAAATAATGTGGAGAAGTTAAACAAGTAGCTATTCTGAGGGTACTACATCATGTGTTGGGTAGACAGATAAACCTCTCTGTTTGTTTTTTTTAAATACATAAGGATGTTCATGATGCTGTACCTAGTATGCAATACTGATAAAAGGCTCTTCATTTTGGTCTTATGAACTTAAATGGTTATTTAACAGATATTTTTTCTGCAAGTTAGCTGAAACACAGTGCACAGAATTCAGAGTACAGTAATAATCCTAAAGACACTAGATCTAAGCACAAGCCTATAAAGTACTTAAACCCAAGCAGTCAGATCATTGTTCCTTGTAAAAATACTTCATTGGCTTTCTTTCTATATTTATTTTGGCTTTACTTTATATAGCAGTAATTCCTTATTCTGTGAAAACATCCTATTCCACTGCTACCTTCAAAATACTCTTTTGCTATAGCATGTGCAGTGCTAGGAAAACTTCACTCCTCCTTCCAAAGCAAAACTTTGAAAATACAAAAGATGGACCCAAAGTAACCACTCTGATTCAGACCCAGATTTCATGGCTGATGGTTTTTCTAGAGGTTAAAGCCAAAAGGCTTGAACTGAAGGAACTCCAGCCTTTGGGAATTTGGAGCAGTGTCCTGTAGTTAATGTCAAATTATTTGGGGAAATTAATCCTACCCTGCACAGATCTCTTGAAATGAAGGGAAAGAGTATCCAAGGATCCACTATGTTCTGTTGTAGTGGTGCCTGCTCTTCTAAATGAGGAAAAATTGGCTTGGTCTTACGGTGTGCATATTGTGATTGGCAGAACTTCCATGTGTATTAAGGAAAATCCCCTTAATTCAAGTCATCCTGAATAATCAAAGGAGTTATACTGAATTAATTTGTCATTTGGTTGTGATTCAAATGTGTCCTTAGCCGCCAAGTGGCTTAAATCATAGCCTCGGTGCTCCGGCAACGCGTGTGGTGCTCTACAGCAGCGGTGAGCTGCACGGTCACTGCGTGCCCAGGGCAGGCAGCACACCTGCACCTCTGCTGCAAGCCTCGGCATCGGTCGGAGCACTGCATGTCACACATTCACCTAACCAGAGGTTAAAAAAAAAACACACCACATGATAGTCTTAGGCAGAGCTGCACCATGTGGGGAATTATTCAGAGGAGCAGCCAGCAGCTGTGGGGTCAGGATACCCTTCTGGGTAGAGATAAAGTCCTCACTGATGGCAAGTGTACCAGGCTGAAACGCAGGTGCTTCCTGCATGCCCTGTCTGAGGTACAAAAAGCTTAAAGGCTGGCTTGGGAGAAGGTAAAGCTGGCATAGTTAGCCCATGGAGTTGTGTAAGATATGCAGAGGAAGGGGCGAGCTGAAAGGCAGGCTTTGGGGTAGGAAGTGGTTTTCTTGTCGGCCCTGGCATAGCTGACCTCGCATGCAGGGCTGCCTTCTGAGAGCAGGTGTTGCAATCCTTCTGTGAACCCAGCTCTCAAGGACATAAAGGAGGAAAAGAAGAAGATCAAAAAACGAGGAGGGTGCAATCTGGGGCTGGTCTGTGAGAGAGGCACGTGAGGCTCGGGATACACTGCTGGTTGTTACTGTTCTTTTTCTCAGAAAGAGAGCAACAACGGGGAAACAAAGCAAAGCTCATCTCAGCTGATGAGATGGTTTTGCACAACAGGAATAGCATGAGCAAGAGGGAGAGGAAATTGCCTGTTGCATGTAACGGTCTCAGTGATGTCCACTATCTTGCAATCAGCAGCAGATGCGCAATAGTTGATGTAGGAGAAAAATCTGAGTGTGTAACTACGCTGAAGGGTGCATGGGCGTGGGGCACCGGCAGTGTGGTGAAGCAGGCGTGCTGCTCTCCATCGGTGTGGAACAAGCAGGTTTGAAGCTCTGCAGCCAGAGACAAAGAGGGAAGAGTTGGCCAGGGTGGGATTTTGGCTGTGGATCTTACCGCCTCTGAAAGCAGGAAAAACAGGAGGGATCCGGGGAATAGAATCAAGTCAAATAGTTTCTTAAGGAGTTAAGAGATATATTCATTGAAACCTTTATTATTATTATTATTATTATTAAAGGTATGAGCAATTCAGATGTGATGGTTGCTCTCCAGCGTGGGTACCGGATGCCACGTATGGAAACCTGTCCAGCTGAGCTTTACGACATCATGAAAACGTGCTGGAAAGACAAGGCAGAAGAGAGACCGACGTTTGATTACCTACAGAGCGTGCTCGATGACTTCTACACAGCAACAGAAGGGCAGTACCAACAGCAGCCATAGAACAAAGAACACTTTTCCTGCTGACATGGAGCATTGTCACAGACTTACCTGGACAGACTGCTGTAACCAATTACTCTGTGAGCTTGGATGTCTTAACCAAGTGTGGAAGCTGAGATGCTGACGGAAAGACAAATTCTGCAGCGAAATAATCACGCTTTTCTTTGGTTAAAAGAATTCCTCTAGAGGTTGAAGTTCTCTTAAGTGCTCTGTGTTTTGCAGCTGCAGAAACATACCAAACCGAGTCAGCTTTTTGGGGTGGGAAGGGAGGCAAAAGGAAAGCGACCATGCACCTGTACAGTCTGACAAATCCTTCTCAGGATCAGTCATGGAATACATTACAAGGAGGCCTTTACAAAAGGGATGCATGAACAGCTGTCTTCGAAAGAAAAAGGCATGAAGGAGACCTTACAGATTTAAGACATGGTGTTGCTCTTAAATCACCTTTTTTGAAATGCAGCAGTGTGAAAATTATTTTTGTATCCTTGTTATTTCGCAGTCGCAGTGGGAGTACTGGCACCTCTTGTAAGACTTTCTAAATGTTGTCATGATTTCCTTTAAGGAAGGGTTATGTATGTAATTCTTTACATTGAAGATGATTCTGTTTTACTGCTCTGTCACTCGTATTAAGTTTAAAATAATTTTCAAAGCAACGCAACAGCCCTCTCAGATGCAGAAGCGCGTACATGACAGCAGAAGCAGCAGCATATCCAGCTCTGTGTCCAACCTTCGGTTTCCCACAAGGCCAAAGTCATCATCAAGGGGAAAGCACAGGAATTTGAAGAAGTTCATACTTTTATTGCAGTCACTGAGAATGTTACCCGTGAAAATATTTTAATCGTAATTTCTAATGGTCTGTGATTATTCGAGTATTCCTTGTATTTTTGCTGCTTTAATCGACTAACCTAAAAGCTGTTTTAAAGCTAAAACTAGCTCTAGCGCAGTCAAAACCAATTTGTGGAAATATGCAGTAGGATATTCAGTTATATGGCAGTAACACTATAACATCGTTGCTCAGTATCTAAATCTGTAATTCATAAAAATGAAACGCAGTTTGCTAAGCTCTCTATATCAAATTGTTCTACCCGAATGAGTTACCAAAACAGCTGAGCTAGTGCAATTACAATGCAACTACAGTATAAGTGGGCTTTTTTCCTTGGTGACACTGTTCCTACCACTGAAACCCAGCACATCTTTGCCACCTCTCACCCCAATTATTTAGGCAAGTGGTACTTTGCTTCGGTGTGCCTGCAGCTAATGTTCAGCAGCATAAACAATCATTGCTTTTGTTTTCCATTGGCCTCCTTCAGCCAAACTACGCTGGTTAAGCAGACTATCCGATAAATATGTAAATATTGTTTCTATTGTATGGTGATTTTTAATTTTAATAAACGCTTAGTCTGAAATGAGTTGTACAGCAGTAATTTGGGGGAAAAATGCCTCATACTCTGTCCATAGCAGTAGCTGCACATGGAAGATAAGAGCCTCTGCTTATTACCACTCAGAAGGGTAAGTTAGAATGATAAATACTGATGGACTCTGCATGCCTTATATCTATTCAGTCTTGGGAAGCTGAAGCAGGTTGAACCACCCATTTCTGCAGCCCTTTTTGGGTTTCTTTTGAGCAGGCAGGAAGAAAAGGTTTAGTTCTAAAATGCCCTTTAAAACAGCTTCTCAAAATTCTTTAACGTACCAGTCCATTGCAACCCTTTGAAAAAGATTACAGCTAAAGCTCGGTAAGTGTTTCACTACAGGTTGTGTTTTAGCTTAAGGAAAAAAGCTTAAGCGATACTAGAACTTTGTTTTTCAAACCATTTCCTGAAGCCAATAACCTGAAGCCAACAGAATTGATCCAGGAAGCAGGAAGGTGCATGGAAATGCCATTTGCTCAGAGAATAAGAGATTACAGATAGCGTGCTGCAAACGTGCTAGTATACAATCTCAGACAAGCGACGGAGCATCAAAGCACAGCATGAAATCATTTGAAGTGATATTACAGTAAGTTTCTAGTGTTAGCCTATTGTTTGACCATTGCTGGTCCAGAGCAATTTGTACTCAGCAGCCTTCTTGTTCAAGGGATCAGCACTCAGTGTTTTGTAGCACTACACCAAAATATTTTTTAATAGTTGGAATAGTTTGTGTGGGAATAGAATAATATTTTAGAAATTCTACCCTGGAGATAACCCATATTTAAGGGAAACAGTTCAAAAACACAAGACCTGCACTGGCTCAAGTCCTACCTCTTCAGACGGGTTAAGGGCATACCAGAGTGATTACTTATCACTGCATTCAAGCAGACCAACTCAAGCAACTGGTTGGTAAGAGCACTCACATGCAAAGGCCTGTTGCAGTATCACACAGGAAGGCTGCACCACCTAGCGACTCCACATGAGGGGAAGACTCTCTCCAAACTGGGTTCTCTTCTACCAATAAGCATCAGGAACTGATGAATTTGATTTATTTACAGGTTCTGCTTTGTCCTAAAAGGATTCTCCAACTCTTAAAGACATAGTATTTTCACTGTAGTTAATGAAAACCTCACACTCACTGACTGAAATCGCCATGAGGAAGCTACTTCAAGTTTTATCATGCCCCAGTCGTGCTCTTACATTGAGTTTGTAGTTACAGGTAGGTAACAAGCAGAGCTGTGATTCTTTCAGCTCATCATCACCACTTGTCAATCGCTATGAAAGCTCTGCCTCAAAGTTCATGATTTTACCTTTTCTTTGGTTTCATTGATTTTCTCACCTTTATAAAATGAACAGTCAGAGCTTAATCTAATAATTGAAAGTTTTATTATAAATAGATTTTTCAGAGTTTAATACATGTCCTTAGTGGGAAGTCAAACAATATTAAAACAAGTTCCTTTACAAAGTCAAGTTAGCCACAAAATAGCAAGAAGCCAGATAAGACCTCATTTTATCTCTTATGAGGTCAAATGTTAAACAATCTGGTCAGTTTAGTCCCAGGAGGGTAGTTCTCAGGTCAAAGCCACAGTATTTTCTGAAGAATCAAGCTAATTTATAAAAATACAAGCCATCTGATTTGTAGGAATCAGCAACAAAAACAAAATATCTAATTTTAAAAGGTAATAATCAGAGGAGGAACATCCCACTTCGCATCAATCACATTTGTAAGTACAGAAGGCCTCAGTAGCAGTTACTCAAGAATTCAAGTTATATATACACTTTTATATATTGATATACATCTCAAATCCCATCCCCATATCAACAGTAAAAGCAGAAGCTTAGGTCTACAGTCACATAGCTCTAAATTTGACCCAACATGATTTAAAAAGGCTTGCATTAAACATTTGTCAGTTAACATGACTGTAAGGATGGCAGTCTCAGGGTAGAAAAAAGCAGCTAACAACAGTCTGGATTAACAACTGGTTAAAGACTGATGAAGCAGCCCAGTAATTGCATGTTTCATTAATCAAGTATTATTCTTTTGGTTTATGAGCAAACAGTACGTGTTTTCTTGAAGGGGTTGAAACGTCTTCACCCTTGCCCCAGCCTTTACCAAGAGGTGTACTAGCAGCGCCTGCTACCGTGGATTTCAGGTTAGCCAACAAACCTCTCCGGGGTTTTTGTTGTTTTGGTTCCTCAGCAGAGAAATGCTTTTTGCGTTCGAGTTCTTTTTGCAGGGAAGACACTGTTTCTTCAAGCTCAAGAACACGTTTAGCCCAGTTCTGAAGATTATTCATTTCTTGATCCTATGAGCATACAGCTGTGTTAGGTGCATGAACACTCCAAAGTCTTTCATATAACTTCATTCTCTATTTTTTTCTATATTTCTATTTTACTATTTTCAAACACCCATGTGATTACTATGCTAAGTGGCTATTCCATAGCCATTTCTTCTGAATTACTTTTATGTAATTAAGAGAACAGCAAACTATTGGACCATCAGATCTAGAGACTAAGCCTGACTGACTGAAGCTTACCGTAAAATGCTTAGCCACACCATGCAAAGAATTTCAGTTGTTCAAGGAACCAAAAATAAAGAAGGCTTTCCAGTCTTAAGCCACAAAATAATTACTAAAGCAAAACCAGTCAGATCAAAACTCAGTTATAAGTCTGCTAACCAGGACTGAATAAATCCATTGAGTGGGCAGAGCACAGTCTTCAAGATGCTCTCTAGTCCTTGTGGCTAGAAAGACACACCTTTCTAAGCCTTAGAACCAATCAAGAAAAATGAAATTCAATATGAACTATTTTCAGGCTCAGACTTGGGACTATGCAGAAAGTAATTTAATGTTCAAATAAACACTTAGTCTGATACCTGTCTTATTTCATTTGGAAGTTACATATGAGGCATTGGTGCAAAATGTCAAAAGGTCAAGTTTTTCATTTTTTATTTAGGAGTCTAGTTGGTGCCTGAGGTGAGATGCTGTCAGCTTTATGAAGCTTTTGAAATATTAAGCATTTTACCTGCCCACAGCTCTTATCCAGCTTGGGCACTTCTGCAGGAGTGCCAGTACAGCTTTCAAGCCAAAAATTTTTAGGTTTTGTTGTGCTAACATTAGTGTACTAGCTTGCTTGCCCTCCCTCAGGAGAACATTTCATGACTAGACAGGAGAGAAGATTCCACAAGTGTTCCAAGCAGTAGTTTCTGTGCTTGACAACCAATTGGGGCATCTTTAGATTAGTAAGAAGTGTCAGCACTGTTTCCCTATCAGCTGAGCCTATTACTTAAATTGAAAAAGGAGTCTTAGGAGCCTTGTGTTACAAGCTACAAAGCCAAGAAGTGAAACTTGAGGGTTGTAAGTTCAGGAATTTCAGAATGGAACAACTGCAAAACAAAGAAATAAGCAAAAATCATTATGCTAACATCAAAAGCAGTTAGTGAGACTGAATAGTGTTTTTACATGTACAAAGATGCAGAAACATTGAATTTAACTGCAGAAACAAGCCACGGTAAAGTTGTTTTTAAATGGCTTGTCAAACCTTGAGCATGATTGTATGCCTTCAGTCTGCTGTTCTCTTCTGCCATTTTTCTGTAGCCTTCATTAGCTTCTAGCAGAGTTTCATTTAATTTCTGTATTTTCAGCTTCAGAGACTTTATAAGCTGAAAATAAAACCCATACACACTGCAGTTCAACACCACATTTTATTAGCATTTGGTTTCTGACTAGAACTCATACAGACACTGTAAGCATTTCTGATTAATACTGAGCAGTGCAAACTGTGAGATCAAAGCAGCAAAGATGAAGACTGCTACTTCCAACCTGTCATGTCCCAATCCCATCATTTCTAGTAAAAATATAGCTGGAGTATTCAAGGACCATTGTGATGAAATTGCACATTGATTGCACAGACCTGGCAATCAAAGAACAGCAGCACAGAATTCTGGAACTGTCTGCTCCTTTTCCATTAAGGGTAGTTGTTATAATGCTTTCATCTCATTAATATTATTTGTGCTCTGACCTGGAGTACAGTTACAGCAGAAGGCTTCACCTTTCTGCTAAGAAGATGGATTCTTATATTGGTAGATGAAGTCTTGAGAGAGAAAAGAGTCAGAACCAGCAATATTATATCTATGATTTAATTCTACGTGGTTGTAGGGGAAACATCTACATTGCTAAATCAGAAAACCTTTGCCCTGTATTTAACAGCTGAGTGGGAGGGAAAACGAGTAGTCACTAACACATGCACAGATACTGTGAAGCAAAGCAGTGGAAGGGCATTGATGAAAGCAGTTGCATTAAACTATGCTCACTTCAGTTACTGCCAGGCAGCAATCCCATGACTGACATTTTCCAGCCTCGCAAAAGAATCAATATTGAATCCTCAAATCAAGCATAGAAGACGAACTTGCTTTCTAGCATCACAATTTGAAATTGACATAGGAAATGGAAAATGTTGCAGAGCTTTTGAGGACAGGAGTGGAAAACAAATGCCAGGGCCATAAAACGAGACATTAAACTTGGTAAGGAAAAAGTTATTTTTGGATTATACTTTTTCAATAGAAAGGGATTTAAGTTCACTTTCCATTTACACGCCTTATTAGAACCAGCTGGAACTGTTTCTGCAACCCCTACTCTTATTTGCTATTAGTGAAAGGAGCAAGGCTCATCTCTTCCCTCCTCCCCCATCTTCTTTAAACACAGGCCTTACAATAAGTTTGTTTGAGGTGTGGACTAAAAATGCCTACCTAAAAATGATTAGTATTTTGTTTTCCATAACACAGCCTGAAGCTCATATTTCCACCTCTACAGGCCATTCAGAGCCGAGGAATCTTGTTTGTTTAAAGAACTGAGACCTCACCCCTTATTCAGGTAGATGGTAGAATTCAGTACTCACAGCAAGGATGGGTTTAAGGCACTATTTTGGCTCTAGATCTAAACATCTACCAGATTCTTTTAAACTGTTCCCCTGTGTATGAGCAGGCACCTTTTCCAGAAGGAAAGCACCAAGGCCACAGTAGCAATGTTTACAACACATTACAGTACAAGCCCATATATTCCCCTACTTCCACTTCATATTATGTTTGCCACATGACTTGCCAGAGTAGCAGACACCTCTACAAGCCACAGTAATGCCAGAACATAGCCAACCTTTGACAAGAGGCATCCACAACTGGGTAAGAACTCTTTTCTAAACTTGACACTCATTTGCAGGATTCTCAAGGGTCTTAAAGCATTGAAGCCATGCCAGAATTTAGGACTGTTATTCCCAGATGTGTTAAGTATTAAGCAAGAACTACCTCATCTTTCTCTGTGCATTGTTTCTGCAGTCCTTCATTGGCTCTCTTCATCATCTTGTTTGCAAGATCTATAGACAAAAATAAGTTTGATTTTATACACAAAACCAAAAATAGCTAGAACAACAAATATCCAGATTAGGTTCCTACCGAGTTCCGTGCCATTTTCAGTAGTCAGTATATCTGAATTCGGACTTCCCAAAGCCAACAATTTCTGTGACTGTTCATCAAGTTGTCTTTCCAATTGCAATATTTTACTCTCTCTATCCTGAAAAAAGAAAGGGACATGGTAGAATTTGTCTAAACTTCCACTTAACCTTACCTAATTTTCTACCAAGACCACCTTGGGCTTTGTATCTTCCTTTATACTGGCCACGCAGCTGCATAAGAGGCAGATATAACTACAGAGAACACTATTAAAAACTTCTCCCCCCAAAATGGTGTATAGCTATGGCTTAAGCAGACATATAAACAGTCTCAGTAGACAAAAAGTGTTCTGGTAACTGAGTCATCATGTCCACCCTCAATTCCAGTCTGAACTGGAGGTAAGAGTCAGTTATTTTGCTTGCCCATTTTTTAATTATCTGCCAGCCTGAATTAAGCATGTAAGGGTAAACTACATCTTATCTTTTAGCAGCAGCATGACTTATCTCCATTTATTTTACAAAAGCCAAACATCAACAAAAACACAAACGGAAACAGCAACAAAAAGAAACAAACACATTTAATCCACTATTGTTTTAGAACAAAAGAAATCAGAAGTCACACAGGACTGATCTAGAGAATTATTGACAATTGTTTCCAAGGAGACCTACACAGAGTTTGATCTGGTAATGTTTTGGTAGGAAAATTAGGTATGCAACCATCTGAGGAGAATAGCCATTACGTGCAAAAATAACACTTGCATACCAGATAAGTATGAAAGATTTTACAAAGAAGTATCACTCAGGTAGCATACTCATGCAGTTCTGAGAAGCTGCACACTCTTTACATTGTGCAAAGGAACAGTAACTTCCTGACACCAACTACTGAGCAGCCCTAGTTGGGAGCACATTCAGAGTAAGCTCTCTCCTGTGTAAAGTTTTGTTTCTCATCACTGCTTCGTTTTCCATAATCCTCCCTTACAGACCTTCAGAGCAGAAAATCCATTATCTTTGAAATAGCAATCCTATACTAAATTGCCCATCTGCCCTTTCAGACCAACTTTTTACTCTACACTCTGCAATTCCAAGGATATTCACACAGCCGGACTGCTGCATACACTACCCCTCTAGGTGTTGCAGTCAGTGCATTACAGAGAAAGATTTAAGCAAACTGGGCTTTCATAGAGTAGGAAGTTTAGGTATACACTATCAGTAATTTTAGACTAAACATCTCTATCCCCATGGACAGTTTTAGGCATCAGAATAGCTAGGCTGAACTGCTACAGTTATTTTGAATGTTCAGTGTTGCATTTAGAACTCCTGAATGAGTCTGAAAAAGCACTATTTACAGTTACGAGGCTAGCTTATCAGCACACAGTTGTTAGCAGCCATCAAGTCATACCTCAACTTTCTCTTGTTCAGCTATAAATTCTTCTATGGGAACATAATGGTCTTCAATTTGTTCCATTGCGCACATGTACGCGTGTTTCTTGATGGCCTCTTTATACATTTCAAATTTGCTCTCCAGTGCTTCTTCATAACTGTCTTTCAGATCTTCCAAGCGGTTGCTGAGAAGGATGTTTGTTTATTTAGCATATTCGAATTATACAGCTATTACAGTTTGGATAAACATGTTCAACTTGCAACACCAAAGTTATTTATTTAATAATAAATAGTAAACATAGAAGACAGAAGTACTCTCCTTCCTTGTCTCCTTTTTATTCTCAATAATCTTACGGACCTGCATCAAGGCATAACTTCTAGTTAATACCAAACAGAATGCTATAGAAGAGTATGTATTCAACCCTTGATCTCAGCCTTGCTGTGGTTATTCTGATCTTTTTCTCTCTTCCATGAGAACTATTAAACACAGCTACAGATCTCAGCACAAACTACATCACTCTTGTTTAAAAGCTGAAGTTCATAATAGTAGTGGCTAATAGTAAAAATATCTGTGTGGTACTTCATTGGTCTACCACATTATACTACGTAAGCACTTCACAGCTCAAGTGCCTGAATCTCCGGTGACACTGAACTTGGTATTTTACAGCTGCAGAAGTGGTAAGCCCGTGTCAAGCTTACTTCAGTGGGACATAAGCACTCAAACGAGTGGAAATCGATGCGTAGGAGGAATTAAAATACTCTATCACCATGACACACCTGTGTCAACTAACTCACCAAGCCCGTTCTCATCACACAGACACCGCTCAGCAGGCACCCAGGAACTACAACCAGATAGAATCCCAAATGCTCAAGTTTTTTTAACCTTGTTAAAAAAAAGCTCAACCTGAAATCTAATTCTGAGTGCAAGCACAGTCCTTGCTTCAGTTTCAGTTGAGGCATTGAAAACCTCCTACATCACTTTCAGAAGACTGCTGTTAGCATGACTATTAAAAAGCCAGATGTCTGCATAATATTTTCAAGTATGGGGTTTAGACCGTCTTGAAAGACCTGTGAAGCAGAAGTTTTAATAAAAAAATCCACCAACATGTAATGGTAGCTATGATTACACTCAGACCTGATATTTGAAGCCTATTTCTGGGGATGTGGGCAGGTTTGTTTTTTTATGTTAATGAAAAAGCAAAAAAAAAATAAATGCTTTGTTTTATTATTTCAAGTTATAGAAAATACATGTTAGCCTTGTCACAATTTAAAATCTGTCCCAGCAGAGACTGAACATCAACCCAACAGATAAGTATCACTAATAGCTTCATGTGTTTGGCCAAAGGCACCCAAGCAATCTTGAAGGCAGTACAGGTGTTAAAGCATAGTGTTCATCTGGCAACTTAACTCTGGGCTAGTGTTTGTTAGCAACTCAAACAGCAAAAAAACATTTTCAGGAAGAGATGAGTTAAGAGGAAGTAAATTCAGCTTGAACAATCTGGATACACTTGAAGAAATCCCCAAGTTAGTAACATTAATGCAGACAGCCACAGTAACTTATAAGACAGTAAGATAAGTTCAAAAGTCATCAAGAAGGCAGAAGGAGAGTTCAAAGAGATACAATTCAAACCACCTGAAGCACACGCATGTATATTAACATGTGGTGACCAAGTGCTTGCCTTAGAGCAATCACAAGCCTCAGTCTGGTACCTACAGTCTTCTGTATTTACCAAATATTAATAACAAGGCAGGACAGCCTGCAGTAATTGCAAGTTACAAAGTTCATCAGAAAGCAGCGTTACTTTCTCCTTGTACATAGGAAGAGGCGGATCTGTAAAAGTTCATTTTAATGTTCCTCTTCTCTTTTCATCTGAATCTTTGAAACTAGTCAGCCTTAACTTCTCTAAACAGTATGAGCATGCATGTCTTGCATGTATGTAAGTGTATGCCTTTATGTATGTGGAATTCAGTTTTGAATAGGATTGTAGCATGACTTGCCTCCAGGCTTCCTCCGTTTCCAGCAGTTGTCGGAACATTTCTTCTGCCATCTCTTTACGTATCTTCACCTCCAGAAGGAGTTTACTTTGCCTTTCTGCAACTAGCTTCTCTTTTAGGCTCTCTGTAGTTTTCAACAGATCCTAAATTTAACATATTTCAGTTCGGAAAAACTAGAAGTCCATATCAATATGCACATCAAATAAAAAGATGTGTTAATACAGATGAACATTCACAACGGGCATTTCTGTAAGCCTCTTTTCAAGGGGGCTGCACCAAGGATTAAATATTTTCAAATTTTATTTTCTTCTGTTGCAAAGCCAGTCTCCCTCCATCTTGACGGTTTATGCTATCAATAATATTTTTGGTTTGGTACATTTTGCATTTAAATATTAATCAGTAATTTGAATCAGTAATTTAAATATTTATCAGTAAATATTAATCAGTTAATTACCACTTGATTGTACAACTTTGTTTTTTAAAATGCCACATCTTAACTTGCTCCTGCCATTTCCAAAAGAGCACAAGCAACTAAACAACACTGTGTTTTAAACAGATGTACCGCTTCCTTACCTGTCTCATTGTGACATCAGTTAAATTTTAGCACTTGGCTTCTCTGCAAAGCCACAGAAGACCTCCCACAACATTTGCTTCCTCAGAGCTAGACCACTTTAGGTCTAGGTTTACTCAACACTGAGCAGTTCTCATTTGATACAGCTGCCAGCACACCTTTTACAGCAAGTTTCTAATATCAGAGCTAATAGCAACGGCTTTCCTAGGTTCAGTTTTGAGTAGATGTTTATCTACCTCGTGACTCAGAATGGTGATGTCCACTTCCTCTTCTGAGGAGGCTTCAGTACAGTCAGGAAGGTCATCTAAAGATGCATTCACATCAAAGCGTACAATAGGTTTGCCATCGCCTCCGACTAACTTTGGTGGGAAGTAACCTAAACTTTTGGGCAGGATTGTCTGGATTACCTGAAAAATCCAGAGTTGAACACAACATCGGCGCTCTCAACATTGCAGAAATCAGAATGCTAGGAAGTAGCATGAACATGTTGTACTTACAATAATGATTGCAAGCACACTAACAACATTTTACATGGCTTTTAGCAGACAATCATTTATAGAAACATAAAACTTCAGTCCTGTAGCAAAGTGAAAATGGGAAAGATTATCTACTAGCAAGCTTGGTGTGGTTGTCTAGAAAGGTGTTCCCTTTCCCCCTGAAGTAGAGAGAGCTTAGCATAGTTTCCCGGAAAGCTGATGAAAAATTGAAAGCAAATCCCTAATGCATTTGCTGCTTTCCTGAAATTCTACAACCAGGATCCAGCAATTCATCCTAGTTAGGGAAATATGATAAGTAATTATCTCATAGGACAGCATATTAAAGAAGCTTGTCTCCTCAGTGCATCCTCATATCTTATGATAAGAGTTGTAGCCAAAGATAATTAGAAAAATCTGAGATACTAGACATGCTATTACAGACTTGAGAGGTATAACTAGTCCATGGACTAGAGATGGACTTTTTTCCATGAAACAGAATCACCCACCATCCTACAACCTATAAGAAGCCGCTTCTATGGAAACTGAGTGAACTTAAGGCCAGACACTAGCTCCAAGTCCTGAATTGAATGGGAGCAGAGCTAGCAGAAAGCATGGAAGTATGCAAATTCAAAGGAAGTTCTGTTGTTGTTGTTGTTAAAAGGCCTGCAGAAGGAGCAGAACACACTACCTTCAAGACTTAACTTACAAAAAAAAAAAATGCCTTCCCTCTTTGTTATTACTTGCATTTAGTCAAACAGAAGCAACACAGGCACAAGAGACCTTGACTAGACTGGACTGCAAAATGTGAAGCTACACTTCTTTTACTACCACCACTAGTCATCTAGAAAGTTTCTGAACAATTGTCAGCTTGTGCAAACAGATGCTTAAGTGCACACAGATTAAACAATTCATCAAAAGCTTTAAATTTAATCTTGCACTTCCTCAGATGCACAGCATAACCAGTCATATCTGAAACTGCCCAGACTACTTTCCACAGTGTCTGTGGTGTAGTCCTCAACAAGCCACAGACAGCTGCAGCTATCTTGTCTTGCTATCACAAACAGGTTGCAGGACAGGCCAGACTACTGGAAGCCTTCTAGAGAGAAACTGTATGGACAAGAACTAATACGACACACCTGCAATCCTAATCACACTGAAGTCCATACTATGTGATCATTCCACAAAATGCTAGCAGTGCAGACTGCAGAATAGCAAAGAAATTAGATGCACCCTTACCTGTTTGGCTATAGCTGAAAATTTCATTACATGCAGTGTTTCGTCATACGTGGAAGCATGTTGATTGATGTTTACAATCATACAAGCTTTGCCTTTTCCACAAAAGAACGGCTGAAACAGACGAGTCAATTTGCTCTCTCTGAATGGAATATAGCTTGGCTTCATCCTCACAGAAAAAAAGAATAATGAAAGTGTGAAAAAAAATGTGAAAAGGCTTGTGCAATACTGTAATTTGGCTTAATTCCGTTTTTCTTTCAGGAAAGAGATCAAGTAAGATGCTCATATTTGAATGTAAACCACTTTGTCTCAAAGATCAAGGTCTTTCCTTTCTCATAAGCTCTCCAACAAATTACAGTATTTAAAGCTGAGAAGTAAAGTGTCTGCACTGCATCACTGTTCCCTCATGTTAGAAAACCACTTTGGCTGGTACCAGTATCTAAGTACAGAACATCTGTACAATTGTCTGATGAGTCCACCTGTATGATTTGTTTTGTCTTATTCCCTTCCACCTCGAAAAAATTACAGAAAGTATATTGCTTATATGAAAACACTAAGAAAAAGCTTGGTAGTCTTGCTACTACTAATCCTCCCCTCTTTTTTTTTTTTGTTCTCCACAGTTTTAAAGAAAATGTTAAATTCAGGTATTCCAGTGACATCTGAAATAAAGAAGGCTCGACAAGATTTTACAGATTGGCGTTTTCCTCTTACCACATGAATCCCTCATAGAAGCATAAAGGGATGCTTAGGGTTTCAACCTAACCCTCAGCATGCTGTTTACAACTCTTTACCTACTTTGGATTTTGATTCTGCTTCAGTGCTGCAATGCATTTTCCAAGGATATGAAGAGAATTATTAATATTTCCTGCTTCTTTTAGTCTGTCTCCAAAGGCTTGTGTTTTATTACACCTCTCTGATCCAGCCAAGTCACAGAAAGACAACCTGCATGCAAGAATTATCCAGAACACACAAACATGTTTCTAAACAGTATAAAAATAGAATTTTGGTCTTTTATTTCTTTATACATCTAAGTTATAAATGTAACTCATGTCAGCCTACCTAGATCATGGAATAAGTTGTACTTATTAATATGTACCTTGTCCAGAAGGCACTACGCGAGGTATTCAGGGTGACAGCACTGAACTATTTTCCCATTGTATATAAAGATACTTGAATAAAATTGCTGCTCCTGAGAAGGTCTATTCAGCATCCTTAAGGAAGGCTGCTTGTAAACTTCATTTAAAACTTTGTAGGCATTCTTACATTACAAAAAAAAAAAAAAAATCACTTTAGGAGCTTAAATTTTGTGGCAATAACAACGTAAGTTCTTCCAGAGAAGATGAGAGAAATGCAGCAGTTTTGCACTTCGGCCATCTTCCACAGTTCAAGCAACACAAGGACAGAAGATACTAGTATGCTTCAAAAAACTGCAGTCTGCCTCTTTTGGATGCAGAACAAGTGGTTTTCAGCAAATAAGCTGCCAGAAGCCTTTCCCAGAATACCTCAGAGCTGTTTGCTTGGCTATAGCAATTACGTGCTTCTAAAGTCAGGCCACTGAATCGTCCCTTGTGACACAGCAGGCTACAATCAGAAAGTTAGCCTGGATAATGAAGGAATTTCACTTTTACTTACTACAGAGAGAGCTCCTTTAATTCAGGAAGATCTGGAACTTCGATAATTTACATAAATGTATAAGTGAGCACTAGTTGGGTTATTTTTATAATAACTTCATAAGATAGTAGCCTTTGACACATTTGAAGTGCACATTAGTACTACACATACTAGTAAAGCCACATTGTAGCCTTTCACACAGTTCAAGTATCTTATGATCTCTATCCTTTTCAGTACAAGATTAACAGCTTTTAGAAAAAAAGCAACATACAAACTGTCATTCATTTAACAGCTGCTACAAGCTTTGACAGCAGAATAGGCCAGACAGGAAGTGGTAAGGAATGCAGTAGCAGTCATTTCCTCAGGTGATTTTAAGAGTTTTTAATCACGGCAACATCTGATACTAAAAGGTGTTGCATGGTGAGGTGTATTTGTTACTATCTCTGCTCAGCAGAGACAGATCAGTAGGAGCTATGAATGAACTAATACATTCCGTTGCAGGACTGCCCTCATTCCTCCATGTCAAACTAAATGGATAATTAATCAGGGAAAAAAAATGAACATCCATTTAAGCAGCCAAAATATTAGGCCACATTCTCTAAATCAGAAGTGTAAGGACTTAGTAATTGCTCTCACCAGGTGCACCTACAGTAGCATTCTAGATGAGAACAGTTTCAAAGCAAATCACTTGATCTCCTCCTACTGCAGTCTACACCACAGAGCAGACCCAGAGCATGTCACCCACATTCATTTGAATAAAAATGGACTTGAATTTGTGTTCCAGGTGTACACCAAATGAGCAGCCACAATTATTCAACCCATAAACCGGTACGGCTTGCACCTTGGGTCTTCAGTGTTAGCTGCTGCTCCCTGACTTGAGAGGTTGGCTTCTATCAGCCAAACATCTGAATTTTGCTGGCCTGAGTATTTTCGTGTGGTATTACTGAGTAGTGCTTTGTCGTGTCCCCCCCCCACATTACATAAGATATTTCCCTAAATATATGTATTACTGACAGTTTTAACAGGTTCCCTCAGCCAAGCCTTCACAGAATAAGAGGGCCAGGAGTAGAAATGTTGCCCTATCATGTGTCCAGTCTGTTTTATGCAGCCAGTGCAATTCTGATTTCCTTCTCAGCAATCAGATGAATCATTTTTTGTATTAACACAGTTCACCAGTTTAGAAAATCTGATAAGGTATAAGCATGCTGAAACATTTATGTTCTGGTAATCAACTGAAGCATTAACTTACTCTGAAACTCCAAGAACATGTGGTTGATGTTCATCAGTTAGCTTTAGTAGCCGGATTGAGAATATACTGTGACTGGAATGGAAAGAAGCTCTTTTTAGTAACTAGAATTATGACAATTAAGCAGCCACTGAAGCAAAGTAAAATGTGTATACTACAGAAAATTCAGTGCAAAAGAACAAGAATTCACTGATTTACAGTAGTTACTTTTGCAACGCATTCATCCAGCAGCAAAAAGCAGAAATAAGTTTTAACTTAAGTTAATAAGTTTCGGAACTTTTCATTTCTTTCTATACAGGGGAAGGAAAAATATTGCATGAAACCTGGAAGCTGTCTTGAAAAAAAAAAAAAAAAGCCAGTTCCCTGAAGTCTACTGATCAGAAAGTGAGTACTCAGGTAGCCACTTGGTATACAAAATTTAGATGGTATCTTAACTCAGTGAATCTGAAGCATTAACTTCTTAAAAATGAATAGGTCAGGGTATAAGTTAAGATTTGATAATCCTGTAATTCTTTGTATTACTCAACATACACAATTATTTGTTTGGTTTCAAAATTAAGAATAATTTTCCAGAAAGGTTGAATTTTTAATACTTGAAATGCCATAGTTACTCTGTTTCAGACAGAGAGGTACAAAGGCAAGACAATGGACATATGCTGAGTGAAACCAAAAGAAAAATCCAGTAAATCAGGAAGCACGTACGATAGGAAAAAAAATGATCGAGTAAAGATTTAAAGTGGTATTTTAGCCCTCAACACCAACCCACAATTAAAGAGTGAAGTTTCTTTAAAAAAAAAAAAAAAAAAAAGACACAGCACAGTTCGGAAACAAGCTAAGCCGAAGTTTGTGTATTCCCTTGAGCAAATAAATACTATATGCTAAGCTCAAAACTCTGCCAGAAAAGCACACAATTCTTTTCTGCACTATAATCTTTAGTGAAATTCATGTGGAAGTATAGCTTGAAATTTGATGGAAGCTTTCATTAACTAACACAAAATGTATAACTATTGCTTTTAGAGAAAAAGCAGCCTTAGTAACACTATCGTTGCATTTGTTGAATATGCAGCAAGCCCCTCCACATTTAAATTAGTAAGAGAACTTCTAAAAGCCATTAGGAAGGCAGTTTCAACATAAAGTATACCACTTTATTTTATTAACTTCTTCCCATTTGATCAAACGAGGCTCTCCCTAACTTCCCACCCAAAGCTGGCTAAGAGCTAGGGTCTTAAATCTTAAGATCCCAAGAAAACTCATCTACAGAACAGCAATCTAGCAGCACCAAAAGGCACTGCAAGACTCTCCTTCCTACATTCCCTACTGACAGGCTCCAGATTTCATGCTGGCAGTATAATTCTTGGCAGAATTATCTAGCTTTTCCTTTAAAGTCCTTGTGTATCCCTCCCCAATCAGTCATTAACACTTGTTAAAATCTATAGCCCTGATAGTACTCAAAAATAGATGAGATTTGATCTTTTTGGTTGTCCAAAGCCACGAATGGCAACCCAAGTCCAGATATTGTTGAAGTCATAGGGCTTCTCTACACTTGTCCAAGCTTTCTTCCAGAAAGAATTTCATAATAAAACCAGAATCAATGAAAGTCTTAAGCTAATGTTGAATAGTGGTTAATTTCACAGATACTCTGAAGTTTTCTCCTCCTTTCCCCTCCTCCTGCCCTTGAAAGAAAAAAAAGAGAATACTCTTATAAAGAGAGGAACAAACCTCCTACTTGATTGCTCATTCATTCTAGTACAAGCAAAGCTTCGGTTCTTGTTTCCTATTTTTAGTATCTTGCAGGCTTCTTCAGTGCTCTGAGTGTTAATCCACTTTAGGTCTGTGAAGAGAGAGACATTTTACACTTCTGATCTCCAAAGACATTCTGTGAAATTGCTGAGGTCATAAGCAGTACTGTTACCTTTAATATAAGAATTGCCTCCTTGATCCTCACAAATCCTTAAGACTCTACGCTTCTGGTTTTTAGTTGTAGATAATACACTCAACAGATCATACACATATTCATTATAAATCTCACAAAAGGAAATCCACACAGATGCTTGTGTTCTTTGCTCTGTATTGGTCCTATGTGTGTCAAGTGGAACAAAGTTCTTCTCTGCTGGCCAAAAAAGAAAACTAGTTTAGTGGTCAAGTGACATATTAATAAGTCTTAAGAGTTTCACTAGTTTCTCATGTTGAGGCAATATATAGAACCTTCTAAAATGAGGTTTGTATATATGCATTGTACAATGAGATACAAGTACTGGATAACTGAGTTTACCCAAAAACCTTCATACTTCACAGCATGTACCCAGAACATGCACAAATTCTAAGCTATTCGCCTTCTACTGCAAGCTCTCAGCATATTATCCTTTAGCTTTGCAGAATGGGATCTCCCTCTCCCCCCCAGAAAAAGGAGCAAAGCTATCACAACACATTTTACATTGTTACTCTTTCTCCTGAATTCAGCTATTTAAGTTTGGTAAAGGGATACCTTTATTTAATTTGTAGCGCAGCACAGATTTTTAAATCCACCAATAGTTACCCACTTATATTCCTAAGTTCCAGGGTTTCTATTTATTTTTTCCCCCCAAAAAAACATTTTCCACTTTACCTAGTGGATCAGAAGGCTGATTTTTTGAAGTATAGTTGGAAGGAGTCAGCTCCACATGACACATATTTGTAACAGCACCTGAGACATTTTCCGTCTCCTGGAGGAAACAAGAGACTGTTACATCCAAATGAACAGGTTACTAGACCAGCAGAAGTGAAACAGGACAGTCATTCTAGTATTTGAAATTTAAATATTGAACTAGCATAAACTGTTAAGCCACCCTTACTCCAGCTGTGATAGAAATGTTTCTAACAATACTGAACTCACATCAGCAAACATTCTTTCCCTCCTCACAAGAATTATCGCCCTCTGCTGCTCAAAGCAACGTGTCTTGGAGGCCACTTGCCGCTATTATAGGAGACACGTTATAGTTTAGGGAGAAACAAGGACATCTGTCAGATTGTGGCTGCCCAGAGCACCTTTATGGAGAAGTCTGAACAGTATTTTGGGTCAACCAAATTGGAGAAATAAACCTCTTCCAGGGATAGATGGCTGGGTAGGCGGCAAAGGACAGGCAAAAGCAGCACGTCACAAATAAGTCACAGGCTTGTGCCAAGCCTGTGAGCATGTGTCAAGCTTACTTTAAGACCTCACACCAAATGGAAGTGATGGATTCCTAAAGGACTCAAAGATCTGATAAACCAACAGCCTATGACTAAACAAAAAGGTCTAAAGAATTCCATATAGATAACAGCACATTTTAGGTGGTGTATACCTTTGCTAAGTTTCTTCACATCAAGAAAATTATTAAAAAAAGACCTGCCAAGACTTGTCAAAGCATAGGCTTCAAATTATCTCTAGGACAACAAGTATAACAGAAATAGCATCTGCTACTATTTAGAGATTCCTGCATCTCCAGGTAGCACTTCCCTCCCTGCCACCCCATATTTTATACACCTGTGTAAGTTCTTGTTAGGGCATTCACATGCATTTCCCCAAACCCACAGCTAAATGGAGGTTATCCAACAGCAGAAGAGAGGAACAGATTCAAAAAAGCAGTTAAAAAAAAATCACACCATAGTCTAACTATTAGAGTGCAGGGATATGTTTACTAGGGATTGCCTACTGATGCCTATGGTACCCACTTGGTATATCTAAAATCTTAAGTACAAAGCCAGATCTTGCCTTTTTTAAAAGGCAACTAGCATGCAATTTCATTGCCATTGATTTAGAAGCGTTCATTTTACAAAGACTGCACTGTCAGGATGTTTATGTTGCTTGAGTAGCTACAAGTACAACCACAAGCAGGGACTCTATTCATTCCCTTTGTAAAGTACAAAGAAATTCTACAGCAGGGAGAGACATGTATGGCACGTGTATACCCATGAAAAAGTGAATGTAAAAAATATTTGTGCACGTGATAACAACAAAATTTTTGTAATGAGATTTTAAACCTGAGTGAATTAGCCATGATTCTGTGCTATTCTTCAAACCATAAGATTACAAGGAAGAATACTACAACTGACTGAAAACAAGTGGGAACAGGAACTGACTTTGTTTGCCAGTGACAGAGGCTGACATTTAATAGCAAGTACGAGGACAGGTGGGAATAGGAGTGTCAGTAAAGCAGCTTTTAATACCGCAAAAAAAGCGATATTTAACCCAGTGAAAAGGACAAGTAAAAGGGAAAGAAACAGGGTGCAAAGTATACCAAGCAAGTTTTTGCAGCAGTACTGTATAGCAAACAAACAGCAGAACATTAAATACAAGGGTATTACGGTAATTCAGAGCAGTTTAAACAGAACGAAAGGAACAGCAGATTCTTTCTGCATGACTTGTAAACTGAGCCTGGGAAAAGGGCCTACAGAAATCCCTGTAAACCAAAACCAAGCCCACCAAACCATATCTGCTCTCAGATTACAAGCCTGAGCGAGCATCCGAACAGTGATGCTATTCACAAGCTATCACGAAGCACGCCTTCAGGATGGGAGACAGCTGAGTTATCAGTATGGAAGCACTGTAACATGTAAGCAAGTTTTTGGTACGCGTTATTTTCCAGGTGCATTTTTACCTTTTTTTCCTGATGGTGGAGTCCTGCTTGCTTTTCACTGTAGCACATCAGCATCTAGATCACCTACTGTAACTAAACTATTAGCAAAGTCAGAGTGATTTAACAGAAAGGAATGTTTGTGAAGTATGGTGTTATCTTCAAAATACAGCATGCGACCTCCTGTTCTAGATCCTGAGTTCCTGCTTCTTCCTTCTTGTAAGCTGGTAGGTTGCATAAAGATTTAAAAAATAATAATCTTTACCCACTATTTCACCTAGTCATCTCAATTTTTCTTTAAGACCCTCAACAAGACAACTCACCTCCTGCAGAGGCACACACACAAAGTACCAGTGAGCTTTTAAGACTCACAGAATAAATACGCAATTTTCAGACCCTCTACATTTTTCATCTGAGGTCTTCCCTCAAGAGTTAATCAGCCTGACCCAGTTCAGTTTGCAGAATTTAAATTAACCAATAGAATTTAGAGTGGAACTTTATATATGAATTAGAGTCAAAGAGGGATATTCTTTCAGAGCTAACCGAGTGCTTGAATAAGAATGTTGGTATTACAGACTATAGGAAAGAGAAAACCCAGGCAATTGTTACTTCTATACTTCCCAGAATTCATTCAGATTTGCTGAATCATAATCAGCTGAACCTACTAGATTTTGGCATTAAATACATGGAATCCTACTTCTGATTTACCCGAAGTAAATGATCAGTGAATAAGGGAAAAAAAGCCAGACATCCTGTGCAAATTTGCAGACTTCCAAGTATAGAACAGTCAAGCATACAAGGGTGACCATTTTTGGGTGAGAGCCGTTTCTTACCCTGCAAATAACAGAACTCACTAGGTATAGACAGGTCTCTGCTATTGGAGCTGTTATACCTACAGTCTTGGTGTTGAACTAGATGATCCTTAAGGGTCCTTTCCAACCCAAGCCATCCTCTGATTGACTCAGAGATCAGTAAGATACTGAAAATCCCCTAAAGCAGACTGCAATCCTTTTTAGGAAAATCATTTTGATAACAGCAAGTAAAATGAAATGCCACAGAGAACTTTCTATATGAAACTGCATATTTAAACCACAGGTTTACAAGTTTTTAATCTGCCTTAATATCATATTCCACCAGAAAAGACTCCTCCTCTTTGCTGCTCCTGCCGAAGAGTTGCCATCACCTCCTCTGAACTAGCACTGGAATTTGAGCAACTGCCCAGAGAAGCTGTCTGAGGACCTGACCCCAAAGAAGATTCAGTTAGCAACAACAAGAAGCAGGTTTTAAGGTCAGTTCTTCCAGAGACTTTTCAAGGGCTTTGTGCCACCACTTGGAGAGCTGCCCCTCTGTGGAAGTCCAGGCTCTGGCTTTGCAACAGATTTTGTTTTGAACTGTGTGCTGCTGCAGAAAGTTCTTGCAGTTTACCCTAAGTCCCAAAACCACCAGCTGGCTTATTATTCCAAAGTTCATGAAGAATCCATACTACAGATTAAGAGAAATCTAAAGAATCAATAGTGAAACGGATCAGTGAAGACTTTCCTGATCTCAAGTATTTAAGAAGCTTCATACAGTGATAAGGAAGTATTTGGTCACTGACCTCTTTCAGCGATGCAAGAAGAGCAGCTTTAATGGCTTCCTCTTGTTTAACTTGTGCATCTTCTAGTTTCTTAACATCATTGCTCAAATATGGCTTAAAGTTCATCTTCAGATACTGTCTTCCCCTTATGTGGTTAAAAATCATGTCAAGTGAGCGAGGCAAAATACCCAAATCTTTTGAAGTTCCTTAAAATAAAGAAATATCAAAGTTGAGATATTTGTACAAACTTCTCATTGAATTTTGCCTGGATTGATACAGGTGCTTTTTGGCAAACACATTATACCTTGGATAGTGAATGTCTTGCCTGCATTTGTAACCCCATAAGTAAACACCAGTCCATTCACTCCATTAACACACGCTCTTACTATCTCTTTTGTTGAGCCTTCAAAAAATTCACTTTGGGTAGTTTCTGGTCCAAACACCTTGGGGAAGGGAGAAGAAGAGAATGGAAAAAATGAGTGCTAAGTGCACAAAGAAGTTTAACATATCAGATCATTGAACACTGAATAGCAGTGACTAGTTTTTCAGAGCAAGCTGAGTAGGAGATAACAGCTAGGTTTTCTGCAGAATGCCTGCTAAATTCTTAGAGATACTCAGATTCTTTAAAAATATTTTCCTAATTCTAAAATAAACTGCTCAGAATACTGCTCAGCACATACTGTTTAATGGATACCTTCAACAGCTCTGCTAGTGATGCACAGCTCCCTCCTCCTCTGCAACAGCCACCAACAATTGATGAGAAGAAGATTATTAGTTAGGGTGGTCTAAATGACTCAAAACCTGGAATTGTTTCTCTACTGATATGGTAGGAGCAGAAGTTTTTGAAGTAGGTAACAGAATTAAGAAATTTATCACCATTATAGAAGGTTTAAGCTGTTAGGCTGCTGTTCTTTCAGAAGTAAGTCCCTAAACCCAAGCTTACAGAAGTCCCTTTAAACATGTAATTTCCTGTAACACTTCCCAGATGAGGACATCTGCAGGAACAGCAGAAACACAGTAAGTTTGTGCCTGTAAGAAGCGCCTGTGGCATCTAATCAAAGAAAACAACAGAGCTGCCAAAGAAGCTTCCTTGTCTCATCTAATAAGAAACTTCATTGTAATACAGCTCTCTTGACAGCCTGTAAGCAAATAATAAGCAGTCTGCTGGGTTTTTAATGCCACAGTACCAAAGACAAAAAATCAAATTGCACGATGTAGGAGAAAGGCTCCAATTTTTATCATTGGAGTAGATAACTAACTCAAACTAAAGTAAAACCAAGAAAAGCTCACTTACATGAGAAAAGGTGAACCTGTGCACAGACTGACCAATCCCTCTTTCGCTGTTTTTCATTGCAGCAGACTCTTTGGGTGCATGAAGAATTACTGTCTGGGGATCTTCAATACTCACACAACCCTTAAAAATCAAGACAAGATAAACCAAAACATCACAAAATTATTTAGGTAAAAACCTATGTAAATAAAGCTAGTGTTTTCATCCATTTACCACAGTAATGAACACTTGCAAAGTTTATAGATAATCTTTTGAGGTGGAGATAGTCATTTCACATGAAAACCAGGGTGCAGATAAAGTGAAGGCAATCATTTGGAGCCTTCTAAGAGCTTTAATCTTTTTCTTGGATTCCCTTCCACCAACTTTTCCTCACTTTCCCTTTCTATCTCCCTCCTTTCCTTCTCCCACTCTTCCTTTTCTCACTCCCTTTTCTCTCTTCTCTTGTGCCCCTCTCCTTTTTCCCTTCCTCTCCCTCCTCCCTACCCACCTCCCACCCCAACCAGCCCTTTCCAAACCCTAGTATTTTGTGACTGGGGCTGACAGTATAAAAGCTATGAAAACAAAGCTACAGGGAACCTTAAAATGATTGAAGTGGGAAAATGGCAACGTGAAACAAGTTATGAATAGCATAAATGAAGTATAGGAAATTTGAAGCATACCCTTTGATTGATAGATGGTGCTATCAGTAGTGAAGGAACCTGAATTAGTTTCAAGTCTAGTTTGATTGCTTTTTCCCAACTAAGTAAAAGGCAGGATACAGTTACCTGGCACTCACATAAGTAGATAAATGTGGAATACAATATGACAGGAAAATGGATTTTACACCAGCCAGGCTACCAAAACCACAAACTGAACTGTCAATATAGCTTGACGGTGTTTTGAAGCAGCAGCAGCAATGATCATCAATTGTAGCTAAATCTGACATCTGCGTGCAGAGTTGGCCACACTAATAATCCACGTGCAGCACGGAGTACAGGGGGGACTGCTTTGCCTAGCAGTCTCCATAACAAGTCAGTCTGACAACTCGTTTAGCAGCTCTGAGAGGCTGGGTACTGAATTTAGACCACTCATTTACTCACTGCACCAGGCTCTAAGCCCCTGTGCTCTCTAGCATCCCCTCCACATTGCAGGATGAGGAACGCAGGTTAGCTGTGCTAAATCCTAACGAGCTACCGAAGGATCCCACCTCAGCAGCACGTGCCATCAGCTTCACAGAAGTAGGGAGTAGAGGCCCTGAAGCAGTCAGAACTGCAGAGCTGAAATCCAGCTGGTAACATGCCCTGTTTTTGTCTACCCCAGCTAACCCCATAGCTACGTTGGCATGAGTTGGACCGTTTCTGGCAGTGTACATACCAACTGCATCATAAAATGGTTTGGGTTGGAAGTGACCTTAAGGATCCCCTGATTCCAACCCCCTGCCATGGCAGGGACACCTCCCACCAGACCAGGCTGCCCAAAGCCCCATCCAGCCTGGCCTTGAGCACCCCCAGGGATGGGGCACCCACAGCTTCTTTGTGCCAGCGCCTCACCACCCTCGCAGTAAATAATTTCTTCCTACCATCTGATCTATGTCCGTATCTGCAGCACAACTTTCTCCAGAGTCACCGATAGGAGAGTAGGATCACCGCCAGTTGTACCAAGAACAGAATTTCATCCTGTGCTCTTATGCCTTGCTTGCATATATTGTTATCTCTATAAGCAACAGGTGATCAGTTAACCTGAGATTTTGCAAACATTCGTAGTTTTGGGGGGCTGAGAAAGCCTTCATACCATTCAGAATGGACTGTACAGCTAATATCATGGAAGATGAACAATTTCGTTATCTACATGAAGACAAAAGCTCTAAAATAATAATTTTCAGCACTTACTTTTCTCCTCCCTCACTGCTTTTAAAAGCATATAAGTAGTTTCACTGATGGTCAGGCATTCAGAAGTTTCCCATTCCAAAGAAGGATAACAGATCACTTGTAAAACAGTTTGATTTTGTAAATCAACTTATCCTTACAGCCAGCTCAGATGGCTGAATGACACCAAATAGGAAATACTGCGGCACTACATATTAGTCAATGAGAACTGACTAGGGAAAACTACATTGAAATTGGGGAAAAAATCCTACTGGAAAAAAATTGAAAGGTTTCACCTCTGGCAGATTAAACGCTAGAGCATGCAGGAAAAAAGGAAACAGCAAATCTCAAGAAGCAAATCAGAGCAAATATTAAAACCTCCTTCAGACAGGTCAGGTACAAATTATAAAGCCCATGGGGCCTTGCAAAGATCAGGGCTGAAAGACACACTGCAGAGACCTCATCCTCCCAGGGCAGCTGTGTGCAGCAGCGTCTGCAAGGGGGGAGTGTGGAAGGAGGAGAATTCCTGTTTGCATGTGTGCGTGTAAAACACCAAAGCATCTAAAAATGACAGAATAAACTGTAAAATCTGTAACTGTAAAAGTCACAGGAAAAAACTGACAGGAAGAATACTGGGAAATCAACCAAGACCAGGCATTTTGGGCATTCCCAAGGAACTCAAGGGTCAAACGCGTGTATTATTCTTAGAAGTACGATATCTTGCATGAAAACTTTCGTTTCTTGAGCCACATACAGAGCTAAGAGTGACCACAACTTTTAAATAATATACTAATGGGGTTTCACAAGAGATAGACGTATGGTTAATTAATTAATTAATAAAAATTGTGATAGTCATATTTATGCAGGTGTCCACTAATTCTATTCAGAAGAAGTACATGGCTTAAAAAAAAAAAGTCACAGCTAACAATATCAGATCTATTTGGGGGAGAAGAAAAAAAAAATATTTCTTAGCTCTGCAACCAACCTGAGATTCGTGGTTTTCCAGTTCTGCTACAGAAAAGGGCCTCACCCTCAAGAAAACTTTCAAAGGTTGGTATGCCTATTCATAAAAAAAAAACAAGATGCATTGTTATAACGGCCTCTTTTTAAATAAAACAGCCCCAAACCATACCAGCACACATCTCTGGTGCACTGTTTCCTATTTTATCTTGTTGCCTCCCTTTCTCCTTCCTTGTGAGGTTCACACCCTGAGCTGTCACTTGCTTCTTGACCTCCTAATGCCCTGAAGTTACCCCTTTCCTCCACGTCAGCCCACAACTCTGTGTTCTTTTCTATGATGAAGCAGATATTTTGATTTTTTTTTTTTTTAAAAAAAAGGAAACTATGGGAGGTGCAAAATGCACTGTCTCCACCTTCTGGCCTCCCTCAGTATTGAATTCAAGCTGCAGTTTTTAATTGCTGCTCCGTATTTCTGCACTTCCATGTTGCATGGAGTGTGTTCAGGTAACAGACTGCCACACTCTCAGCTTCCAGAAACCACCTCTTTGCCACCACCTTCCTCACAGTAATAACATTCACTTGCTAATACAGTCTTTTCCACACTGCTCCTCATACAAAGGTCCCCCACCCAAGTGAAGCGACAGTGACAGGAAGATTTTGAGGGACCCCAACACTCTCTCCTTTCCCACTGATATTCAGAGGCCCTGCTTTTTTTTGGCTATGTGATTCACCAAAGTCTCACCAGTTCCCCACAGCCTTCCCATGACCAGCACACCACTCAGTGCACCAGGTTAAGCCACCTGAGCGCAGTCAATTAGGGAACCTGCTACCCTAAAAGCAGCTATGGTTATATCATCTTCAAAGATGAGCTACAGCAGAGCACTGAAACTTCTTATTTCCAAGCACCTAAGAAACTTTCAACAAGGATCTGTATCCTTTTTTAGGTTATTAATAGGAACAGCAGGGTCACATTACATTCAGTGCAATTACTGAAGTCCTTTACTTCTTCCTCAAAAACTTAGCATGCACCACTGAGTACTGACCACCTGCACTTGCTACAGGTTATAACCTATTTGTAAGCGATGAGGAGCAAGCAGAATAATCAAACACATCTTGGGGACAGAGCACTTCTTACTGCAGAAATATTTGCCTGAACTAAAGCCTGAAAAATGAATTAGAGAGGGTAGGAGGGCACATTACAAAACCAACCCACACCTCCTGCTCCTCTGGGTTGCACAGTACTGTTGACTCCATAGGTGAGGGTTTACCCACCAGGTCCAGAAAAGAAACTGATTCCAACATATCAGATAATTCTGCAGGGATGCAGCTTTTCCCCTCATCATCCATGGCTCTGTACAAAGGAACTTGCAAGAAAGATATATAATATATTATATATATTTTTTTCTCCACATAACAAGCCAAAATACATAAGAATAAAAAAAGGGAGCAGGGTAGCGTGCATATAATCAACAAAAAATATCATTTTTTTTCACAGAACAAGCCAAAATACGCAGGAAAAAGACCAGGGAGCAGGGCAGTAGGCGTAAAACCAGCCCCTTCTGAGGAAAACCAGGTGCCCAGAGCAAGGCTGGGGGGAGCCCTGCACACATCGGGGCTGTACCGGGGAACCCAGGGGCTGTGGCACACAGACGGCCCCGGCCCTGGCCCCTTTCCCCTCAGGCTCGCCCCACACCGTGAGGGGCTCAGCCCCGAGCCCCCCCCGCCCGCCATGACAGGGGGCGCGCGCAGGGCGGGAAGCCGCGAGGGCGGGAAGCTGCAGCACCGCGCGCGCCCAACGGGCGCCAACCGCCACTACCTCGCCGCGCGCGCGCCAGAAGCACCCCCCCCGAACGCGCGCGGGGAGCGTTTTGGGCGGGGGGGAGGCGGGCGCTGATTGGTTGGCGGAGAGGGGGCGGGGCCAGCGCTGCGGGCGGCAGGGGGCGCCCGCCGCGCGGCGTGAGGCGTTGGGGGGGCGGGAAGGGGGGGGGGGGGGCAGCGCGTGACGCGATCGTGAGGCGGCTCCAGCCGCTGTGGGGCTGAGGCACCCGGTGAGGTGCCCGGGTGAGCCCTCTGCATCCCTCCCGGTGCGTTAGGACTGCAGGGTACTGGGTTAGGCAGAGTGAGGAAGAGTTGGGTGCAATATAGTTATAATCACACACAGAAGTCATCCCGTAATGCTCTCCGCCTGTTAGTCCGCTGCCTGCCTGCTTGTCCCCTCTAAACCTGACCCAAGTCATGACGTCCTAACCGCGCTCTTCGGAGCACCCCGTGAGGCACAATTGACTTTAAAAATGAGACTAAAAATATTTGTCAGGCAGCTCATTTGTGAAACATTACCAGAGATGGACCTTCAGGAAGACACTGGGTTTTTTTGCCCTCTCTTGACACATTTCTTTGAACAGCTCTTCCCAAGGAAGCAGGCTAGCAACACATAAACGTGACAAGATTTCTCACCTCCTCAGTTCACCACAGCTCTTGAGCCTGCTAAAACAGAGCCCTTCTAAGGAAGGCTTTACATTTAATGAAATTAAGACAAGTGGTCTCCTGCATCCCTTGGCAAAGAAAGCTGAAGCTTTGGCCTCCGTTTTGGTCTTGGTGAATGTAAATGAAACATGAGGCTCTCCACACAAACTTGTGTCCTCATTGCTGTTTGTTTAATTAAAGTTCTCCCATGTGCTCAGGGCAGAAGCCAGAATGGCAGCCTCATCTTCAATGCATGAAGGGCATTACCTGACTCAGGGCTTTCCCTCTTGTACATTGAAGAATCACAATTTAGTTTGCAGAATAAACCCGAGCTCACACAACCACACACCTGAGAGCCCCAAGTAGCAACAAATAGGTATTTTGTTGCTTTACGTAAAAGCAATGTAAAATGTAAACTGTACTTTGTTAATATTCAATCTATGAAAAATCTAAACCTCAAAAAAAATCAAGAGTTCCACGGCTTCATCTTGACTGTGGTTCTATGAGCAAGTCGAGAAAGAACTTGCTAAATTCAACATAATCACCACAAATGATTTTTTTTTTTTAACAGCCCCAACTATTGAACTGTGAAGTGTGGGGGAAAAAGTGCTGCTTTAGTTCAGCCTTTCATAGCAAAAAAAAATAAAATTAAAAAATCAAAACTCTGTAGTTTACCTAGGCATCAGTTTTAATGCTATTGCTTGTCTGTGATTTCAGCCAAAATTAAATTACTGAAAAATGTTTTTTTTTTTTTCCATAAAGGATTCAAGTGCTGTGCGTGTCCACATAGTCACCAAACTCTAAAGAAACCGTGATGCCCCAGTTTCATCTTCCTCATGTTGCAACTGATGTGTTCATCAAGGACCAACAAAATGCAGTCCTCCTCCAAAGCACACTGATTATGATTCCTGCTGCCTTTCTTCACGAAAATCAGAGGACTACCAAAGACTCTGGGCACAAGCATAAAAACGCACCGCCAATAAAATTTGTAAGTCGGCTTTATTCAAAGTAGATGACCATCTTTTAGGCATCAGCAATAGTGACTTCGACTTCTACACCCGGTTCGATGCTGATGGAAGTGATCTGCTTCACGATCTCGGAAGGGCTGTGCAAGTCGATGAGCCGCTTGTGGATGCGCATCTGGAAACGGTCCCAGGTCTTCGAACCCTCCCCACAAGGTGTCTTCCTGGTGGTGATGCGCAGAGTCTGCAGCGAGACCACAAACACAGGGTATCAGGCTGAGGCACACAGAAGCCCCTTTCCCTTTTCAACATTTATGGCACTACTACATAGCTGTCCCCAGTGTCAAAGCACCTTGTCAAGTCATTATCTGTTCACACTATATCGCCCTCAGTTTAGCAGTACTGCTTTTCATCATAACTTTGTCTCTAAAAAGTTGTTCTCAGTGCTCATTTGCAAAAAAAAAGTGATTTTCCCCATCTTGGAAGTTTCCTCACCTTGGTGGGCATGCGAACAGGTCCTTTCACCTTGAGGTTTTTCTCCTTAGCACCTCTGATCAAGTCGGCACAGACTAAAAAATACAAAAAAAGAGTTTCAGGCTTGGGTGTTTTTTTTTTTGTTTGTTTGTTTTAAGTGAAGGTTTAGAAAAGCTACGTTGGCTCGGAATAGCGTATAGAGTGATCACTGTGATTCACGTCTAGGAGTTCTCTTCATAGCCAACTGCATGGAAGTGGGAGGCTGACCCCAGGTTCACAGAACCACACCGGAACAGCAGCCAGCAGCTCTCACTGCACACATCCAGCTAGATTTAAGCTGTTAGCAGCCCAAAGACCCGGCAACAAACACTGATTCTGCAATATTTACAGCATACTGGCAAAGTCAGTTCCTAAACAAGACAAAATAATTCCTGGTTGAATGTTAAACTTGGAACTGACCGCTTAATAACGAGAATGACAGAATATCAGCCAGGAAACCCGTGCCTTTTGGCTCTTACACCTTCCACCAGTAAGATCTGAAATCCCCAGAAGAACTGCGGGACATTACATTATAACTACAGGTGCTCTTACACTAACGCCGAGGACGTGCATTTTCAGTACAATGCAAAAACCCTAAAACTAATTTCACTTAAAAAATAGATTAGATCCTTACAACTAACCTCGTTAGCTGCAGTCATGTACAAACATGCGGATGCTAAGATCCAATTCCAACTAGTTTCGACACACTCCATTTTGCGATATATCGTGTATATCAGGTGTTACTTAAAAAGCTAGCCCAGTTAAATCAGAAGAAGGCCTCGCTCACCCTTCTCGAGTGACTTCACGTTGCGACTCGTCAGCGTGATCCTGATGCGATGGATGGCCACCTCCTGCTCCACGGGTGCCTTGCCGGTGTCCTTAAACGCCTAAAAGGTCAAAGGGTGGAAGCATCAAACCCTACGGCCAGCACCACCCAACGCCCAGGCACTGAACCCCCTTGGGCTCAAAATAAAACACCTTTAGGATTTCATAACCCTAGCAACTAAGGAGACCGAGTTGAAGGAAAAAAAAGAGGCTGAAAATCAGGCGCTGGCACCGCGGCGCCCTCCCAGCCCAGCCCCGGCCACGCGGTGCGGGGAGGGCAGCGCCGTGCCCCCCGCAGCCCGGCCCCGCCGGGCTCCGTCCCCCTCCCCGCCTCACCATGGCGGCAGCGGGGCCTTCCTGGCCGACTTATTCCCGGGCGGGGCGGTGCGGGGCCCAGCGAACAGCGGTGAGCCAGGAGGAGGCAGCGGAGCGGCGGCGAGAGGAAGGCCCGGCCGCGGGGCTGCGCTTATATAGCGGGCGGGGCGCCGGCGTGCAGGGCTGCACCGCCTCCATCCGGGAGCTGCGGGACCTTTCACCCCGCTGCAGCGCCCGGAACCGGCGGGGAGCTCGGTGGTGCTGGTGCTGTGGGATAGGGATGGGTCCTGGGGTGCTCAATGGGGTGTCAGCGCCACCCCCCCGCCTCTGCTGCTCCCCGGGAGGAGAGGCAGATGAAGCTTTGAGGGGGGTTAAGCGAAAATATTGCTTTCATTCCTCCCCCCCCCCCCGGGTCCAGGAGCTTTAGTTAATTTTGTTTGTTGAACTCCCTTCCTTCAGGTTCTGCTCCAGAGGGATGTTTTCCTGATGGGAGGACTCGTTGGTGTGGCCTGGACGTCGATAAGCGCCAGCTGCAAAGCTGCTTGCTCAAAGTATACCCATCCTGCATGTGTTGCTACTTACCTGATGGAGAAACGGCTATCATAACTTAGGAAACAATGGGTGATAGTAAGATCATAGCAATCAGCTCTTAAAAACAGCATATCAATCCTATTTGTGGGCATTTTGTCCAGTAATCGCAGACGTGCGTAACGTTAGCAAAACTACCGCCACCTTTGGAAGCTGTGTAATTACTGCATCTGTTCAAAAAAAGCCTGCTTGGTGTTTTAATCCAAATTTCATTTCACCTATCACACTGCTATTAATACATACATATATATATATATATATATATATCTTTTTTTCCCTGATCAAATACTTCATGGTTCTTCAAATGGTCCTTAAATTTCCCATGAGATGCATAACTTTTATATGCCACTTACCACATTGCTCAGTTCTGGATTTGTTTTGCAGTGGGGTCGCTTGTACTAGCTCTTTGTAGTCCCTCATTTGCTAATGCATTGTTTCTGAATTTGATGGCGTGTTCTGATAAAGCAGCTTCAATAAACATGAATACAGAAGTAGTCATCCTGTTACAACTTCCCTTGCCAATCCGTACTTGGAAAATCTGTTTGGTGATAGTCCTGCTTCTCTGGCCTCTTCCTCCCTGCAGTGAAAGCAGCTTTTGTTTCTGGTAGTTTGTTTTCTGATCTGATTAACAATTACATTAACAACTTTGAACTCAATTATCCATAAGGAATCCATGTTTACGCTGTTATCAGCTGTTCCAACTACTTCCTGAGGAAGTCTTCCATTCTAGAAGTGTTTTATATTCATCATTCTTAAATACATAACCTCACATCGATCACGCTAAAGCACTTGATTTTTCCAGTAGTCCAGATGATTCCAAATCAAATGTCTTGCTACGCTATTTACTTAGAGCTTTTTAAATATTATTAGTAAACTTTATTTCCAATAAAATGTTAAGTAGCTTGGTTGTCAAGAACTAATTCCAGTGGGATTCAATTAGAAAGACACCTGAGCAATTCCTCACTGATGACACACACCTGTAACCTTAAATTTTATTTACTTACATTGAATTACATGTGCACAACTAAGCCAGTTTCTAGGTGCTATACTGAATAAGCCCATGTACAAATTTGTTAGATCAACACTGTTCCTACTGTCTACCAAACATATGCCCTAATGGTAAGAGAAATAAAGTCAAAAAGTGTGTTTCATGTATTTGATGTGTTATTTAAGTGTTGTCATTTATTTTTTGTTCCTCTACCAAGGATTCAGTTGTTCTTTTGTTTTATTTTTTTCCCCTGGGGATTAATGCAGGGTTGCCAGTAAACTTCTGATTTTGTTCCTTTCTTATGTTTTTCTAATATTGGCGCCACCTCAGCCTTCTGTGAGATTTTTTTTTTTTTTCTGAGCTTCCCCAGATTTCTCAAAGCTTATGGAAAATCCACATTAACAGCACACAAGTCTCCTTTGCCAGCTCTTAAAATTCTTGGATGCAAGCTATCTGGAGCTGCTGATTTAAAAAATGCCTTACTTCAATTCCTATGTTTAAGGCTTTCTTTAGTTATTGTTAGAATTTTCTGATACTAATACATTGTTTTTTTTTTTGCCAGAAATCCAGAACAGAAATTTATCTAAACTTTCTGCTTTCTCTGATATATATATTTTTAATTACTCCTTCCTGCTTTTCACATGGGTAAATATCCAACATCAATGTAATTTACAGCTTACCTTCTGAATATTCTACAGCTTTTAGCATGTAATACCTGTTTTGTTTTATGCCTGTTTTCCCTTTGGTTACATATTTGTTTTAATACAGGTTTTTCTCCCAGCCAGTGCCCGCTTCAGTTTAGCTATGAAATTCTGAGTTAGTACATGTAATAAATACAGTGCTTTCCTTATATCACATAACTAAGAAGGTAAAAGATTAAGAAGCAAGCCTTCCTTTTAACATGACCAAATAGCCTGTAGCAGAAGCTATTTAATACCTAATCTCATGATTTGTCAATCAGAATATTTTCCCATGTCCATTCACGACTTTTTTTTTTTAATACATAGATCACTGTTCTTTCCTTTGACCAGCTTGTCCTTCAGAAATAGCCTGAGTAGTGATCTGAATATTTCGTTATCCAGCTATTTTCCACCAGATTATAGTAAAACCAATTTGATGCAATTTATGCTTCCAAATTAATTACTCACTTCATCCTGTTAATTAACTATGCATGTGTTGGGAGTTAGGTTCTTGTAATCATTTGTGGTTCTTTGCTTAATTTTAGCTTGAACATCTTTACTTTCTGATAAATGAATGCTCGTCGGATTCTTTATCTATTTATTGCCATTGAATTTAATCTTGCCAAGTTTTGCCTGGGAAGATTTTTTTCCCCCTGTGACTGAGGCTAACATCCAAGTTATCCCAAAAATATTCCGATATTCTACAAATCTAAATCCATTAAGTCTATTGTCAGTCTAACCCTCTGTCCTCCTTTGCTCATGTGACAAAACACATCTCTGAGATCTCCTAGGTTTCTCCTAGTGCTGGGGTGGTCATGAATCAAGAGCAGATTCTGCTACGAGCCTACCTATGTGGATGAAGGACTAACTGAACGAGCATGTGCCTGCTGGCACTCAGCGTCTTCTGAAGTACTACAGTAACCAGTCTCGAAGTCAAGGCTTGTGAATGGTTTGGACAGGGCTCACAGTAGCCTCCTTAAACTTGCTTCGTCGTTTTTGATAGCGATTATTCAATGCTGGCATCTCACTGGAATTGGGGCCAGGGTTACGCCAGGTTAAGCCTGTAGCTCTTTGCTTTAACATATTGCCGAAATACGTTCCTCTTTACTTTGAAAATTACTTCCTTCTCCAAGTTCTTTGAACACCGAGATTTTATTTGAACTTCTAGTCATAAAATACCTGTGAAGCAGGATCATAGTCAAGGCTTCTCAGGAAATCATCAGTAGGCAGTGGAGTATTTAAACCAGTCAGCAGCAATCCAATAAAAACTATTTTCAAGCATTTTCGGAAAGGCTTCACCGTTTGCTTGGTCTTAATAGCAAGTATCTGCAGATCCTCTTGTATTGACTTGAAGTTATTCAGATGTCTCATATCTCAGAAATCTAACAAGTTCTTTGCTCAGCACTTAGGTAGAACCTGTTAATATCCTTCTGTAGATTCTGAATATCTGTATTTACTCTGTCCTCAGCTACTGAAGCTCTTCCAGAAACCCTGCCAAAACTGAAAGCAGACCCTCTCTGAAGACTGATTTCTGTAGTTGGTGACTTAACATACTTTGCAGGTGGCAGATGGACAGAATGCATCAGCACCGGCCCATAGCTGGAATTCTAATACTGCACCTAGCCTGTCCATTTAAATTTTAAAAAAAAATCTGCCACTTCCACCATATAAAATATAAAAAAAAAAAAAATCAATGTATTAGGCTTTCTTTAATTTATTATGTAATTGAGGAGAAAGTAAACTTGATCCATGGCTCAGAAAAAAAGAGCAATTGTGCTTTGAGGGAGTCCTTTATAGTTGATAAATGTAGCCACAAATATTGATGATAAAGAGACTTTTTGAAATGGGCAGCACAATCTTCATAGTCATCACAAGCTCTTTCCTTGCATACATATACTTTAGTACAGATACAGATAATGCAGTTGGCTACTAGTATCATTGACCTGGTCAGAGCCTGTTGCCTTGTTCTTCTGACAGTTAACAGCTAATATACTACAGCATTTCTGTTGATGCTTAATCTGGTACATCACTGGGACATACCTTTGAACACTCAGGACTGAAATAAGACGGTACACGTAATTTGTCAGTAATCAGTGAACTATGTTTTGTGAAGCAGCATCAGCAGTACAACAGAAATTACAATACTAGAATCTTTCAAAGTGCTAACAAGCACCTACAAATTTCCTCAATATCCTGCTGTGCCAAATTCCCCAAATTCTAGTCCCACGTACACATTCACACACCTCCCAGCCTCTGGCCACAAGTGTGGTTTACTCCCCACTGTGGAGAGTGCGGGTCCCCCTGTTCCTAAATGCTACCTGGAGATGTGGGCACATGTTCTCATGTAGCCACCCCAAGTGCTGCCAAAAATGTACAGTCAGGTTTGGGCATTCAGCTCACATGCACCATTTACACTCACATTCCTCCTGTGGCATCTGTCGGTATCGAGGCCACGCTACCAAGGGGGGGCGTGCAATTCCTGTGCAGAAAACCCCTACGTCAGCCCTGTAAAAGCAGACCTAGTGGGAACAGAAACAAAATGGTATTTCTACAACCAGTTTCCACTTTTGAAATCACCTGGGAAGACTTCATGCGTGGAAAGGTGAACCAAGTACAAAAACATATTCCAAACTACTTCTCCAGTCCAGTTTTTGCCACTTCAGGCTGTACCACTAGGTGCTGTTTGTCACAATGGGTGATTTACCTGGGGAAAAAAAAAAATAGTTCAAGAAGATGCAATAGCTTAAAGCATGTGTTGAAAAGCTGCATCCATTTCCCAATATTCACGTGGCTGCCTGAGCACAGCAACTGGAAGCAGCTTCCAGGCCAAGTGTTGGCTGCTACACTCACCTCACTGGCTTCTCAGAGCATCGAGGGATTAGCAGCACGCACCGGTCGTACAGGCTCTCACAGTACATTTTGGGCTAACACAGGCTTTAGGAGCTGTCTTTCTCTCCAAGGTCTGGCTCCTCTGAAGGCTTTGTGGTGAGCTACCAGCAGCAGGGTGTTTGCAAGGTTGGGTGTCTGTCCTTAGGAAGAAAAGGTTGATACCACTGCAGTAGTTATGTTTAGCAATACATGCAGTATGCATATTCCGCTCATGATGCCTACTGTTTTGGAGCCCTGTTATGAAATCACTAATCACTTTTTTTTTTTCTCTTAAAGACCAGTTAATTTAATCTAATTCTTTAGTGAGACGGAGTAGGAGGGAATAGTTTCACAGAGCTTGTGCTGCCTCTGTTATGGAGCAGGGATAATTTCAGGAATGATTCGGACCTCACACTGCCTTATGACTGACGAGCTGGCCTCTTGACATAGAATGCATCACTGCATCACTTTTTTTTTTTTTTCCTGAAGTTTTTATTCATCCCTTCAAGGTGCATTTCCTCCTTGCGATATTCCTGAATCACCTGTTTTTCGGATGATGAATGCTTGCAAGCACTGGAAAAATTTTAGAAAATGCTCTCTACAGATGAAGAGGGGATATAAAGCAAGGAGGGAATGGGCATCATGATTGTCCAGGACTATTAGAGAAGGAGAGTGGTTGCATCTCATAGTTTTATTTAGATTACAACCCAGCATCAGGCTGACTTCTGCGTGGCTTGTGAAGAGCTGCCCTTCCCAACCCTACCATCTGTAAAGGAAAAACTAAAGCCAAATTCAGTAGTGTCTCCTGTTGTGACCTGACCCTGTGTGAACTAGTGAAGTATAATTACTCAAAAACCGACAGAAAGAGGAATAATGTAAAACTTAGAACCTGGAACTAAATGAGATACCTTTGGTGTTAAAGATGTGCTTTAGCAACAGGAATTAATAGCTGCTGAGGAAATCATTACACTGATGGTTCAGAACAGCTGGACAGATCCACGCCGTAACATGAAAGCGATCCAAGAGGCATCAAATATTAAGAAGTTTGGGTTTCAAAGGCCTTGCTAACTTCTTATAAAGCTAACGTGGCAAAGCGGCAGCTGCAGCCTACTACTTGGAAATTATGAGGTTGTGGTTGGGGGGCAGGAACAACAACTGTAGAGTTTCTCGTGTCGTTTCACAGCAGACTTGACCATCCTGTTTAGGGGAACTTACACGAGAGCGAGGTAAGTCTATTAAAGCTTGTCTTTGACCTAAATACACAGCCAAAGTTCCTATTTGCCTTGTAATGAAAACATGGCTTGTACGTTTCCTTTCACACCAGCCTGTAAAACATCACTGTTACAGAATATTGCTTCTTTATTATCCCAGGAAATGTATTATAAAAATGCTATATAAAGTAGAAAATACATCCCCCCCTGCATCAATCACTTAAATTGTAGCAAGAACAACTCTACCTGAGTGCACACGATCACTCTTCCATCCCAAACATCTCCACCTCCACGCACAGAGAAAACTCTAACAAGAGGTTTTCCAAGGGGAGCAGAATCACCTACTTGTTTAAAACCGAGGTAAAAATAGCATTAGGACAAAAGAAGGTGGTGGTCAAGAATATTCAATTTTTAGGCAAGTCAAGTTAATTTTTGTAATATACATTGGTGTTTTTGAATATGGTAGCAATGCCCCCTGAAAAAATAAATACCAATACCTGTAGTTTTTTTCGGCATTATGATCTCAGGTTTTTCTTTCAAGCACAAAATACTTATATTACATCATCTTTCAATAGTTTCGTTTGTTTGAAGATGTTTCTAAGACCACCCAGCCTGTACTTTGCTCTATCAGTGGCCTCCTTTCTGCAAACTTGCAGCAGGTACATTTCCTTTCTGAGAGTCCCTGATGCATTCAGAGGAAGAACTGCTTCAAACACGCTCTTGTGAAATATTCCTGGTGTGAGGTAGAGCCAGCCACTTTGTTCTGGCTGGCACAAATGTATATGCAACTACTTTTCCCATTTCCTGGAAAAAAAGAAAAAGAAAAAAACCCACCTTTGATATGGAAAAATTGAGCTTTTTACTATTTAAATCGTAGTGTATATAATGTATTATAAATTATAGAAATTTCGTTTCTTTCACTGACAGCCCAGTGAGCAGGTACCTCTAGCATATGGGACAGAAATTCAAACACCATCATGATTCTTCAAAGTGGAATGTCACTGAAAAACTTGCATTAAATTGCCTTTTTTTTTTTTTTTTTTTTTTTTGGAGTTTCGGGTTTGCCTCATTGCCTCCTCCAGCCACCCCTTGTCTGCCTGCACAAATAATGGCTCTTTCATGCTATCCTTGCTATGATTTTGTCAGGTAGCGCTAATTTTTATGGTTAGGACACTTTTTCTAAGCACAGTTTGTACTTCAACATACAACTTTATAAAATAAGACATGCGATACAAAAATAATCAAGTTGAACAAAAAAAATCAAAGAAATTGTTTGCCTCTGAACATCAGCCTCTGAAATGATGGAAATATTAGAAATAAAGAACATCCCTTTTCTCCCTTTAAATCAGAAAATATCTAATAATTTAATTCCCAAGAGCTATATAAGTTTGTACAATTTTAAGTGCTTAGAGAGGTTCTGTTGCTTTATATGCAAAGAGAAATTCAGGTGACTTGTCAACGCAGTGATACAGCCCTTTAAAAACTGCGTGTGTGGCTTTTGTGCTGTCTGCAAATCCCGTTAATGAAACTGTTGGATAAGAGAAACAAGGTTGTGGCCAAAGTATATGATAGCTATCTGTCTAAACTTATTGTATTACGCAATATCTACTATTAACTACTATTAAGAAAACACAGCCTCCCCGGTGTGTGAATTCCCACGTGTACACTCAGCTTTTTTAATACCGCTGTTAAGGTGCAACTTTCCATATTGGTCTCTGGGGCCACTTTCACTGGTGGCATATGTGAATCAAAACTCTTTCACCATTTTTGAAGTGGCTGAGCAAAACACATGGCCTGAAAATAAAACTGGCTTTTCCTTCCGCCCCATTTGGGGGGGAATAACTTAAAAAGGGCTGGACATTTACATTTCCAATACGCAGCCTACTTTGCTCTTTGTAGCCTGGCACATGTGCAGTAGAATATTTATTAAGTTATGAATTACCCTATTATCCCAGGTGCCCTGCAAAGGCGAATGCAGTCACCTCCCTGCTCTGCCGAACACTCGGGCTATTGAACGCCAGGCTGGGTAGGGAGCGCAACAACTCAGCCTCGTGCGCCGACAAATCCAGGTCGGATGGTGCCTCTGCTATCAAATTGTCCCACGGCATCCTGAGCTGACGGCGTACTGGGACAGAAGCCAGTGGACTTTTGTTGCTGTTGTTCCATTTTCTGTCTTTAACTGGTTTAAAGGCTGTTCGTTTGACAGGCAGACAAATATTTGGCAGCTGGGTTAAGTGAAGCATAGAAAGAGGCTCTTTGAACGCTGTATGAGATATTTGCAGCAGATGAATGACTAAAATAAAGTACAAGTAAAATATTCAGCATATAGTTCATGTTAAAAGTAATCATTAATTTTCTACCCCTATTTATATCTTTGTTCTAGTCCTGGCATTTATAAACACAGATGCTAATAATGCAAAAAACCCACACCAATACAAATATTAAGCATCCACTTAAGCCCCCATTGATTTTACAAATATTTGTGGTATTCTGTAAAAACATTTTTTCTTTGCTTTGCTGCAGAGAATAAAACTAGATGCCTATGTTTAGATTATAATCATAAAATACATGAAGGTAAAAATAGGGAGTGTAAAAATAACTCTGGATTGTGATTGCTGAAATTATTTGCATTTGGAGTCTGTGGTAAATGATATGAAATGTGGTCCAGCTCAGAAAGGTCCAGAATTTCTTACCATTGAATACAAAAGCAAGCCAACAATCTTCATGCTTCTCATCCTGTATTAATGATGCCCCCACCTCCTAGTTATATAGTTTTTTATTACATGAAGATAGCATTGTTACCTCTTGCTTTCTGGGTTGAGATACAGTATCACAGCAGAAAAATGACACAAAACAAAAAAGGTATATGAAATAAGTGGACACAGAAGAAGCCTCTAAGGAAAGAGAAGCAAACAACAGAACATGCCAAGAGCAGGGCTACAGGGGCTTCCTGATGATGGGAAGCCAGAAGCTATGTAACAGTGAAATAGATAACCATTGCCTGCTTAATTAGCAAATTTGTCTAACAGTAATGCTCCCACTCCCCCCACCCCCCAAAAAAAAGAGTACTATAGGAACTGCAGTTTATGCCTTTAAAAAAAATGGTTATGAAATATCTTTAGATATATCTACTTGGAAACTAAAGATCCCAAACCTTCAGTAATAGCTTATAGGACTGTAAGATAAAAGTAATTCAGAATAGTAAAGTTACACTTTTTTCTTTTTTTTTTTTCCTTTTTTTTTTTTTTTTTTTTTTTTTTTTTTCTCTCCTCCTTTCTCATTCTTCCCAGAAATTGGTTATCATGCTGTGGAACTTAGTTGATGGTCTGACATGAGACACCTGACACTTACCCATCAGGACAACAGGGCTTTGTTCCTTCCTAGTCACAGTCGGGATGATGTGGTCACACTCATTTGAGGAGACCTATGCTAAACCCAACAGGGCGTACCTGGCTGGCAGGAGGCTGGAGGGCACAGCCTCTGGATGCACCACAGTGACAGTGATGCTGCACTGGCTGAATCTGTGCAATGCAGGGTCCCAGGCTTCCCAGTCTGATAGACCTTACAGAGGTGATCAGGATGAGAATGCTAGTTCAGCCTTTCAAGTTCATTATACTTTTATATAGCCTGCTGAGGCATCTAGTCCACAGATAGAAAAAGCAATGTCCCTTTTTATATTTTACATCAGGACAAGGTGACACTGATATCAACACTCTGCTTCCACCACAAGCAGTAATAAAAAATTCCTCCCTCCTTTGACCTTCGCAATCCAAACTAGAAATGGACAAATGAGCCTGGGCACGGGCTTCATGAGTATTTCATGCTCAGAAAGTACAGAAAGACGCTGGTAAACTACAATTAACTGGTTGTAGCACTTTCTCCAGGCCTTCAATAAATCCTTTGTTATGGTTGATAAGCTGCAGGTGATCAGTTTCAGGAATGAGGAGAACAAATGAGGGATGAGATATCCCTGAAGTCTGTACCCCCTTAAAGTTTACCTTGACTTGTAACCGCGACTTACTAAACATTTGGAACATCACGTGTTGCATACATACATATGGGGAAGGAAAGAAAAAGAAATCAGCTTGGAGAAAATTTCAGATGAACAGAATTCCAAGGGAGCTGTAACACAATCATCTGAAACAGCGCTCTGCTAGCATCATGTGTCCTCTGCTAGCATTTTATATGGAGGTATGCAAGTGTGAGAGAGCAAAGTGCAATGTGCAGCTCCACTCATTGGCTTTTATGCCAGGTTTAGAAACAAGAAGGCATCTTCTGGAGATCTGAAGCTTGAAATGAAGAAAACAGAGGATAAGACTCCAGTGGATTAAATATAAAAATACAAGAAGAAATGGAAAAAAGTCTTCAAGGAATTAACAAAAAGTTAATTCTCTTTTTTTTTTTTTTTTTTTAATGAATTAACATTCTACAGTTAATAAGTAATAATTCATAGTTTTCAGAATATCAAGAATGAGAAATCTGCCAAAGCTTTCTGGTAGGTCTACTGATATTAACACGTGAAGAAAAGAAAAAGCACAAAATTCCAACCTGACCCCCCAAGACAACAAAGTCATTGCTAAGAATCAAAGTGTGCCTTGCATTTATGATGTCCCTAGAGGAAAGAGTATAGGTTTTTGCTAGAAGTATTTTTGTAGGAGGACTCAGGAGCTCAGCCATCTATCAGCATTATTATAATCACAGACTTATTGAGGTTGGAAGGGACCTCCGGAGATTGCCTAGCCTACCCCCCTGCTCAGTGCCATGTCCATTTGGTCTGAACATCTCCCAGGTTGATTCCCCAACCTCTCTGGGTGACCCATTCCAGCATTCGACCATCCTCACAGGAAGAAAAGTTTTACTTAATTTTAAGTAGAATTTTCTGTACATCAGCTTGCGCTTCTGGCCCTGTCACTGGGTGCTGCTGAGAAGTGCCTGGCTGCATCTTTATTCCCTCCCAAGCCTTTACACAAGCAGGTAAATCCCTCTGAACCCTCTCATTTTTGTGCTGAGCAGCCCCAGCATCTCCCCGAGGCCCTTCCCCATCTCAGCGGCCCCTTGCTGCACTCCTTCCAGTCCCCCCATGCCCTCCTTGCTCCAGCGGAGTCCCGAGGTGCCAAAGCAGCCCCCCAGACCCGTCCCTGCAGGGCTGAGCAGCGGGGACACCCTTCCTGGGGATGCCCTGGAGGAGCTGGGGCTGCCCTTGGCTGCCACGAAGATGCTCGGCTGCTGTTGACCTCCTCTACCACCAGGGCGCATCGCTGGCTCACGGTCAGCTCGGGGCCAGTCCTACAGACCTGATTTCCAGTCTCCTGGCCCCCACTGCGGGTGTTTGGGGTTCTCCTGTCCCACTTGCCAGGCTTTGCAGGTCCTGGCAAGGATTGCCATCAGCGGATTTCTCCAGCCTGGCAAGGTCCCACTGAATAACCGCACAGCAATCTGGTGTATCACCAGTATCACCTGCAAACTTGCTGATGGTGCCCTCTGTCCCATCATCCAGGTCGTTAACAGAGATAATCAACTGTACCAGCCCCAATAGTTGATGCCTGGGGTGCACCACTGATAACTGGCCCCCAGCTGGACATCATTTTACCTAAGGACGTAATGGGAAACAGTGCCAACAGCCTCTCTGAAGTCAAGATAAGCGACAACTACTGCTCTCCCCTCATTTAACAAGCCCATGATGTCATCAGAGAAGCCTACCAGGTTGGCTGAGCATGATATTCCCTTCTTAAATCCATGCTGACTACACCCAATTACCTTCTTGTCCTTCATGCACTTGGATTCATTTCCAGGGTTATTCATTCCACCACTTCCCAAGGGGCTGAGGTGAGGTTGACTGCCTTGTAGTTTCCCAGATCCTCCTTTCTGATGATCTTGCAGATAGCAGAGACATTTTTCTTCTTCCACTCCTCAGAAGCTTCCCTCACTAGCCACAACTTTCAGATATTACCTTGACCTCACAGTGACATTGGCCAGGTCCCCCAGAGTTTGTGGGTGCACTCCATCAGGTCCCATGAACTTGTTGTGTGTGTCCTGTTTGTATGGGTGTTCCCTAACCTCTTCCTTCCTCTACCAAAGGTAAGTTATCCTCACTCCAAACTTCCCATTGGTCTGAATGGGCCCAAGATTCCTGAATGCAAATCTCACCATTAAAGACTGAATTGAAGAAACAATAGACCTTGGTCTTCTCCACAGATTTTGTCACCAGCTCTCTTGCCCAACTCATCAGTGGGCCCAGATTTGGCCTGATCTTCCTTTTGCTGCTGATATTCCTGTAAAACTTTCCTGTTGCTCTTCACATCTCTCACCAGATTCAGCTGAGATGGGCTTTGGCTTCTCTAAGCCTATCTCTGTATGTTTTGACAGTGACTCTACATTCCTTCTGAGTGAAGCCTATAAAAAAAAAAAAAAAAAAAAGAGAGAGAACATTGTTATGACAGGAGCTTCTGATGTTCCTACACCTTGAGTACCTTGCAGAGTTGTTACTCCAGCTTGAAAAAGAATCCAGTAAAATTGAAAGAGACATCTGCACTGCTGATTATGCTTCAAGAGTGGGTCTTGGCCATCCAATACTCTTCTATCAAGAATAAGAGACAATTTGAAGGGCACTGGGTTTTTCACAGACTCAGTGGTATCAATAAGCACAAAGCACCAAGTTTCTATCAGCTTAATCAATATGTTATCTAGACTAGCAAAATAAACACAACACTTGTGAGCATCTAGGAACTAATAAAAACTTTTTTTTTTTTAATTTAATGGTATTCTTTTGAAGACTGGAAAAAAACCTCTAAGGTCTGATATTAACGTGAGGCGTGCCAATGGCTTTATCTGACAGTTTATCTTATGTGCCCTCAGCTAATCATTTTAAAAGGTAACTGGCTTATTGTGATAACATTTATAAGATTTACTGCTTATTAAAAAAAGCTATGCAACATGAAAAACAAGTTCTGGTTTTATAGCATAATCATTTTGACAAAGAAAATACAAAGGAAGGTTATTCCAACATTTACCTTATTATTTTTTTGTCCCTCAATTCAAGCAGGAATTTTATAGTTCCACTAAAGAGGGACAGAAGAGCAAGAAACAGTTAAGCTTAGATATGCTTTATAAAACATTAATTTCAATGAATGAACAACCCAAATACCATAAAGACCTACAGAATCATCTCAAATTCACATAGTTGCTCATTTCCAGGATTTCACGGGGCTGAGAACAGATGTGTGTCAGAAACCAGGAAACTGGCTCAATTCCTTTGGGATTTTTTTCCAGAATGGAAGCAAGGGGGAGGAAGGGGAAAGAAGAAAAACCATTTGACCGAAATATCACTCTTGCTCTGTCTTAAAAAGCAGTAGAGTTTTTGAGCAGAATGACAACATTAGCTACAGCAGTCAGGTCTTCATAGTTCCAGACAAGGGCTGAGATCTAGACAGATCTATAATTATTGGTTTTGATAAATTAAGGATCAGAGCTCTCTGTCTCTAGCATTGCCTAGAGCACTTCCTCTCCCAGACATGTTACAACCAGATTAGGAAAGACAGTAGATAAGACAAACAGTGCAGTCACGAGCAGAGAATTGTTCAATGATGTACACTTCAAGCACTGGCAAAGTATCATTTTCACTGCTTTCAGTATCTTACCTGGTACTGACCCATTAAGAAGGGAGCATAATTTTTCCCCTCATCCGTTTTTTTTTTTTTTGTATCTATGTATCTCCCTTACAACTCATACATATATATTTTTAATTCCCATTTTACCTCCAAGATCTAAGATTTTTCTATTCCACACAAGATGTTCTTGTAATACTTCAGATACTGCAGTTTACAAAATACCAACTAGCAAGTCGCAACAAACACCTGGTAGCATGGAGAGATTATAAAAGCACAGGTTGTTAATGTGTCTATCAACTTACGCTCAGGAGTCTTAGAATGACAAGAAGGTCTCTTGTGTCAACAGGGAGATCGGGTAGGTTACACGTTCCAATTCAAAAACAACAAAACTACTTCTAAGAACAGGAAAAAAATAAAAAAAACACACACACTGACACTCTGCATTCGTTTATGAAGAAAAGTTTAAGTACAAAAACTGGATTAGTCTAAAGAACAATTCATATTTCATATTTGGAAACACCAAAAAACATTAGGTACAAAACCTCCCAAAAGCAGTCTTTTTTTTTTTTAATTATTATTATTTCAAAATAACTATTTCTTTTGCTTGTCCCATTCCCCATTTTTTCCCCCCTAAATGAGGCAGTGCACCGGAGATCAACCGGAAAGAGTCATATTCACCAATATCTTGATCCTTGCCTCTCTATTCCCCTCCATGGTTTAAAAAAACCCAAAGTCTAGTTAAATGTCTTTATTTGTAATCTTCTTATAACAAACTTACTTTTTTTTTTTAAATATAAAAAGAGCAACAAAGTCTTTGGATCACAGAGGGGCTAAACCCATCACGCTTGCAGGGAAGGTGGAGGGAAAGACAAGATGCCAATAAAAAAAAGAGTCATCTTCAGTTTTTTCCTAGAGGCTCCCCTTAAGGGCCCTGAGGCTGGGCAGCAGCTGGGCAGCACTGAGGCGCTGCTCCACGTTGGCCTTCCAGCAGCAGCTAATAATGCTCCTCAGCCTTTGGCCCATGGGCAACTCGTGGAAAACGGCAGCAGCCAGGGAAGGGCGCAGGTTGTAGGCCACCACGGCATAGAGCACGTGCTGCCGCTCGCCCAGGTAGGGCTGCTCCCGCATGACCATCTGCCAGAGGGTGATGGCAAAGGAGTAGATGTCCGCCTTGGCTGTCACCCTCTCGCCCTTGAGGAGCTCGGGGGCACGGTGCGTGTAGGTGCCCCCGTGCTGGGAAACGTGGGGGCTGTGGGACAAGCCGTCCTCCAGTTTCTGGGAGCAGCCGAAGTCTCCGATCTTGCACACCCCTTGCTCCGTGATGAAGACATTGGCAGGCTTCAGGTCCAAGTGCACGATGCCCTGCGCGTGGAGGAAGGCCAGGCCCGTGGCGATGTCGCAGGCATAGCCCACGGCCTCCTCCATGCTCAGAGCCTTCCTGCCACACCCTCCTTCCTCATCCTCCCCCTGCCTCCACGCCTTGCCGGTGCCGTAAATAACGTGGTGCAGGGTGATGTTGCCCACATACTCCATGATGATGGTGCCCAGGCTGTTCTGGCTGGCAGGGGCACACGTGCTGGCAGCCACCACGCGCACCACATTCTCGTGCTGCAGCCAGGCGACGTTCAGCTCAGCCCAAAAGCTCTGCCGTGATGCCAGCCGGTTTTTGCTGCTCTTCTTCACCTGCTTCACAGCCACGGTCGCACCATGGTAGGTGGCTTTGTAGACAGACCCAAAGCCCCCAGAGCCCAGGGGCTGCAGGAGGCAGAGCTGGTCCCAGTCGATGGAGCACCAGGCCAGGCGCGGAGGCAAGCGGCGGACCCTGGGCGAGGGGGTTCCTCCCAAAAAGGCCTTCCCCTCTTTGCCGGGGATAACTAGGGGGCTGCTGCAGGGCCTCAAGTCCGCAGATGGGGAGAGCTCCAAAGGAAGAAAGTGATTAAAAGGAATAGGTGAGGGCATAATACGGTGCAGAGCACAGCAGGAGATTACTTGGACAAAGACTGGAAAGCTTCCCTGAGAGAAAGAACCCTGCACTGCCTTCCAAAGCCTCTTTTATCCTCTCCACAATTCCCCCTCCCACCCCCAGATGAACTGCATCTGTCACAGCTAGCTGAACCCCAATCAGGCTCACCTGAAAACATTCTTCTCTGACCCTGAAGTTAATCTCTAGAAAGTCACGACATATGGATTTTAAACTAAAATATATTAACTCACGTGTATTTCGCATAATTTCTAATCTCAAGAGAAAAGAAGGATGTTCTGTCCATTGAATGCCTGTAGCGAAATGCCCTGGCTGTAAGTAAACCACTGAGTGGTGAATGTGTTTCCCCTGGGCTCCAGGCAAAAACAATCATCAGTCAGGTTGTGTTATCACAGCATCGCTGAATGGTTTGGGTTGGAGGGGACCTTAAAGATCACCTAGCTCCATTAAACAGCTCACAGTCATGTTCAGAGGAAGCAGCTGAGAAGGTGAGTGCTAGCATTTAATTAGCCTGCGCAGCCACAACCTAAATTTAAAAGTGCACTTAAAGAGACCTGTAACTTAAACATGACTGGAGCAAGGGGACTGGTTTGGCTGCTTATGTGTACTTACACTAATTGCCTTAGTGTTTGGTGCCTGCTGTACCTGCCCCAGCACCACAGCATCCTCATGGGACTTTTACAGCCGAAAGCTCTTGAATATCCCAGCAAGTGTCTTTCTGCACTTGCAGACAAGTATCTTGGAAAAATAGGTCCCTATTTTGGATCTCCTTGCCCTTCAAAACTGTCATCTTGGATGTCAGCTTTGCCAATACAGACCCTATTATGAGATTTCAAAGATAGGTCATGCCTCTTTCCCCAGAGTTTAAATCTGGGCTTCACTGGCTCTGCAGACAGCTCCTGTGGCATTTTCCAGGTGTTTTGTTCCTTTTGGTTTGCTCCCTTGGGTATGATGCAGCACAGGTGCTCTGAGGGAGGAGGTTCCAGGGGTGCTCAGAAATGTGCAAGGAGATCTGGGGTCTCCTCCACCGTAAGAAGGGTTTAGCTCTTTACCTAAACAAGCAGAAGTAATGTCCCAAACAGGGCTGACCCTGCTTGAACTCTGGATCAGCTCAGCCAGGTGTCAAAGGCATCACCCTGTAGTGAATGAGGGACAAGATCTTCCCTGGTACTCGAATTTGTTATCTCAGTTCACAGGGAAGCCAGCTTGGACAAGAGATGAATAAAAATGGGAAACTTGGGTTATCGCCTAGCAATGGGAAACTGATTGACTGGGAAGATTTAGATAAATAGGTGCTAATGCATGGTAGGGGCTGTTACTGAGTTAGAGAACAGCGCTAGGGATGCCAGAGGTGGACTGGGGCACTGCTCCAGTGACGGATGATGGCACATCAGCTGTGCAGGGACACCTTGGGGCAGTGGGGGCAAAGACCCGAGGAGCTTTAGTGTTGTTTTAAGCATGCCATGACATAAGCAAGGTAGACAACAGGAATTTTACGCTCCTTTCCTAAGCAGCACAGTGATTTTATGTTTGCATGAAAAAGTCTTCACTTTTCACTTCACAGTCCACACAGGAAATGTATTCTGTGCAGGTGAGTTGTGATGGCAACAAAAAGCTGCAATGAGCAGATCCGTCTACGCTGGTGAGAGGAAGGATTTTTAGGCTTATTTTCCAAGCCATTAAAGCTCTAATTCTGGCACAGACTGTTGTGCCGTATAGTATATAAAAACAGCAGAGAGACAATCTTTGCTATTGCTCCATGAACTTCAGACTTATCATGGGAAAAGTGAACTTGTCACGATCTCTTTTCAGTAGACTGAGGTTGCAGAGAAGCTTAAGGGGGAAGTTGGTTGAGGGAGAGGCATTGGCAGAAGGAGGTGTGGACAATGGGTTTACGAGTGGACCTGTTAAGCAGGCAATTATAGAAGAATAATTATATGAGATTTTGATTGTTGCAGAAAATGGTAACAAAAATATGTTCATAAAACTGAGGGTTGGTATTAGGACTGCTCCCAAATTTCATTGCTTGAATTCTCATTTGGAATAATAGGGCAGATCTTCCATATTTTTATTTTTATTTTTTTTTCAAACTCCATGTCCTTTTTTAGTGATTTTCCTGTTTTCCTTTTCTGCTGAAACTTTTCTATTTCTCCCCTCTCGTGGCAAGGTTGTTGTATTGTTTTTTGGGAACCCACTGAATTTCTGAGCAGGAAGAGGGGCATTTTGGGGTCAAAACAGACTTACTGTAACCAACTGCCTTGTCCCAAGCTGGCTGCTGAGGGGAGCATCCAATCTCTTCCATTGTGAATGCAGTTAAAACAGATTTAAAATCAACCACGCTTTTATTCTTAATAAAATGTCTTTTCCCGTGTTCCCGCTGATGACACAGCCCCATTGCTTCCCGTAAGACACAATCTTGGTGTCTTTTGGAGTTACAAAAGTTAACACCAAAACACACAGCCTGCGCCCTGAGGGCTGCGATGTGACAGCAGCAATAACCCATGGCAGCGACCGCTACGTGCCAGGCTCGTGTGTTTTACTCTCCAATAAAACACAGCTGGATGTCCGATGCCGCAACAGCTGCCCATCCATGCCTCGAGCTGAGAGCCCACCCGCTTGCGTTTCAGCTATATATCAAGAACTCTTTGTTTGCCAGCACTGTCAGTTGCTACTGCTCTTCGGGGATCTGCAAAGCAGGAGGCAGACACCGAGGGCCTCCCAGTCTAACGCGCGGGTGCGGATGCGACACACCACAACAGATACGGACCAAATACCCGCGTCCCTTCTCGCAGAGCAGAGCTTGATTTTGATCAAGGTGCATCACTGTTGTGCTTCTCAACAGCCACCTGTTTTTCTAAACCATGAAAAGGACCGGGGGTCGGCACTGATTTCAGAGATTTTAAGAGAATATAACCATGTTCCTCTCCATGATCACTGCTTTATTTATTCGTGCATTTGTTTGGGGTACAATGCACCAAACACGTCAAGGTCTTGGCATTCAGGGGATGCTAAGAACTGCTTTACAGCATAAAGCTAGCACAGTGTTTCTACTAAATTACTTTCTGATCATGCTAAGGGAGACAAATTTACCTCCTAAGTACTTTATAAATTAGTCTTACTCTGAAAGCGACATGGTTCCTTAGCCTGTGTCTCAGTGACTTCTGAGAGTTTTCTTTACCGGTTCTAAATCAAAGTTTTCTTTTTTCTTTTTTCCACTTACTGTCAGTCTCTGTGATCTCAGTTTGGGGTTTGGTGATGAACCTACATTCTTTCTCACTCGTTTCGCATTTTACAGTCCCAATGTTGCTTCCAGTCACACCCCATCAACCTCAAACCATGCTCTGAGTTGCATGAAAGCAGTTCTGATACAATCAATTGCGCAGGTGGAAGCGGTATCATTATTTGAAGCCAGTCCATACACACAGCTTGCTCTGAAGGTAGGCCACCGATTAACCATTTTTTTTTTTTTTGACTGCAAGCAGAAGCCAGAAGAGAATCCAGTTTGTAATTTAGAGCGTGCTTGTTTTGGTGTGACAAATGACACCTCGGAGAAGCAAATACGAACAAGTTTCCATTAAAGCAGTCAGAGGTAAACCTAAATGCCAAGAGCAAATACATCTGCAAGAACTGTGATGCTACTCTACAGCACATCTTTAGAGCCATAATAATAAACATTTAAAAAGGTTAAACCCCAGTTTATAAATAATAAGATCAAGTTTCAAACACACATTGCCAAACAGTTGCCTGATACTGTTTTTTCTTCCCAGTATGATTACTCTGTGCTCAAGCATGAAGCAAAGGCTCTCCTTAGCAGAAAGCTCTAAGGTTTTAACCGAACTGGCAAGGCAGGTGAGGTTTCAGGGTAATTTACCCCAATATCCTTGACCACAAATGGATCAGGGATAACAATTTGGGACCTGCTGCTGTGGATTAGTATCACAACTGCAGAAGAGCACCTCAAGACAAGCTGAGAGAATCTAAATGTAGGTACGAAGATGATGAAGTGTGAAATACCAGCTCTGACATGTAGCAATCAATAGTTTCTGGCAGTGCAAAGATGGGTGCCTACCCTGGCAGGTTTACTGCTATCATATGGCAGGCCCCTTATGCAGTGTTTTCAGGACCAGGAGCGTTTTTGCAGTCTTGCCCCTGTAGCAGTGCTGACAAACAGCCTTCCCGGGTCACGGGGAGACAACAGAGAGCAGTGGTGGAAATTGAGACTTGTAGCTTAGGGACTAGCAACACCCAGCCATAGCAAACACAGCGGCTCTGCAATCACCACACCATCAGAGAGCTGGGCAGAGGGGCAGAGGCGGGAGGATCAGCTAAATCCAGCAGCTCTGAATAAATGGGCTCAGCACTCTGGTGGGCCACAGCGAATCATCAGCGGTTGCCCTAAGTTAAGGGGCATTAAACTTGCCTGATTAAAATGGTTCATACAGTTTAAACGCATATTATGTGCTTTGTATTAGTGAATAAGCAGAAGCTTCTTGCAAAAATACTGCTGAATAGAAATATGCCTAGGCTGAACAGAGCACACAAGCTATCGGGCACTGATGTAGTACTTCACTGGCATAACACTCCAGGCACTGAAAAAGGAGACATTTTTTAGGTGAGGACAGACTTCAGTGAATTTTGGGGCTTAGTCTACGCTTACATGTCATTAGTGTTTGATATCCCTACATTAGAGCTTTAAATTTGTCATTTATGGCATGCCCCCTTAACTGTATAGTCTACATTTTATTTTCATCTTCCATGTAAGTACTTGTGAGGGAACTTAAGGATTTGCCCATGACCACGCGTGTAACAATTTAATAAAAAGGCAAAAAGCCAGATGTGAGCTTAATTTCAAAGGCACAGCCTGCACAATGTTTCTACTGAAATTGTATCTAATACTACACAAGGATAACTGACAAACACCTCCCTCACGGGAGTCTGTGTGCCCTGCAGATAAATTGCTGTCTCTCGTAGATTAATCAAATATTTGGTAGAAGCTCTTCCAACTTGCCTGGGAAACCAAGTGCTGTGTTAACCAGGAGATACCTTTAAAAACCGCACGATTCACTTCGGACTTGAAAAACAGAGAAACTTAAACTTTTTGAAGGGAAACAAAACAAAATAAAATTAATTTCTCAACTTTTCCAGGTTTGATTGGCTCCCCCCATGCATGCATACACATACATACATACGTGTACACACACACACACGTTTATATACGTAAATGTATATATACAACAGTTTAAGCAATATGCTGATTTTCAGAAACTGATGCTATTCTGGTACTCTGCATTATTTTATACCCATCAAGCAGAGATCTGGCTGATTTATATGAAAATGACACTAAACCATTCTTCTTTGTACGGTGTAGTTCAGTGTGACAGAGAAAATCAGTGCCATGGGCAAACCATCAATTCAAATGATTTTCAAACCAAGCACAGCATGCATTATAATCCTGTTTTCAGAGCGCTCAGCTGTTAGCTGATGTCTTTTCAATCCACTGTGAGGCAAACAAGCTTTGTAGCTGGTGATTTTATGACACAAACATCCCTGAAGGAGACAAAGCTGTGGAATGACAATGAAGAACACAACTGTTAATTATATTTTTAAAATACTTATTTACCAGAAAATATTGATTTCTTGAAGACACACAGGCCATTACAACAACAACAAAAAGTATACATATATATAATATACCGGACAAGGTGTTACACACTGTATTTATTGTTAGTTGGAGAAGTTTGTAGTGAATTACCTGGGATACAGCACGTGAGCAGGAACTTGTTACTTCATACTACTGTGGTCTGTCATTCTCAGCATCACTTATCTCCGCTGTTGTTCCAAAACTTGTAACAAAACATTGCTGTTTATGTGCCAGAGGCCCTAGCCAGTACCGATAAGCAGCAGCTACTCCCCTACTACACATCTCAAACTTTTAAGCACAGACTAAATTTTGTAATCAAGCTTATCTTGCTGACCTACTTGCTGCCTCTTTGTGATGGCAAACCCTTGCTGTGCCAACTACAGCAAGTGCCACTTTGGAAAACTTAATTTCTATCTGACTTAATACAATGTTTTGATTTGCAAAGCAGGGAAGCCAAAGGCGTGTAGCTGCTCAGTTCTTGCTAGTCTAAGCTCTGGATCACAGGTTTAGATTTCTCTGCCAAAAACATTCTGTATGCTAGGGTCAAGAAAGAAAAAAATAAGTAAATAAACATAAAGTGAAGAGGGGAACTAGCATAGTCTTTTTCTCCCACTCCTGGAGGACAGAGACCAGACATGCAGGGCATACTGAAGGGCCATCTTTATGTACATTCATACGTGAGGCTTGGAAAAAGGTGGTTACAGGAGACAAAGAAGGGATGGATGGCTGTGTTTTTGTATAGCTCCGGTGATCTTTCTGAATGTCCCTTTCCACAAAGCATAATTCTTTTTCTTGCCAAAGGAAGAAGCGAGATAAGAAAATCAAAGAGCTTGATTTTCAAAGAGCTTGAAAGCCCCTCAGCACTAACTAACGTAAAATCCTCAACTTCCACCATTTTGTCTAGCTCTGCCCTTCCAGGAATTGATACGGGACACCCAGCCTTTTTACCCATGTGGGCACTACAGAACAAAGAATTTACTCCCTTTTTTAAGGTGCAAGAAAATGCTGGAAGGAAAATTAAAAAAATAAAAAAATAAAAAGCCCCTTCCCTGTTGAAGATGTGCCAGTTTGCATGAGACATAATAAAGAACAAAGGTTCTGGTCATGCCGAGAATATCTACTCTTTGGTCAGTTCGAGCTAACATCCAACTCCTCCAAGTCTTGGAGGAACCCCCTGAATTTAACAGGGAAATGTTTGGAGGGACTGTACCAAGAGATGCCTGAATGCAGCATAGATACCATCCATGCAAACACGTCCCACTTATCAGGGTTTTTAGAGGGTGTCAGTGTGGAAGGACATGTTAATCCAGGGGTGGTGGCTGACACCATCTACAGTAGTGAAAGAACTGGGTGGTTTTCTCTCGGGGGAAGTGGTGGAGGCTTTGCCAAGTATTAAATACATCAGTAGCCTACTATGGATCACGTCTTCATCTCCTTTCTACACCTTTCAAACAAATTTGGATAATAAACAGTTGAAGACAGGAGCCTCCTCATCCTGCAGCTTTACAGCTTTTGATTCTCAACACAGCCAATCCTCCCAAGCGAGTTAGAAACCTGTGACACAGAAGTCATTAAGTCAGTTCAGATGAAACAGGTAAGGATCACGAGGAAGAAGAAATGTCTGTGTATGATAAAGCCAACGACTCGGTAACCATCATTTCTCTCAGACGGGGGTACAGGAGGAAATCTAAAAATTAAAGAATTGGAAGAGAGAGGAACCCAGGAGCAGGAAAACACAGACAATGCTGAGGGTATTTCCGATATACATTCTGAAAAGCAATGAAATGTGAATTTGAAACAGCTACATAGCAAATGCTAGTCGTTTACTTTCCTGGCAAACAGTCCGTGCTAGGGAAACAGCTATATGGAAAAAGAACAGAGGCAACTTTCTGCAATTGTGGGTAGGCTGCTTGTCTGGTTTCGTGGTACCTCTTCCCCCAGTGCATTAGTCAGGCTTCTCAGAGAGGCTTCAACAGCAAGGTCACGGGCAGACAGGAGGTCTGTGGGATCAAAACAATGAAGTTTCTTCTGGAAGCATTTCAGAGAGACAACCCACATACTGTGCCTGTAACACACACCACACCCTTAGAGTTTACCCTATAAACTATAACAATCAACGCAAATTACTTGCATTAATCCGAAGTGATGGAGAATCACTTGCCTGCTTCTCCCGCGAGTAGTCCCGCCATGAAAACCCCAAACTCACCTTCTGGTTTCTGACAGCATTTCAAAGCGCAATTTGATGGCAAACAATTGCTTCCTTCAAGTCAGATCTGCCTTGTCACAGACACAGTAGCATCATCCGGCCTGTTCCTTGGTGAAATCATGAAACGCAGACATTTATGCTTTAAGATTTTTCTGAAAAACTGACATTTTACCAGTCATAAATCAGAAATAGTTATACCTTTGCAAGATCAGAATAAGTACACCCAGCAAAACTAGATGTATTTAAAATTACTTACTGTAATCCCAAACATGCAGACCGAGATTATCTATTGAAATGCCAGGCATAAGGTATTCATTAACTAAAACCATTCTGTAATTTTATTGATATATTTTGTGGAGTTCACATATTTTTGTACAGCAAACATAACACTGTAGGCCACAAGAAGCTGCAGCACTATTGTTTAATAGCAGCAAGGTATATTTTATAATCAGGGTATGTGGACAATAAATAGTCTGTTTCTTTGGATGTGAATGTTTAAAATGAAGTTCTGCTGCAGCTTCATAATGTGATTGCTATTTTACAGAGCTTATACACAAAAATATATATGCAATCTTTTTGTCTATATTTTATACAAATACAACAGTAGTTTGTGAATACATTTTAAAGTACATATACATGATAAGCAACTCGATTTCCCATATCACAGGATAGCAAATTTTAAATGCAAGAAACATATACAAATTCAGTCTGGAATGCAGGGTTTTCTGTGTTCTTTTTTTTTTTTTTTCTATATTTTTGACTCAAAACTTTTATCATTAAAACATTTTAGCATACAAGTCCAAACAATTTTTCCACTAGCTAAAAAATATAATTTCAGCAATCCGAGTCAGGTTTGGGTGTGTCATCATTCCCCAATATACTTTTTTTTTCCCCAGTTTTGTCTAAATTCAAAGGCTTTTAGTAATATACAGTGTGTTCTTCACTCCACACTGTACAAAAAGCCCACGTTTAATTTTAATTAAGTCATCTATTTTTGTGAACAAGAGCTGGGCTTGTCAGCGTTTAAATTTGCATGTCCAAAATTTTACTTTTGCAAGTGCATATGAATACATTGTGGTGTTGTACAAAGTTCATTAATGACAAATTAAGTCACAGTATAAAAATATATCATACAACTATAGGTCTAGTATAGTCCTTTTTTCTATGGGTAAAAATACATCTGAATGAGACAGGGAGGTTTGTAGCACCATGAGAGGAGTTGTATCCCAAGTTACATTAGCAGCATGATCCAATATAACAATATTGCAGGAGTGTTTCTGAGGAGATAAACATTCACTCTGGTTCAACTGTACCACTGAAGCTTATACTGAAAAGTGTTTACATATGATTAGCAATAGTTCTGTGTCACTTCCAGGGCTAGATAACTGTTATCAAAAGACACTGCCTTCCAACAAAGTAAGACACCCTTATTACATAAAAAGCTTTGGGACTATCCAAACACATTTTGAGCTACTGTGGCGTTATTTGCATGGTGAGGGTCATGCTAAGTAGGCTATGGTTTTAATGGTACACTGGGAAGATGCAGGATGGGCAGCTAAGTCTATACAGTTTACTACATAACAGGTAAGTACATTTATTTCAGAGACTTATCTAGAGACCGAGAAGAATACAGGACAAGCTGCTAAACCAGTGTATGAGACAGACATAACGAAGGATGCAATCCTGCTCCCCTTGACGCTTATGGATGCAGGATCAGGCCCTAAGTTAACTTCAGACAGCAGCATAGCGTTGATAGCATAGGATAAAAAAAAATCTGCATCAAATACCGCATGTAAGTATTTCTGCAATAGTTTACCATCCAGAACTCCAGAGGACACAGTTTACAATTGGTGAGGACAAACTCCTAATTTTTCTTTTTTTTTTTTTTTGACTGGTATTCAAAATGGCAGTAGAAGACAGTGTAGTTTGAAACATGTAAACCTAGTAAAAACCATTGTAAAACCCTTAAGAAAGACACACTGGTTCTGTGCAATATAGCAAATTGATAAGAAAACACTGTAAAAATGTACCTGTTTAAAATTACAATGTCTACCATTTTGTACACAAAGCATTATACCAAAGGCCTACATATATGTAATCTAATGGCACTTGAAACAAATTATAATAAAAGGTTTTATAATAAAAAGCATAACCTGTAAGAAACTTTCTTAAAAGGTTTAGGTTTTTCTTTTGAAAGTGCTATATCTTGTAATATGTGTAACATAGAGGTTGACCAAGCTTTATTTTAAAAAATATTGGCCTATAATACATGTTTAGCTCACTAGGCAAATGATCCTGAAAATATGTACTCTTAACATTCATTATTAGCTTAATAAAGCAATCAGCTCTGGCTCATGTTTCAGTCAGTATATGGTTTTTAAAAACCGCTACTGCCAAATTAACAATAAATCACTCTATTCCACAATTTACTACTAAATAAAGCACAAGCAACAAGTACACAAAAATATATATATTAAAGAAAAAAAAAAAACAAAAAGACCTTACTAGAAGAAGTTGCACAAAGAGTGGTGCATGATCGGCCAGCCCTCCCCCCTCCCTCGAAGCATCAATTTGAAACCTAGAAAACAGGGTTTAAAAACTGACATTTTAGTAGTGGCCAATAACGACTCTGCCTGAACATTATTCGAAAGCACGAAGGTGTTAATATTGCTTACAGCGTCAAAGCTGCTTCCACGTAATCATACATCCTCGTTCAGCGGCACGCTAACCTGGCCGACTGAAGCCCTGACTGAATGAGGTTCAATATCTTGTCTGAGGTCCCTACTTCTCGAGTGAAATGTACGTCTACCTCTGAAGTGAAATGTCAACCCCTGCTCAGGAAGCTAAGGCACTAACCAAGTGGTAAGGACTCCGGCTAAGTACTAAGAACTGGGTGTTGGCCAAGTGTTTGTTGTGTGTGTGTGTTTTAATCAAGTCTAATCAGAAACTGAGACTGATAAGCAGGTGGCACTGCCTCTCGCTGAGTGTTAGATGGGCCACATCAAATCCCTTCTGCCACTAGTCTGGCAGAGCATCTGGCAGCAGCAGGTGAGATTAAATTTACTGGCGATGCCTGAACGAGCAAATTCCTCCATGCCATACCAAAAACTCCAGCTTTGAAGCTCCTGGTGCCTGCACATTCCCTGCCCAGGAGGAAGAGTGCTGCCACCAATTCTGCTGCCAGAGCTGCCCGTGAGATGCTGAGCACTCGCAGCTTCCCCCTGCCAAGGGGAAGCTCCACGCGGGGCAGCGCCCACCAGAGGAATGAAGTCCACTGATCTTCATCCCTAATTGATTTAAAAAACTGAGAGTAAAGCCAACATCTCCCTATATGCATTGTGGTTGCTGATTTAAACCAGAATTACATTCTGTTGCATTCACCTTGTGCTCTGTTCACCTGTGTTTTTCTTTCCTTTATAAAGGTGACGAAAAAAAAAAGCAATATTGAACAAATCATTCAACTAAAGATGTAAGTAAGCAAGCGATCTGTTTCATAGAAACCAGAGGAAGCAGTCATGAAGCAGAGCTAAAAGCCCACTTTGAGATAACATGCTCCTAAACCCAAAATCTAGGAGTAGTTTGCAGAATTTCAAAAGGTATTTTCCTTATTAATACATCCTTATTTTAATGCCTTTGGAACACAAACACATTTATAAAAATGTTATCTTTCAGTAATAAAATTTAAATACACATATGTATAAAATAGTAAAACTACACCTGCATATTGCTCCTAGAATTAAAAAAAAAGTAGGAGCTACTGATAAAACATCTGGAGCATGAGCTCCTTAAATGGGAGCAACTTTTGTTTCTGTGAAGTATATTCAGTTTAACCACTTAAAACCTTGTATGAATCCTCATTATTGTTTGAGAGATACTAATGTATTTGATTTCTATTTTTTAATTCCTTGTGCAAAAATGACAAGGAAAAGCGCGTTATTGTTGAATTACAGCAAATCTAGTTTGCTTTCATGCATCACAGGTTTGTTTTTTTTTTTTTTTTCTTTTTCCTCTTTTGGTTATTAGGGGTTGGGGAATAGAATATATTGCATTAGGTAAAAGTGGTGTAAGCAATATGCTTTTACTTCACTCCTAAGAGTCCTGTCTTTAAATCTTGGCAGTGGGCAAAAAGTCCCTAACCAAGTACCCAGGTGTAGAAAGTATGATTAACATCTAACTTGTTGCTTAGGAGGACATAACACACCATGTAACACAACTGAAAAGTTCATTCCAATAAAAAAAAATATTAAAAACTGGTATTTGCAAATTTACATTCACTCTCTGACTGCACACTAATATTGAACTGAAAATAGATACACACTTTCTGGCTGGACTCGATCCACCCTTTGGCGGTGGCAGCTGGGAGAAGACTGATGCCTACAAATGTGAATACGCTATTGGAAGATTCCTATGCAGTATTCTTTCTATGCTACTAAAGAGAAAAAACAGCAAGTTAAGAATTAAAACAAAAACTGCGACAAAATATTCTGCATTACTAAATTACAACACTTTTATATTTCAAGATCAGCCATTAATTTTGCCTGTTTTCCTCTACCAGAGTCATGAAAGCACAACACAGTTCCAAATTCAACTTGAAACTTTTGTCATTTAGGCAAGCAGAGATTCTCTGTTGAAATTCTGTTCAGCCACGATTTTACAAAATTAAACTATATTTTTTTCTTCCAATATTCATAACAGGCCACAACAATTTAAGCCAGAAAATGGCAAAATTTGTAACACCTTTTATAATGACTTCAATACAAGTCAAAATGTTATATATATGTACATGTGTATATATGAACTTCTATATATACACATACAAGTTTTCAGAAAAAATCTGAATTCTATATTTATTTAAAAATTTAGAATTGTCATTATAGAACAGATCAGATGTCACCATTTGGGAAGAGGTTTTTTTTTTTTGGAAAGGGACTAGGGATTTTTTTTTCCCAAATCTTTAGGAATCTTTGCAATACGTATTTGAACTGGATTCTTTGCAAATGCTTAATATATAAAAGGTAAAAATGGTAGTTCTACCACTGACATCAATAAAACAGAGTGGCTGGTATGGTTGAAAAAGTTTATAAAAAGGGATGCATGTTGAAAGTTTGCTTGGGATGACTTTCTAGTGAACATTTTAAATGTGTCAATTGGCAGTGAAAATGAAAACAATATAATGAGACTTTAAAAAAAAAAACAACAAACAAACAACAAAGTAAACACAGCTGAGAATAAACACTTTCAAAACATTAAAAAATTTCTTACTGGCTTCATGAGATTGGTACTGTACAAAAGCAGAGAATTTATAATGTCTTATAGTAGGCACTAAGTTAAAAATGGTCACCTAAGGCATTTCTACAAATAGACAGTAACAAGCCAGCTTTGTACATCCTATTGGAAAGCTTGATGAAATCGTGGTAGGGTGGTGGTTGTGCTTAGACTGCTTGTGAAAGCTGCTGACAATGAGTGCAGAGACCCAAGACCTATACTATTGCTAGGATCTTGTGGATCCTGTGTTTGTGGTGGAAGTTGAGTCATAGAAGAATGTGCCTCCTCCTGCGTATAACTCATTCCAAGGTTTCCCACTGAAACAGAAGGATTATAGGGAGGGCCATTTACAGGTATGAAGTTGAACAGCTGAGAAAAGTCCAATGATGGGGTGTTTAGAGGTTCACTAATAGGAACAGAGCCCTTGGAAAGGGAAACCTCCCCAGACCCATCATCTAGTGGCCCTACTTGTGGATCCAGCCCTAGTTTTGATGAAGATGCTTGAGAATCCTGGGATGAAGAAGGCATACCACTTTGCAACTCCATTAAGTAACTTTCGATTTCCCCTTTCAATGGCTGTTCTTTTTCAGGCATAGAAACTGCGTATGAGGTAGAACTGAGCGGATATTTCAACGATAGCTGGTGAGAAGGGTGGACAGACTCCATATCTATTGGACAAGGCATTCCCAATGGTAATGATGTGGCAACCATTTGGTGTGCAGATGCAGAACTCTGCATGGACTGAATCTGAGTGTTGTAGAGATTTAATTGCAAAGTGTTTGTAAATGGCTTTGATGTCAGTTCACTGGAAGGTAAAGACATCACTGGAAGCAGCTCATCCTTAATAGGCACAGAAACGTTGCAGGTAAAGGGATCTAGAAGGTCCATTGGCTCTGTTTTGACCTTCAAAAGTTCTTGGTTGTGACTTTTCTTCATGTGGCGCGTTAGGTGATCCTTCCGCCCAAATCTCTGTGCACAGTACTGACAGAGGAAGTCCTTTCTTCCAGTGTGCACTACCATGTGTCTACGGACATCCTTTCGGGTGTAGAACCGACGATCACAGTGTTCACACTGGTGTTTTTTCTCCTTCACTCCACCCGATGACTTGCCTGCATGAGTTTTTAGGTGCTCCAGCAGCACTCCTGTGCTTTCAAAAGTCTGCAAACATACCTTACAGGTGAGGTCACCGCTTGTTGCTGCATGCAAAGCCAGGTGACGTTTGAACCCAAGCTTGGTATTGTAGTTCTTTCCACATTCTTCACACTTAAAGGCCTCTTTGTTGGGATTGTGTGTATGTAGGTGATTCTTTAGGTGATCTTTTCGGTGAAACATTTTCTCACAATAATTACACTTGTGGGTTTTCTCAGGAGAATGAGTAGCCATATGCCTTTAAACACAGATATATTCTGTAAGTAATTATTTTGATCAAAAAACACACGTGCTCATTTTTTAATGGCAGCTAAATACTACACTAAGGTTGCTTTGCAACAGAACCTTTTAACTGAAAGCATGACACTACAAAGACAGTTTGACAAATTAAAATATAGCAAAACACGAGCCATTTCTCTTAAATTGACACTTTAGTTTTGGTGGGTTTTAGCTACTGTAACAGGGGTATAAGGGCAAGTATGAAAGTACTTGTGTAAAAGTCCATAGCCAAAAAATTTCAGTCCATACTCTTTTCTTGTGACAATTCCTTATACAAATGAAAATTCTATTCTCATTAAGAAAACAAACAAACAGAAAACAAAAACAGAAAACAAATTAAGAAACAAAATCAAAGACATTAGCTTGCAAACTTATGTAATTTAGATTTCTAGAAACAATCCAATGGCTACTTTTAATTAACACATCCTCTCTGCAATCAGCTGAAGGCGTACACAAATATATACTTTTACACGGCTTAACACGGCCAACATAAAATAGATAATATAATCTGAAAGATAAATAGAGTTTAATACCTTAGTAATTTGTACTTAGAAACAAAGGCCTTGGTGCAGTCTTGTTGTGTGCACTTGTAGGGCCTCTCTCCTGTGTGAGAGTATGAGTGAACCTTTAATTTCTCAACACTGTTAAAGGCCTTGTCACACAGTTGGCAAGGAAAGTTTTTTCTTGGTTTGGTTTCACCACGCTTACGTTTCCCTGAAGGGACTTTCTGGGTATCTCTTACTTCTGACAAATCACCAGGAATGACAGTGGCCATCGCAGCCTAAACCAGGCCTTCTTGTTGGACACTTGGGAATTGCCCAACTCCACTAAATGATTTAGCTTTAGATGGCTTCTCAAGTTTCATGTGGTCGTAAAAGAAAGCAAAAGGGGACTGGAAAAAAAAATAAGAAACAACTAGTTTGTAACTAAACTTAAATTTTGAAGTTTACTTGCTATGTGATGCTTCTGAATAAAACTTAAAAATAAAATTAGGTTCAGCTGGTCTAATGTAATACCTGTAGGTTTCTTTACACTATTTGCTGCAACTCTTAAAATGCATTGCTCAGGATGAACAGATCCACATATGCCCTGAAATTACACCTCACAACTTTCCCCTCAGGCATTGATGGAGAACAGCAAAGTTTCTGTCAGGTTTCAGGAGGCATCAGACAAAGAACTCACTTCAGAACATATGAAGATGGCTTTTGGCAGCTTCAGGTTTCAAAGGAATTAAAGCTGTGCCTGTGGTGTTTGTACGGACATACACACACATGCACGCACACATGCACATACACAGTTATCAGAATGAAAATCTGCACGTCTTGAGATGCAACTGGGTGTTTGAAAATCGATGTGAAAAGCAGCGTTTTGACAGCCTGGGGTGGGGGGGCGGGGCGCAAAGCTCATATTCTCTGATATACCGGCTCATTTTGGTTACTGTCTGTGCGCCTATTCTAGCAAAACGCACACGTTTCCAATAATTTGTAATGCCAAGTGAAATTCTCCTCTACTAATGGAGGCTCAATGTGTTAATAACAGAAACCTCACAGATTAGGCTTTTTATCAGCCCGGCACGGGAAACCCACATCCTCCTCACACCACCCTGCAAGGCACAAGGGTTTTAAGCGTTGAGGTTAGCTTGGGATGAAGGCTCCTCGTCCTCCGAGAGGACCCCAGCCCCTCCTGGGGTACTGCACACTGGGAACTAAACCGGCAGCCTTCAGCTCCAGGAGGTGGGTGATGCTCTCATCTGAGCTGTTGCCAAGAGCGGCTTTAAACTCGCAATCTGGTAACATATAGTAGCAACTGGGCGCCTGTGATTACAGGGTACTCAACAATCCTCCATTGTCAGAAGCCGCTGACAGCTTTTATTTGATCGCTGGAGCGCAATTGCTACTTTAGATACCCAACCCGGTGCTACCCGTGATGGAAAGGGTCAAACGCGAGGTCTGCAGTGGCAGGGGCAGAGAGGAGGACGGCAGAAGGGCAGCACCCAACGCAAGCAGCGGGCAGGGCTGAAAAGCCCCCAGATTTGGCCTTTCTCTGGCAAAAGCAGCACTCCCCCCCCCACCCCGGTGTCATGGCCCTGCAGCTGCCACCCTCCATGGCCTCCACTGGCACAGCTGTGCGAGAGGAGGCCGGGCCGGGCCCGACGGCAGCAAGGCCGGGGGCAGAGGCAGGGCTGGGGGCTCGGTGGCCGGCCACCCCCTGTCCCCTGGCAGCAGGGCTGGGGAAGCCAGCAGCTGTTGGGACAGGTGGAGCAGGGCGGCCAGGAGTCAGGCAGGGAGCACCAGGCAGCAGCTGCTCCGGCCTGGTGCCACCTCCCCAATAAGCACAACAAACGCATCCCAGCTGGCAGCCAGGGGAGGCTCGGTAGCTCGGAGGTCCCTGCCATAGCCCCAGCGTGGCGCTGGAAGAAAGCGGGGAGGAAGAAAAGCCTGTGTTTATGTCAGGATGTGGCAGGACAGGACATGAGGGGTGGGGTGACAGGAGGGGTAGAAGGGGGTGTGCCTCTTTAATATCTGCATGTGCATTTTTACGAATGCTTCAGATTCAAGATTTCCATTTGAAACGCATATACAGAGTATGTCTTTGTCTATGCCTCTTCCTCCCTCCTCCCCGTAACTTCTCTCTTGACTTTGTAAGAGGAGAGAAACACTGGCAGAGCAAGATGGAAACCTGCTACCTTTCAACCCTACAGTCTTTGAATAGCAGATTAAGCTATACTATACTCTTAAAGCAAGAAGTTTTGTAAGACCACCTTTCCTCCCCCAAATTTTACACGGAACCACTAGCCTCTTTAAAGATACCCAGCAACATAAAAGGTGTTTCTTTAAGGACTCTTATGATTTCAGATTTGTCTCTGGCCCATTCCCACTCATGGGACGAAGCTTGGGGACAACAATTCCACGAGTGGGAATGTGCACAGGTCTTCAAAGAATCAGCTTAATTTCAGTTTCTGTCTCATAAGTGACATTCTTGTTTATAAGTGAAAAAAATTACAGTTGTTTGGAGGCTTGAGACCAAAGTACTTCTGTAACAAAAGTAAAAGAAAACCAATTCCAAACACTTCAATGGAGCTGCCAATGTATTCAAGAGGTGGAACTCATTCATATCAAGGTTGTGATAAGTTTATAGGTTGAAAGATTTTTCAGTATACACTTTAATGAGAATCTGGTAATAAAATTTATTGTGCCTTCTGTAAACAAATACACCAGTCTTCTATGCACATTGGCCTGAAGATAGAATGAAATCTCATTTTAGCCTGTTCTTTCCTGACAACTGAAGTTCTGAGGGAGAAAAAAAATCCAGCCCCCTCTATGTTTACATACAGCATACCCATGCCTCGTGGGCACCTACGAGACCTGGTTCCCAGAGTGTCCTGAAACACCTACTGCCTCTATGTGGGGAAGCAGTGCTACCACCTAGTGCCTCCCAGCCAAATCCCCACCTAGCCTGAGCTACAGGCAGTGTTAGTGACAAAGAGCGAAGGAACTACCTCTAGTGCTTGCTGTATGAGAGCGTGATTAATTTGACCATGCTGGGTCACAGCAGCAAGTGGCTTCCATGCCAAGCAGATGACAAGAGGAGAAGCAGGCACAGCTGGCGGGATGCAGGCAGGGCGATGCTGGGTTGAGACGGGACAGTGGACAACAGTAGGGGGGTGGGCAGACAGTTGTGGGGAGCACTTCATGGGGGTAGGAACATCTATGGACAAGAGGACAAGGTAGTCTGGTAATGCTGAGGGGCAGGTGGGGAGCTGAATGCATGTTGAACTTGAGAGACACAGCATAGCAGGCCATGCAGACGGGCGATGCGCAGGGTCTGACGCGAAGCCAAAAGCAGCGTTTGTTGTGGAACAGCATACGGAGTTTAGCTGTTAATTTAAACAACCGACAACTTCTCACTCCTGTTCTAAATGCAAGGATCACATCTCAGGCTTGAGGCCATCCTATATTCAGGCCAATATTATGTTACTTTCATCTTCTCCAAAATTTCAGGTGATCTAGTTGCTGAACCAGATGCAACTCAGCACATTCATATGGATGACGAATTCAAGTTTTGTTTCTTTATGATCAAAACTAATTAAGCTGACTTTGAACTGTGTTTAAGTGTCCTTAAAATGCATTATTAGAACAAATATAGTATGGATTCAATCTTTGGCAATGACAGTGTTTTATTAAAAAAAAACCATGTAAGTACTATTATCTCAGTATCATTTCTCAACAGATGAGGCAATTAAGAACTTCAGTATTGATTTCTGAATAGCAAATAACCACTTTCATTTTTTTTTTCGTGTGGATATATAGACTGAGCAATGGAGATAAAACTTAAAAAAACACTGATCCTCAAATATTACACTTTCCAAAGACCAGCTGAAAGAATTTTATGAGTAATATTGCCTGTCTGTGTCTCAACACAATATCACTTAAAATCCTCATTCTTATTGGTGCTTTCACAACTGCAGGATGAGTGATTATATGCAGTATCAAATATAACAAACACATTACACAAAAGCTCATATATAATACTATTTTTAAAGAAGCATATACTTAAAACAGGAATAAAGGAGCCTCTGTTCAATGCACACCTGATGTTTGCCCACTAAAGTCCTCAGATTTTGGTCTTAACCAGTTCCGCTGACTCTTCTTGGAGGAAACCAGAATCCAGTACTTCCCATTTTTACTGGTCTGAAAAACAAAAGGAAGAATGGACTAGACTCTAGTGAAACCAGTATATTCAGAAAGTCTGGGATGTGGTAAGACTGGGGGTTGAAAAGGATCAGAAAGGAAAAGTTAAAAGGGAAAGAGCCAACCCATGCACAGAACATTAAGTACTGTTAATTATAAACTGTATGAATCAATTGCTCTTGCATTATCAGTAGCAATTAATGCACTTCAATTTCCAGCATACTTACATCATTTCAACTAACTCTACGCTGGACAGTAAAAAATAAATAAATAAAATTAGACAAAAGCAGAGGAGTTTTCAATAAAGTTAAAACAAACCAAGAAATCCACAGACCACAAATAATTTAGAAATAGCAGTGAAACATGTAAAACGCTGGGCCCAGACTTGAGTTTCTTACTCAGAAAGGACTGAATAAGAGAAGATTTCTGGATTAGACCCAATTTTACTAGAACCTAATGCCTTCATTCTGCTTAATTATACAGGAAATAGCAGCTTAAAAGGTGACCTGCAAAGGAAAATAAAATTAATTTAAAAAAATAATAAAGCATCCTAATGATGTACGCGCTACAGGTAAATCCCACTAGAGGGCAAGTCTAGGTGTGCCTGAGCAAATCCAGAGGGCCTTTCTGGAATTTCCCTTACATCCCCCTTTTCCCTGCCACCATCCTTTTTAAAATTGCAGTACATCTTCCTTTTCTTGCCAGAAGGCCTCTTGGATGACACAGGTATATACTGAAAACATGCCCAATGCCTAATTTTAGTGGAGAGGTTTATCCCCTTCAAATCCTCCAGGTATGCAAGGGCAAAGCCCTGTATAGTGCATGTACCCTATGTGACCTATTCGGCTGAAGGTATCTGGTAGGACCCCTGGAACAACACAATATTGCCCCCCACACAGTTTTCGCGTCTCATTTTCCATTCTCTCTGTTCAAGTTTTCTTTATTTTGATACCAAATGCAGCTTTGCACAGCCCCAGCTTCCTCTGCTGGGAAGCACAAATGTAAGTAAACCAGCATGCTTGAACACCTATCAAAGGCAGAAGTGCTTCACAGCAACCCACTGAAGCTGTCTGGCAGCCGTGCAGCATTTACAGGGGGCTTCTTACATACAGGCAGGTGATAAAAACAGCTCCAGTACCCAAACCAAAACTGGAAGCTTTGTTTTCAACTAACAAGAAAGAGAGGAGACGCAACTCTCACCTCTTCTTTCAGAGGTCCCCCCATCACTCTGTTTTGGGGAGAAAATGCTGATGATTTCTTGCTCCATCTCCCAGCAAGACCATTATAGATTAGTTACCCTGTGATGCCTATCTCAACATATCCCACTGCCACAGCAGAAAGGAAGTGCTTCATTATCCAAATGTTTCTCCTAAAGTAGCTCACAATAAGCAGACAGCATTTCAGACAGCCACAAAAATTTAATGAATTAAGTCCTAAGGGACTTATTCCCTTCACTATTGGTATTCACAGACTATTTCCAGTTTAAAAAAAAATAATAAAAAAGTGTAAAATAATATAATGAATATAATGCTCTCTCAACTGTATTCAACATTTTTCACTTAAATGCTTATGGTACTGAATTCTCACATCTGAAGGAGCTCTAGCAAAAAGCAGACGGCCTTAGGGACAGGCCATCAGAGGCATGGGAAGACTGTCCTATCAAGGGGAACTGGAGCAATGGGAGCAAGTAAATAAGGAAGGTAAATGCCCGATGTACTTAAAATACTGAACAGAGTGAAGAAGGAAAGTCAGGTACTCTTATTCATTACCTCACAAATATAGCTAAATTGCAATGCAGTGGATCCAGATGAGGGCAATGCAGGATCTCAACTTCTACAAGACCATTATTAAGACAAGGAGTTCAACAAGATACATACAAAAGAGGAGATGTTTGAATGAATGGCAAGAAGATCTGCCACATTTGATGAGATCAAACGAAAACACAAGATAAGAAAACTATGCTTCATGGCAGCAAGTCAGCTATTGGATAAAGGACTTTCTCTTACACACAGAATACCACAGTTGTCCATTATAATGCTGATTTTCAGACCACCTTCTTCAGAAGCTTTTGGTGCTAGAAAATCTCTGAGGCAGAATACTGGACAAAGATTTATCGTTCTTCTCATAACTGCTTATAGTGTTACTAAGCTTTCCTCTCAACCAGGTGAGATAGGAACAATTTTTAATGAATATTAAAGCTCAAATTATTCTTCACATGAAGCAGAGAAGCATCACAATGTGAAATGCACTGTTACATGCGCATACATGCCTGAAACCCACGTGGGAATTCGTACCAAAATAGACTTCCATCATTTATCAGATTATAATTCTTAGAAATTATCAGATTTCTAGTCTCCATGAGGCTGTTAATTTTGCCAACCCTACAAACATTCAGATAATTGCCAGTTAGACAATATTTTAGTTTACCAGATCTAAGGAGTCAAAGGGAAAAAAAAGCCCCCAAACACTAAAGTAAATCACTTGTTCCTGCTTTTGAAAATAAAAAGAGGTACATTTGTTTTTTTCAAAATTCACAGGTCATCTTTAAGAATCTGAAAAAATAGCTGCACTTGGAAATGTTTTAAAACATGACTTGTATATGTAAACTAAAAGGATAATGAAGACATTAAACAAACACAACCAATAATCCTCCCCCTAGCTTGCATGTCTTACATTTGTTGAGAGCGTCCAAACATAATAAAGGAAAATGTCAGTGTCGTGGTTATTTTCTTTCAAAATAAGGGAGTTATAATGAGAACACAGTATTGAGAACACAGTATCTGTCAGCAAGTGTCATTGCGTTTTGAATACAGAGCAGTGCATCAAGTTTTGATTCTTGAAATTCACCAGTTTGTAAAGCAGAACAAAGGTCCTAGAAACATTAGTGGTAATAATGACAGAATTAAATATTCAACAGCATTACAGAGTCATCTTGGGTTTTAAATATTTATTTAAGGAAACAAAATGAAAAGTGGTTACTTACCCTATGGAAACTGTGATTCTTTAAGTGCTGTCCGCACAGATCCCAGGTGAGCAAGTACTCACGTGAACAGGACCAAGTTCTCTGCAGACAATAATGTCCATCCAGGCTGTGCCTGTCAACCCTCATGACTGCTACCGTCAGTGGTGTAAGGCAAAAGACTGCCAAACTGTGCCGTGCACATCCTTACAACACCCAGCGTGGTGTGCAGCAAGAGCATCTCCAGACTCTGCTTTCCAGTCACACTGTGGGCTAAGAGCCACTCTGTACACACTGCAACCAACACGCTGCTTTGGAAAGTGGCCACCTCCAGCTTCTGCATCTGCTCCTGGGTGGAAACAGTGTCTGCTGCAGCCCTGCCAGTCCACAGTCCTGTCTCAGGAGTTTGGATGCTGGATGAGAGGGGACTGGCAAGGTTTGCAGGTGGCTGATGAAGGAGTCAGGCCCTAGCTTGGCAAGGAGAGGGAAATATGTGGCTGGAGGTCGATGGCCTAGCTGGGAGTGTGGTTTGAGGGCAGGAAAGCTGAAACACAGGACAGGACATCCCAGTTTGGGAAGATGGAGGATGAATACGTGTAGCCAAGGAAGACAGGTGATGCTGCTGCTAAGGATGGCGATGGAGAAAACCATTACCAAGTTTAGGATGGCCCAGTCTGACCTCCCTCAGATTTGTTACTAAGGAGTAAAAAGATTCCTTCAGAGTGAAGGACAGATCGCTTGTGATGCCTCTGTGGAGAACAGTGTCTGGAAGAACCAGCAGTTACTGTAGCATAAGAAGCCACTTTTCTTCTTTTCTTTAAGTGCTGGAAGAGGAGCAAAAATACTGACTGAGGAAACCTGCTCATGGCACACCGAGCAGTCAGGTGATGGCAGTGGTAAGTGATAGCAGGGGGAGCAGAGCTGAGGAAGCATCCAGTGGTCGATGCAGCCACCTCCTTTGGTGCAGAAGAGCCAAGATAGCAGTCAGACAGCACCTCCACTACTGAGCAGCAGAACTGAACTACGAAACTCCTCACCAGGTCTGCTTGTCTCAGCCAACGCCATCAAAAACATCCAATATCAAAGGTGTGGATTTAACCCTCCTTGCATCAAACTCCTCTGCTAGGCCACACAAGGGGGTGTAGGCACAAGTGGCAAAGTGCTTGCAGTGCTCCAGGACAGCACGCTGGGACCTACAGGCCTGCAAGGCTCCACCATCCTTCCTGGATCATCAAGGGTCAGTCACCATGCCTACTGCACACTTGCTTTGACCTCAGGGCAAGTGGTAGGTCTCAGTCCATCTGACTTGGTAGAAAGACACTTGACTTTTGCAGGAGACTCGTCTTAAAGCAGATGTAGGTAGCAGGTCAGCCCCCAACCAAGGTTGAACTCTTGGTCCAACCAAGAGGTACCTCTTACTGAGAGTGATCAGTAAGGGAGTAAGGGAGGGTCTCAGCTGGAAAAGTTGATCCCACCAAAGGAAACAGTCAGGCACGTACTGAAAAATCTGGCAAATCTTAACTGGCAAAGATGCTGAAGTATTGATGACTTCAGGGGTGCCTTTCTCGGTGTTGAACTAAAATCGGTCTTCTGATTTTATGCAAGGGTCTGAGACGCTCTTCGTTCTTGGCAGGTGATCTGATACACATTTATTTGAACAGCATGTCACTTTTTAAAGGAAACAGCCAGTAAAGCCTGCTCACCTTTGGCACCCATGTTTAGAAGGACAATCCTGTCACTGGTAGGAAGATTCTCCCCAGTTTGCTCCAGTGAGACTGACATCCAGAAAGTGCTTTAACCAGGGAGCTTAAAGAGGCCAGGAGAGGCTCATTTCTGCATTTCCACAAAATGATACTTCATTTAATTTTCTGCTTGCTTTATTGTGTAATTTGGAAGAGATTTGAACAGCAAACAACATGTACGCACATGCTTCCCCCCTAAGCAAAGAAGACACCTGGCACGACGGTCTATAAACACGGCACTGCCAAATGGCAGGAGGGACAGCTTTCAAACCCCCAGAGCCCTGCTTTCAGCTATCGTG